AAAGCTTCAGCTGAGATCAGCTACCTCACCACAGAGCAGCAAAAAATATACAAATATCTACATTTGTTTCATTCTTTACATTTTAACTGTCCAAAATGCTGATATGATATACTTTTCTCCCCTAAACAGTGCCATAGAAATTATTTAAGTCTTTGTATATTTTTTAAAACTTTAGGAATCTGCAGTGTTAATAAATATCAATTAATATAGTACATGTAGTTCCAATTGGAAATAAATTAGATGTTTATTTTCCAGATCTTTAACGAGGTCCCATGTTAGGACAAATCAAGAAAATTTCACAAGTGATATTCTTAAAAATGATTTTGATTTAATATTGGACTTAATGCTGCATTTTAAATGCAACATCACTTTATTAATAGACTTGTTATGTGGAAATAATCATTGAATCATGTAACACCACTTTTCTCGTCCTTGGCATCCAGAAGATTTGCTTGTACAGCAGTAAAAAGCCTTGCACATTGGCCTTGATGCCTGCGCCCTGCCATATCTGCTGGAAGGAAGGCAGAGAGATAAGACAAAAATTACTGTAAACTCCTTGGAACTAGGAGTTCTCTATTATATAATCATCTCGGATAGATTGAGGCATAGGATGTATCAACAGATGATAATAAAAGCAAGCTCTTAGAGTACAAAACAGACCCTGTTAACAATATAGTTCTCTCCCTCCCCAGTTTCTCCCCCCAATTAGACATTGCAGAACACGCCCCCCTCCCCCCCCCCCCCCCCGCCTATCATTGATATGCAGTATTCAATTTCAACTAGAGCTTCGTACTGAACAATCTTGCAGGTGCAGGAGAGACCTTGGCCCATGTCTGAGGCTCATTTTTTTTTTCGAAAACAGTTACACTGTGTTGTTAAATAAACTCAAGGTCTTTCAGATGGAATAAATGTGGATGAGAAACAGCTTTGCTGTATTCGGCCTGCAGTCTGCTACAAGAGCGGTGAGTACTATTTTTGTAAAGGGAGGCAATGGTAGTAATTCCTAAATCAGAATAATATCTCTTAAGTTATACAGCTTAATACACACACACATATATATAACTATATATGTGTATATGTTAAAAAAAATTACTTTGAATGTTTAGACTTAATAAACTTATTAATTTCTTGAATTGAATATAAACCTTACCTGTTATTTAACTACGATTTTAGAATATTCCACATTTAAATGGTTTGTACTACATAGAATCTTAAGAGATGTTCATCTACATCTATATGTCTCGTGAAGGAGTTACTTTGTGACCAGAATATTTTCCAAAATGCATTTTGTAATTTTTATCAATTTGTTTCAGTTTGTAAGAAATTTGATTTTGTAGTGAAGAGTGCAGTATAGTGTGCAGTAAGAACCATTCGATTAATTGAATTGACATGATGCTTCAGTTTTTATTAGAATAATTCAGAAAGGATAGGTTTCATAGCTTAGACTTGAATAAGCTAGAGAAAAAGCAACTGTTCCATTTTAACAGGCATTTCTTTTATTACAGGACTGGACACAGGCATCCAAAATTGATCCATTACTCATTGTTCCTTTTTCCTATGCACATACCTCTTTGAGAATTAGGTCTAAAGAGGCATAGGGCATGGGAAAATGGGGCAATTGAGGCTGCATCTGATCCTTAAAGCAAGCTTCATGTCTTCCAGGAACAGACACCAGCCTTCCATCTGCTCCTGATTAATCATTTCTCCCATAATAAAGTGTATATTTTTATAGAACAGTGTTTGTATAGAAATTGAACAAATGTATCTTTATGACCAAAACATATTATCATGTGTTTCCTTCCTAATAAACAGAACTTTGCATTCAAAAGAGAGTCTACATTTTTCTCCTCAGGCTCTTAATTTGTTTTGTATATTTTTATAGAACAATGTTTGTATGGAAATTGAACTGTTAGATCTTCGTTACCTCGATATATTATCATGTGTTTCCTTCCTAATAAAAAGAACTTTGCATTCAAAAGAGAGCCTGCATTTTTCTCCTCCGACTTGTAAGCTGTTTTCCATGGAAGTAATTGCAAACGCTATTGTCATGCTAAGTTTGTATTGCCTAGTTATCTGCATAAAGCAAATAACATTAACTAAATTAAATGTTTTTGTCAACTAAGTTCAACAAATCTTGTATATGAGAATCTTTTGAAGTGCTTATTATATAGTTTCAAAATAAATAATAAATAACCCTTGCATTTGATATAGCACCTTATGTCGTCAAGACATCTCAAAGAGCTTCACAGTGGATTGGATATATTTTGTGGGCACATTGTTGTATGTAGGTTATACAATAACCCAGCACTGTAATGTTAGTTACTCATCAATATAATGTTATGCTGATCTAAAACTCCAACAAAGACTTTAAAAGTATCCTCTTTTAAACCTGCATTTATTTATTGGCTTTTATTGTTTTAATTCCCTGCAGGCAGGTGATAAACTTTTGTTTCGCTTTCCAACTATCTCCCCCATTTTTCCATGAAAAGTTGTGTCTTGTTGGACTATCATTTCCATAGCTGTGTACAGCTCTCTGATAACTTGCCAAGGTAACCATTCTTTCTATGCAAACTCTGACAGAAATTGCAGGAAAGGGAGAGGGAGCATCTGTGTTGAGCATTGAGATTAACACTTTCCAGCATGAACCCACACTTGTTTCCCCTCCCAATTGCCCTGCCTACTCCAACCCCATTTTTCTCAAAATATTTTCTCTTCACACTTAAAAAAAAATTATTTTAAAAACACATTTTGTACAGTAAACATTAACTTTTTTTCCTATGTTTACCATGTAATCTTTAAATGGAGTTCATAGATATATTAGGGTGAACTTTTAAAATCCCTTTCCCAGTAGTTCTGCTTATCAAGGAAAGTGCACACCTTAATTTCTACAGTTATTACCAAAGCATATTTTTCCTTAAATAAATTAATAATGGAGCCTATTTCCTAACAACCCAAAGGCCCTGTGAGGCAGCTGTTGACACTTTAACTGAAGAAACAGACCTCTGGTTTGTCAGATATTTGGAAAATCTGCTGGTTTTTACACTAACAGGCTAATATAAGAACTTTGTGATCTAAATTATTTCACAACAGCAGTTTCTAATCATCTCATTAAGTAACTTGGTAAAACACTTTATTTGAATCATACATTCAACAATTGTAGAAAAATACATGGAAGTTATTCGTTATGTTTACAAATAAAGTTATGAGAGTTGTCAAATTCTGGTAAAGAATTATATTAAAATTGCTATCCAGATAAGACAAACCCCGACAATAAGCCTCTGATCTTCAGACACAAAGCACTCAATCTGCTGGAGGTAGAAATTCCACCTGGGTCTAGATGTACTCTATTAGCATTTCAGAGTATCCAGAATTTAGCCAATTCTAAAATACTTTAACAGACTTCGGTTTTATATCAAAAAACTACAGGTTAACCATCTTCCAAATAAATTGTTGAATTCAATAATTCACTTTTAAATACTCAGGAAGTACAATGTATACCCAATGGACGTATCCCCTTAGATGCTAAAACTGTTTAAGGGGAGGTTTCTGTACATTTTGAGTATTTTATAACCAAAGACTGTTATAACACACTGCATATTCAAGTACACGTGCATTATGATTTAACAATTGATTGTAAAAAATAAAGAATATTTAGGATATTTTCAGTAAGATTATGAGAACGTGCCCAAAATGACGACATTCACTTGTAATCAAGGCAACTTAGCATATCTCGTGTGGGAAGCCAGTACATCAGAAGACAGCATTTGTTTTGTTATCCTTTGATGTGCATTCTCTATAATATAAATTAACGGAGAATGAATTGGTGTACTGTAATATATTCCTTGAGGCATTTAATCTGAAGTGGACAGGATGCAGATTTATGGCTGTCAGTGTTGGAAGTTAAATCACTTTTGTCTTTGCTAAGCAATTGATTGATTGGAATAGGGTCATGCAGAACACCATGTCCTTTGGAAGGAATGCTAAAGGCTCATTGCAAAGGTGCATGCAAAGGTGTACGAGATTTGAATGACTTTCAAACACTTTTGCAATGAAACGCCCACGGATTCTAATCAAACTATAAGCGAACTCTGCTTTTCCAGATTGTCACCTCTCGACTGTTCGTACGGAAGGAACAGACACAGTGCATTTACAGCTGAGAAATAATCACGTCGTTTTTGAAATGTGAGTTACATTCAGTTATGCACTGTACAACCAGCACTTTTACACAATCATTTCTTTGTCCATCGCCTAACAAATGGATTAGAAAGCGAATCGGCCATCATTCCCGACAGACTGCGAGGCTGACACTTTTTTCTTCTCTTTCTTTCTGTTGACAATTTACCCCCAAAAATGCTCATCTCTGCGACAGAAGCGAAGTTGTGAAATATAAACTGGCGCGGGTTGCATTTCTTTTCTAAAAAAAAAGCGTCAACAGTTCATTTGCAAAGGATAATTCCGATCATTTCAAAGATAACTTTATGAAAAAGCGATGTGAATGCTGCCAAGTTCTTGCTGAAGCAAAATAGCGCAGTCAGTTATCCTTTAACATCTGGATTGTTTAATTCAACATCTACATTAACATCTACATCTGCATAAAAAGTCGCAGAAAGGTTTTTAGAGAGTTTTCCTGTCTTCTTGATCACTTGCACTGTCAAAAGCCAGGTCCATTTAAAAAAAATACAGGTACATGCAAACACTATCTTGAAGACAACGTGCAGATGCCCCTAATTTTAACACAACCGATAAAAAAGGGAGAGTGAGTGACCTGGGTTTGCAACTGCTGTCACGATGCTCAACAAAAAAAATGTTCCTGTTTTCCCAGCCCGTTAAGGTAAATGTCTGAAAGTTTTTTTTCTGATGGTTTTGTCAGGATTATTGTGCTGCCACCAATTGATCACTAAGAGTTATTATATTGATAATGTTCCTGTATTTCTATTTGAACCTGGTGCAGCATTTCAATACCCCACCACCCCCGACCCCCCACACCCCAATCTGTCGGGAAGACTCGATTCGAGTATCCAAAGCTCCATCGGATGTTACAAACCTCTGAAAAGGAGCTGATTACCTGTGACCCGAGCTATTATCTGTGGCCATCCTTGCTTTGATGTGGACAGGCATATTTACTGGCCGACGCAGGGAAACGTTTCAGAAATGCCCAGTGTTTCCCAAGGAGCTGAAGCTTTCGAGAAGTCTCCTCCGGTTGCTGTTTGGGAGATGCTAAAAAAAGGTGCGTTTTCGGTGGAATGGCTGTCTCGGAGCAGCCAGAAACTCAACAGAGAACTGTCTCAACAAGACGTGGAGAGCCAGAGCTGTTCCAGCAACAGCACTCGCGGGGGGCAACACATAACAAGTCGCACAGCTATTCGTGAATCCGGAAAGTTGTGTGAAAACGCAAACCCCCAAACCAACTGCACGAAACTGATGGTGAACTCGACACACGATCGCGACCTGGAAGAAGCTCAACAGAGATCCTATGAAACTATTCGTAAGTCATTTCTATTTCGTAACAAAAGAGCGGAGGAGTCATTCAAAACATCCCTTTCGCTCTACCGTTCACGAAACCTGATCACTGAGAAGTCAGAGCTGCTTTGTGCAGTTGATAACTTTTTTTTCTCAGTCTCTGAATGTTTATACAGAGTGATCTGAATCTTTACAGTGTTATAGGTTAACCGTTGTCACATTAAATACAATGACGAGCGCTATCTATCGTTAGCTGAGCAGCAAAAGATATAACATTGCGACACTTTCGTTCACTGGATGCTTATTAAAGTGTGTAAGAAATCCGTTAAAGTTTCACGTGTCTAACAGAAAAAAAAACAGTTCTGTTGTGAAAAAAAAGGGGGGGAACCTGAGAAGGTTTTTGCAAAAGGTTTTTGCATGTGACATTACAGAGATCAAACACAACAGCGCGATTGCAATCAGTTAGGATTGTGCATGTGTTTCTGTGCAGTGGCTGAGGCTCTCGGAGAGGCAAAGAATTCCAATGACATGGAAGAGGCTCTCCCTGCATCCAAGGATTGGACTGATCGACGTCGACCCCGAACTATTTTCAGTGTGCAACAGCTGAGCATACTCGAGACCAGTTTCCAACACCAACCATATCCAGGAACCTGCCAAAGGCAGAGGCTGGCAGGAGCCCTCAGCCTTTCAGAGACACAGGTGAGTGTGAGGACAGCTCCCACAGGCGTTCACAGGTCTGTGTATTGGGCCACAAAATATACAGTCAATTCACTTCACAGTATATTCTGTGAAGCGCTTTGAGCCATCTCGAAGGCGTGATAAAATGCTATATCAAATGCAAGGATTATTATTACTTATTACAGAGGTGATTGAAATAATACTAAGCCCACCTTGTGTTTCTGTTTGTGTTTAATGTTTCTTTGACACCATAAGTGTTTGTTGTGTTAAGTTAAAATTTAAAATATGCAACATTAAATACTTGTTTGGTTGAATTAGTGGCTAAGTATTGGCTCCTATTAGGTAAAATTACTACTATAATGGAAATGTTTTGCTTGAAATTTTTTTTTGCTTTTTGTTAGGTAAAAACATGGTTTCAAAATCGTCGAATGAAACTCAAGCAACAACTCCAAGATGCTCAGGCTGAAGCTCTGAAATCCAGAATGTTCCATCAGTATTTGTCCTGTCAATCTCACTCCAATTTCAGTTTTTATCCCCTGTCAGATTCCAAATATTTTCCTCATCATACTGTATTTGGATCTCCCCTTGCCCTGACTTCTTTCTCTGATTACTTTGCACTACATCTGGGCAATCCATTTAGCAACCATTACCAAAATCCAATCGAAATAAAAACAGCTCCTAGAAGATTTCATCCATAGCTCACTATTTAAAATAAAGGAGACCTATGACAAAAAAAAGGTATTACAAAAGCAAAAATTCTAATGCCCACCCGTTGTGCAATACATCATGTTGTATTTATTCTGTCATGTACTTTTTGTGTTTTGCAGGATATTGTGTGTACATATTAAATCTCCTGCATTTACAGTATTGTCAAAATTACAATGATCAGTTGTACTCAGTCCAAATAAATGAAAGTTATGTTTGTGCTAATGAGGGAAATTAGCATTGTTTTCAATTTCTGTGGCCCAGAGTGCGATCATTTCAACCTAATGGAATATTTTGGTACAGTAACAGAATGTTTACAAGGAAAATGACCTGTTGTGAGATTGCCCACAAATAATTCCTGGCAGTGCCACAATTTCCAGAATAAAAAGTTCCCTTTACTACACTTACTACACACTGTACACTCAGTAAAATATACAAAACCACCATAGTTTGTTTCAGTTAGTTTTGTAAATTAATTTCTTTTCGTATCTTATTTCCTGACATACACAGTCTGCTCCTGACGATAGTATCTCTATGGTTCAATGTCATTTGATATTTCACTCAATGATACTTGACTCAAGAAGCCATTTTCCACAAATGAGTGTTCTACAGGCCATGACCACAAAATATAAATGGACCTCCATCATTACACACTATTGTATTCCTAAAAAAGACCCATCTGACTGCAATCAGAAGTGGAAATCCTCCCTATTTTGCCTTGAAGCAAAGTCTCTGGACAGTGACCAATAACATCGAAATCTCTGTGTTAATGGAGGGAATTTTTTTCCAGGGTTCCTATAACTGGTCGCTCTCCAGAGACTTTGCTTGAAGATCACATAGATGGACATCAGGTGAGGCAGATTTGAGCAAGCTATGATGCCTCTCCCGAAATAATAACACGCTGACAGTCACTGTCAAGTCTCCACACATGTCAGTTTTAATGTGGTGTTTTTAGAACTGTAGCTCAAAAAAAAGGAAAAGGATCCAAATGTCTTCAGAAGGGACGAAGAAATGGGAGGAACCCCTTATGAAATATCAATGCATATCACATGAAAAGCAATCCAGGCAGGGCGAAACCTTGGGCAAGTTTCCTTACTCCACATACCTAATAATAATCCCTCCAAAACCAAAAACTATAATAAATTGGTCATTTTCAATCTACGACTGTCTGTGGGACATTGCTGTGTGCAATTGGCTGCCGCGTTCGCCCACAAATATACAGTCAATTCACTTTACAGTGTGTTCTGTGAAGCGCTTTGAGACGTCTAGAAGACGTGAAAAGTGCTATATCAAATGCAACGATTATTATTAAGAACACTTTTCTATCTGATCATGGAGGGGAAAAACTAAATAAAAAGCTCACATGATAAAAAAGGGCACAACGACTTTCGTTGCCCTCTAGCGACAAGAGGCGGAGAGGTGTAATGCACAAGTGGCTTGAAACCCGTTACACCACAATCACTGACTCAGGCGCCAAGTGTCTGAGGCTGACATGTTAAATAAATCATAGGTTTTTTTTCGTTCTTCCGATTAGTTGACTTAGAGCAAAGTCTTCTCGGGAAGAAAATAGTAATTTGCCTAAAAAATGCAAATTCGTGCATTCGCAAACCATTAAAAGCAATACTTCCATCCCTTTCATGCTCCTTTAATCCCTTAAAGTGATCAACAATGAAAGAGAAGCTAGGATCACAGGTATAGAAGAAGAGATTGTAAATTGCCGGCAATGGCTTTCATTAACCAATAATTGTTTTGAAGAGATCACATCACTTCGAGACAAGAGATAAAGAGCAGATTTACAAGAGTAGTTGAGCAATAATGATCTCATTTGAGCCAGGTTGGGCAATGTTATATTGACATAGCATGACCACCAGTAGGGGATGTGTGAGCCGTGACAACTTTCTTGATGCTCTGTCACTGACTCCCATTTCACACTTTCCAGTTCATTGAAAAATATCACTTAATATCAACAAGTTGACAAATTACAATAAATTCCGAAAGTTATTTAACTCGGGCTACCTCTTCCTCTCTCTACCGTGTGTCCGTCAATGATTCAAATGTGGCGCTTGAATAAAACGCATTGTGTAAATTGTCTTGCTGCAAATCAAGTTACTAATAGCATAAAATTGTCATTTCCTTTCTTGTTTAGGGGTCAACGTCTACTCTCATTAACAACTTCGTCAGCATACTTGTTCACAAACCTGTTTATTGGGCTTGAATGGCACGGATACTTATCCCACTGTTGGTTATATTGCAAGGACTGCTGCTTGGTAACTGATTTAAGAGCACATCAGACAGTTCTGGATTATACTAACCAGTCTACAGCACTGTGCGCATGGAAAACAACTTTATGCATAAGTACTTAGATGCACAGCATTTTACTTGCTGGTGTCCAAATGCAATGTTTTGATGCAGAAGGCAAATGTCATGAGTTTTCTTTAACATTAGAAAGTTGTTCATGTTCAGCAGACCACTTGATTTGCTAAAGCTCGGTTCATGAAACCCTGGCCCATGTCTTTGTCACCTCTCGGCTGGACTATTCAAATGCCCTCCTCGCAGGGCTCCCCTCCACTACCATTCATAAAATCCAAGTACTACAAAACTCTGCCACCCACATTCTTACCCGTACCAAACTCCGCTTCCCGATTACCCCAGTCCTTGCCACACTGCACTGGCTGCCTGTTCCAGAGAGGATCGACTTCAAGATCCTCACCCTTGTCTTCAAATCCCTCCACTCGTCTGGAAACCCTACCTCTCTGACCTCCTCTCCCCTCACAACAGTGCCCATTGCCTTCGTTCTTCCACGTCTGGCCTCCTCCTTGTCCCCCGAGTCCTCCACTCCACCATCAGCAGCCGTGCCTTCAGCCACTGTGCCCCGAGGCTCTGGAACTCCCTTCCTCACTTCCTTCACCTCAACCCTCTCTTCCCACTTTCAGGTCTCAGCTGAAAATCTTTCTTTTCGACCGCGCTTTTGGTCACCTTCCTTCCCCTCCCCCTGGTTCGGTCCCGGGATCCGTTACTGTGAAACGCTCTGAAATGCCGTCCGGGTGGGGGGGGCGCTATATAAATCAAAGTTGTTGTTGTTGTTGTTGTTGTAAAGCTTTGTTTTTCTGCCCTTTCCATGAAACAATAAACGAGGCACTGTTTGCCTATTCGGATGGACGTATTGAAACAACGTGAAATCTGCAAATATAACTTGCCGAAATATATTTAACACGTTTACAAAATAAAGTACAAAATTCTCAAAAGAAAGGTTCCATGCGCATTATTAACCCGGATTACATCATTGGCCTCTAATGAAGCAAATTGGTAGAAAACAGTTTGATTCAAATACTTGAAACTGCTCTGATACCAATATTGCCTTCCACTGGACACTGCTGTGCGCAATTAATTGGCTGCTGCATTTCGCCCACAAATATCCAGTCAATTCATTTTACAGCATATTTTGTGAAGTGCTTTGAGACGTCCAGAAGACGTAAAAAGCACAATATCAAATGGAAGGTTTATTATTATTACTTACTAATTGTCTACTGTATTTATAGAATATAGACATGTTACCACTGATGAATAGAGAGAGTTACAGTATAAGGAATAGAAAAGTTATCCTGGAACACATGTATGATCATATTTTTAGTTACTTTTCTGATCTTATAGAATCGATATGACTACTGTGAGTGAGTTGATGAACAGAGAGGAGGCTTCCCTGGTTGGGTGGTCTGATAGGGAGATCTGCACATCAACGCCTCCTCCCTTTGTAGGCTTTATCTGAAACTAATGAAGAGAGGGTTGTTTATGTGCCTCTTATTTGCATGTCTGAGGAGGCATCAAAGGACAGATAATATGGCAAAGCAGCGGCAGTCTGTTTGAACTAAACACATCAATGAAGTGCTGGTAGGATCAATCTGCTCATAATGGGCGCCGCCAGGTCTGAGAGTGGCCATAGCAGGCAACCTCGTAAGTAAAGTGGAGATCGCCACTTCTCAGTCAGTCTTTTGCAACTAACGTGTTTTTCTTCTTAAATTGCCCTTATAATTCAGTGTTATGTTGCTGCTATTTATGGGAGGTATTCTGCATGTACACTAGTGAAGGAGGATCCAGGCAGAATCGTTAACGATCCAGTGCTATTCATAGTTTGAGTGCAATAAATAAAACCCCAATCCTCCCAGATTATGTGGTTGGATCTCGCTTTATCCCATAGGAAACCGAAACAATACAGTGTCAGCTCTGGGTCCCTCTGAGACAAGTACTGAAAACGAATGCCAGGCCTCAAAGGGAAAATTGTGTTGTGCCAATTCAACTGAAAAACTCTCTCGGAGTCGAAACTTTTAAATTGAAAAGGCTACCAGGTTGAACATCTGCGGCTCCAGGCAATTTTATGAAATGTATCATTTGCCATCACTTTGCAAGCAGCAGCCGCTTTGTTGGGGCGTTTTAAACCACTTACATTTTATGTGCAAAGCGTGGCGCCAGCAGTCTAGAGAATACTTCAATGAAACGAGATCAAAGGTTTGTGAGAGTAGGGAACCCCTCCGTCGGTATTGTATGACTGACCACAACATAATGCGACACTCTTGCGTTGTCAATGGGGGCTCTCTCATACACTTAATACCTTATTAAGTGTTTAAATGGTTTCACACCTCCTCGGCCATTGCAGTCGTTAGTCTGCACATATACTTACTAATGTTCACGGTCCCCCCCTCAGCCAGCTGAGAGATCTAATGCAAATAAGAAAATCCTCCCAGTGGGCTTAATAGATTTACAATTATCCTCCCACCATTCCATTGAGCACAAACAGTGAACCTCGTTACCTCGAGCACAGTGCAGTGACAGTGTTCGGAACATTTTCCTTTATTTTATTTCGGGTGTTCCCTTTTTTTTAATTGTCTAAGTGGCAAATTGTACTCGGGCCGCATAACCATGGACTGACATTCAAAACAAGCACCACAGATAAGAAAAAAACACGCATACAAACTAAAATTAGGACAACCAGGTTATTTCCTGTAGAAGAACGCCAATGAGCCATGGGAATGGCCGGTCAGTTTTTTTTACTTTCTGATTCTACTTTAATATGTCAACATATTTTGATGTCTCTGGTTCTGCTCGAGTCAATTTACCGAGATTAGAACGACCAAGGTCCTGGTTCATAAACGGCATCGCTGTCCACCACACCATGAGATTGCTGCCCCCAGATAACCTTAATCTTGTTGACATTGAGCTGCAGAACATATGGGACATGGTGATGGGCAGGTAGACCAAACAGCAAAGCCACAGTATCAACGGCTGCACTGCACACTTGGACTTCGGTATGCAGACTAACCCCACGTCTGCAGTTGGTAGCACTGATGGTTAGGATGCAGTTGACCAATATTTCAGAACACCTTATAAAGACAGTACCAATCGGGAAGGGACGGTGGGTTGGGGATGGGGTGGGGGGGGGGGGGTGGGGGGGGGGTGAAGAGGTCATATAGATATGGTCAAAGAAGTACTTTTTTAGACAACTTTTTAAGAGAGTCAGACAGACAGACAAATGAGTTAAGGAAGGGAGTTCCAATCAGTGTTACAGCGAATACTTAAGTGCAATAGGACATTTGAAGAGTGCATTTAAGGAAAGAAAATATCAGAGGCCGAGATTGAGTTTCAATTGAGTTAATGATGGATATTAGATTTTACTATTTATTCATTGCTCTTGAATTACAAAATCCTGAAAGAATTCAATGTCGATTAGTTATATTGTCATACAATTCCCACCTGGAGTACTCCCTCAATATGTTAACCTTGGGCGATTTAACAGTAAATTGCGACGGAATGTGCAAAAAAGTTGTAGAGAGCAGGTAACCAGCCTACTGTTGAAAACAGTATTGACAAAGTGCCAAAGCACGCTATATAGTTATCATAAACACAGACGATTATGTATATTATATTTGCTATATGACGACTGCTGATGCGTCTTTGATTGTGTCTGAATACACATTCGAGGCAACACATCGGAAACGCTGTGCAAATTACTAATAGGGTTCGAAAGGAAAACGATATTCGGTATGTAAATATCTTCCTTTGATGAGCTATCATACGCCTATTTGCGGAACAGCGCGGATCCCCTTCACATGTGTGATTTTATGTCCTAATACAAAAAGGGCAGAGAGAATGGCCGCAGACATTCTGGAGCCAACGCTCTCGGATTTGCCGGATACTCGAGCACATTAAAGATTCGCTAAATCAGACCCAATTGTCGACCATTGTCCGTCCGTTATCTTTTCTTTGAAGTCTCTTCACACATGGTAATCACTGCGGTGAAACATCTCCTATATTAAGCCCGTGAGGGCAGATCTTGGGGAGAGGGGCATTCAGGACGAGCCACAAAGCCACGAGCCTTCAAGATGGTCAAAGCCACCTTCTCTGTGTCCTGGTTGGCCCGGAGCAGCCGCGACGGATCCACCGAAAGCAAACGTGAGCCAGAAACCATCAGGATGTACATCCCATGTGCGCCCCCGCCACGGGCTCCAAGTCTGTATGCGAGAGACTGTGCGCAGCCCAAACCAAGAGGCTGTCACCCGGACCCGAGAGCAGCGCAGAAACATTCCCTGTCGGCAGCAGGAGCTCAGCTGCTGAATTCACCGGATCACATCGGGTCCGACCCAACCTTGACTGGTTCATCGGGCGACTGTGGTAAGTCCCCAAGTTACACGAGTTATTAAAACATCTTCGGTTTCTGATACTCAATTGTTGTGCCGAATCAAGACTGCGACTGTAATGGATAACGGTTCGTCACGTTGCGCTAATCGTACTGCGCCCTTTTACGCGGATCGACCGGATAAGTCGCGTTCACCCGAAAGGTTGACTTGAGCTTTCTGTGTTTCTCTCTCCTGACAGCGTCCGAGGGCAGTCGTGACGACTGTTGCGGGGATGGCAGTGAGTGCGGCGGCTCGGATTGCTCGGGCCGGGAGGAGGCAGAGGGGACCCCCGGCTCCCAGCGCGGTGCCCCCCGCAGAGCGCGCACAGCTTTCACCGCCCAACAGATCCACAGACTGGAGAAGAGGTTCAAACGCCAGACCTACCTGGGAGGGTCGGAGCGAGTCCGGTTGGCAGCTTCGCTCCACTTGTCCGAGACCCAGGTATATACGCAGTCGATCCACTTTACCGTATATTCCGTGAAGGCGCTTTGGGGCGCCTCCACGACGCGATAGATAAAAGTGCGGGGATTATTATTAATGTTACTTAAACTGTGTTTGTAATGGAAACCCAACCCTTTCTTCTCGCATAATCCGTTCTGGACCTATATGGATTGGTTTGATGTCCCAAGTCTTTTGTAATTTTGTAATTGATTTGCTGTATAGTAGTAAATGAACTGAAATATTTTATGTGTGTGTGTGTGGGGGGGGGGGGGGGGGGTCAGTCGCTGCCTTCAGTGAAATATTCCGCGTCGGTATTTGCACGCGTTGTACGCAGTTTATTTACTGGAACAAATCTAATTTGCATTATTCATTCTTACCCACGGGATCTCATCATCATTTTTTTCCTATTCCTGTTTGTTTGCAGGTGAAAACGTGGTTCCAGAACCGCAGGATGAAGCTTAAACGGCAGTTGCAGGATCTGTCCTCGGCTTCTTATAATCCAGTTCTGCTGTCACGCCTGATGCCAACTGGTGATGCACCTCTATGCAGTTTTGTGGGACAGTCCCTCAATGGGCTGAGTAACTTTCAAAGTGCTGTGGTTAATGCCAATGCCAACCTTCGCCTACCACAGGCTGCTTATCAGCCATATAGCCTGTTGCCATTCCGTGAACAATATTCATTTCTGGATCAAGGCACTTTGAGCCACGAGTCTCACAATTACCCGTTATTGTTGAACACCTCTGCTGATCACCTCTGGACTGTACATCAGTTGATGGCAACGCTGCGTTAAATTTTGCTACGGAGCAAAATTCGTACACTTTATCTTGGAAATGATATGGTGCAATATTGTTTCAATGTAATTTCACTGTAATTGTAAAATGAAATGAGGCCTTTATTAACCTATTTAACTGAATGATTTAATTTTGTAATCATTAAAAGTCTATTTCGGTAACATTTCTGCGCTGGAAAGGATGTTTTCAAAATTAAATTCACACCCCCTAGTCCCTACCCCTTAGTCCCTATCAAGCCCACAGAGCCTGAGCATAAACTCAACATGTTGTTTGACCCTCAATTTTTCTTTCCAGGTCTGACCAAATGTGCTTTCTTCCATCTCTGTAACATCATCTATCTACACCACTAGCTCAAATATCACTGATTCACATATTTATCACCTCCACACTGGACTTCTCAAATGTGTTCCTTGGCGTCCTTCTCAGCTCCACCCTCTTACATAGACTGCAGAATATCCTATATGCTGAAGCCTGCAATCAGATGCCTAACCCCACCACCCCTCCCCCATCCTTGCTCTGTTCATTAGCTTCCTATTCTTCCGTAGATTGACTTTAGATTCTTGACATCACCTTCAAATGCTTTCTCTCTCCACCCCTCCCCCCATTGGATCTCCTGTGACCCTATTCACCAGCACCCCACCTCTCCAAACTCTGGCCTGCTTCATGCATTTCTAGAAAAACAAGGTCATATAGTAAATAATGATAATAATAATAATCCTTGCATTTGATATAACACTTTTCGAGGTGGCTCGAAGCGCTTCACAGTATATAGCAGTGATTTTGTTTGTATGACAGTGATTTATAATGAAGCCTTTCACAGAAAGCTTAAGCAGTGTCCCGCAAACAGTCGTGGATTGAGTTTGTTTTATTATTTTTTTTGGAAGGAATTATTACCCCCGGAAACGCAATCCACCAATTGACTTAGCAACCAAGTTCTTAGTTACTGGTAGGTAAACAGAGGCATGTGGAATAAGGAAACATGCCCAACATTTCACCCTGCCAGGAATCAAACCCAGGTCTCTTGCTTGCGAGGCGAATCTTTAGCAAGTACCACGCTACCTGTTAGGGCTTTGGCTTGCAGAGGTAAAGGTGAGTTGGCTGAAGTAGCCCACACAATTTGGAGAAACCTTAATTGTGAAAGGCTTGATTAAAAATACACCATCCATAATAATAATCCTTATGTTTGATATAGTGCTTTATCACGTCTCGGGAGGCGTCTCACAAAGTGCTTCAGGGAATACACTGTAAAGTGGATTTGACTTATTTTGTGTGCGAAAATAAGGCGGGGCTGGGGGTGGGTTCCCCTCTCCCTCTTCACAATTCACTCTCAGTTGCAAAGTGAATTACAAAAGAAGTAAATGATTCTCTGAAGAAAGTGATCCTGTAATAGTAATAGTTTAGCAGGCAACCCGCCTTACTTCAATCCAGTGAGGTTGGACCGTGTTGGAAACAGACCCAAACCTGTATTGAGTGAGACAAGCAAAGGGCGCTTTACGCTGGAGCAGTGATCAGCATCTGGGCGAGTGAAACTTTTTATCAGTGTCTCGTTGTGTTTGTGGACTCACCCGTTTAAACATTATAGTCCCGACAGACAAAGTTCAGAGGGGTTACAAACAAATCAATATACCCCCGAGACTGACGGCGCCAAGTTCTTGCTCATGTTGGTATTAACAATTCAAAAGGAAACTTGTCAATCACGCTTCATTTATTGTTGTTAATTTCTACCATGGCGACATAACAGTACACAAAGCCTTTGAAAGATGAGAAAGGATCGTGCTGTAAACTTTCCAATAAGCGTATCAGTTATTTTCTAAACCGTGCAGGAGATTCACACACTGAATTTCTGTTTTTTAAAAAAAGGAAAAGTGACCACGAATTTCCCAATAAAAATAATGACATTTTTATGCCTCCTCCCCCCCGGCTCTGGATATCGATCAGCAGTGCAAACTTTGGCTCCATCCGCCCAGCCCCAATTGTAATGCCTCACTGACACATCTTCAACTGCACAAAACATGCATTCATTTGCATGTGACATCCTCTTTGTTTGGTAAATAACGAATCAGGATTCCCAGCGGAAAATCGGATCACCCCAAACCAGACTTACCCACTACAATGCTAACTGTTCAGTAATGAAGCCACAAATTTATACATGCTGTACAACCAGCCTTTTACAAGTAATATCAGAAAGGTTTACTGATCAGACAATAACACAGGATCTCTTCCTGAAGTTGACACCCTGTTCAAGACTGTTGCCCTTCTTCATGCTACTTTCCAACAGATGCCAACATCGTGATCCTATGCTCAACATTGCTTCTCTGCAATCGTTGTGTACCTAAGAAGATGTATGGCATTAATGGGATTTTGCAGAAGAGGCATATGGAAGAAGCAGGATTATTCTCATCTCGATCGACTTCCCCCTTGTTGTCCAAGATCTAAAAAAAACTTTTTTCAGAGTCATCATGCCCACGTTTCCAATGAAAATATCCCAGATGCCATGAGAGTGTTACTCCGAATTAAATGTTTAATTTGAACATAGTGTTCGGCAATTACGCTGAATACCTTCAGTTCTTTTATATATCAAAAGACAGGAGCAAAGGAAAAAGTAACTTTTTTTCAACTGTGTTTATAAACGTTCAAGAATGATTACCAAGTAAATCATTGTTGCACCCTAAGCTGCCAATCTGTGGGGCTTTGATGAAATGCCTACAATAAAGACATTTAATATGGTTCACAACTACATGAAACTACATGCAGTGAATGCATCTGAAACAAATTCCTAAACATTTATTCAAAACCATTGTTATGCCGATTCATAGATACGATACCAAATGCCAGTCGCAGACACACCGGAGACATCTTACTGCACTTTCAAAGTCTCTTTAAGACTTTAATGATCCCTTAAATTAGTCTCAATTATCTCCCATGATGGGCCGGTTATCTTTGCTTTGATGTATTCTCACACATGGCGAGGCCAAAACTCTCCCCGAGTCTTTAGAGAGCAATTTTAGGTTTTAAGATTGTAATGAGGTAGAAGAGAAACCTCATTATCAAATAACTTCCTGTTGTAAACAAAGAGGTTTTCTTTTCAATAGGAAATCGAAAGAGGCAAGAATTAAGCATTCATAAATAAATGTTAGAAATGATGTTTTAATATGTCTTGTAGTGAAAATAAGTGGTAATATATTACATTCTTTCAGATCCTCGTCTAAATTTATTTTAAATTACAAATGTGGGCTATGTGCACAAAGTGTTGTAGAGACTGTGTAAAGATTACTTTTATGAATTCTTAACAAGCAGAACTCAAAAGAAAAAGGGGGTGGTGGGGGGAGAGCGCAAATCAGCTAATTTAGCACAGACAAGGAATGGACCTTCAAGCTGCATTTCCCAGTTACACTGTTTTAATAGTGCCTTAAACCACTAAGCCACCAGGACCCCCAAAACAACGAATATTGTAAATTGAACCAACGATAACCGCAAGACACTTAGAAAGAGTAGATAAGGATCCTAATAATGCATGGATGGATTTGCAAAGTTACCCGAATATGTGATATGTGGGTGGAGCCGATGAGTGCGAAATGGTTATTGGGGGTGGATTGGGTTTTCCGACTCTTTGCTTACCGACTCGAATTCATGTCGTTACACAATCATCGTTAGGATCACTGCATTTCAAAGCAGCGGTAAAAACAAGATACGCTCATAATAAAAGGGATTGAGAAAAAATAACGTTTAATCAGATATATAAAAAAAAGTAATTCTTAATTGCGGTTTTCCAGTTAAATACAGTACAAAACTGCTGCATCACATATACAGTCTCTTTTCACATTCGAAAGACACCCTCTTGCTTGCGTTGCGTTGCGACAACGGTGCAAAATCAAGACGTGGACGAGTTTCTTCCAGCACACGAGTTAGAAGCAGGGAAATGACAATTTCTCGTGCATCACTGGAAAGACCAGCGGACGCAAGTGAGATTGGTTCGAGAGAGTCGTTTGAGGAAGGTAGTACCCGTGGAGCGGCGGCTGGTGGCGAGGCTGAAAGGCAACCTGGGCAAACCTGGCATTCTGATAGCTGTTGCCACTTTTCAAGGACTGTCCAGCAAAAGTGCATTGGGCGAGAGGCGAGTCTCTCGTCTGCATCAGGTGCGACAGCAGAACTGGGCCAAAGGAAGAGGGGCGCAGATCCTGCAACTGGCGCTTCAGCTTCATCCTGCGGTTTTGAAACCAGGTTTTAACCTGGAAAAAGAAACGAAGCGATGACATTATACACAGCCCACCCCCACTTGTTAAGCCATTAAAACGAGATCCCCGCGCGTATTCGTCCAGCTCAGTATCGATGAGATCGCTGACGGGGTTTGCCACCTTACCTGGGTCTCGGACAAGTGGAGCGAAGCTGCCAACCGGACTCGCTCCGACGCGCCCAAGTACTTCTGATGTGTGAACTTCTTCTCCAGTCTGTGGATCTGTTGGGCGGTGAAAGCTGTGCGCGCTCTGCGGGGGGCATCGCGTTCAGAGCCGGGGGTCCCCTCGGCCTCCCCCCGGCCCGAGCAATCCGAGCCGCCGCACTCACTCCCATCCCCGCAACAGTCGTCACGGTTACTGCAACCGATCTGGGACACGAGAGGAGCAAACGCTGGACACAAACAAGAGAACGTGTTTTATTCCCCCCTTTCCCCGTCTCTGGACGGTCACAGTGAGCGCTCGCAAGGATTGCAATGATGGCAGAAGTGTTTCCGAGCGGGTGGCTGTCTGCCCGACCCCATTGCAAACATCATAGAAAAGCAGCAATAAAACAACACAAACTTGGTCACGAAGCGCTACTCACCGTTACACGGAGAAGTCTGAAGTCGGCGAGGATCCGTTCTCGGCATTAACATGTTTTCCTGTCCTTCGCTGGTGTTTGAGGCTGTTCTATCCGAATGTTTATCGAAGGGAAAACGCAGTGGTTTGTGGCAGTCCACCGAAATCTGAGCATCTGTCCCGTGTTGTGCATCCGTGAAGTCATCCTGGTTACTCCGAGAGAGCCAGTCAATGGAAAATGAAGCTTTCACCATCTCTTTGGACACTGCTACTCGATATTGGACTGCAACTCGCTGAACTTTCAACAACAGAGCTTTTCTTTGCCCTTGGTAATTCAAGAAAGACCTATTTATACACGCTTTCTCGGGAAGAATTTGCATGTGTGAACCAACATCAAAGGAAAGCAAAGCGCACAGACAATGGTCATCAACTGAGACTAATTGAGCTGATCACTGAACTACTCTGAGATCCGGGGGAATCTGTAGATGACAGGTTCCAGCATGTCTGCGACAGTCAGTTCTTGTTTTCCAGAGAGATAATCCAATAATTATGTACTTGTCACTAACCTTAAATAAACGTCGCCAGATCGTTCATCTTCTTTCCTTTTGTATGCGAAGCCCATTTGTGCGCATTTGAAAGGTCTGCGACGTAACTCTATTTGTTGTGGCTTATGCTCTCCAGTATATTGTACAATAAAAGGCCATCCAAGCACATTCTGAAAGATAAGATGCGAAGATAGTTAAATATCTATACACTTGAAAGGACCTCGCTGCTCGGGAACAGCTCATACCCGTTTGCCATCCAAAGCGTAAACCATAACCACGAATCAGATAATCTTGGTCCAAGCAATGCTCGTGGGATGTGTGCGAGTCTGTAGTCTTTCAATTTGCTCAGACTAGTGTTACACATTTTAGAAGTATCTGAAGCAGCCTGCTGTGAAAATCCAACCCACAATATCCATGTCCTGAACTTGCTCTGAGTCAGCAGCAATCGCTTGTCATTTTTTTGGTGTGCTTTCATATTTAGTTTCAATTTCAGTGTGAATACGTGTTTAAAAATATATGGCCAATTCACTTTACTGTGTATTCTCTGAAGCTCTTTGAGATGTCTTGACAATGCGATAAGGCCATATATCAAATCAAGGATTATTATAGGATTATATATTGCAAGATATGTACTGTTGTGGTCTTGTTTGCTTTGGTTCAAGGAACTTAAAGTGTTAAAGTGTTTTTAAAAAAGTTTCCCTCTGAAGGAAACAGCATCTTGCTGCAATCTGCCTAGTTATTTTCATAGCTAGTGTCCTTGTGGAATACAATATTAATTTTCCCAGCTCCACTATTCTCCCTAACCACTATTGGCAGTTGGATGGTGTCGGCTATTAGCTCTGACAGCATCACCATCCATGGTTGCACATTCCACCTTATTAAGCCAGTCCAGAACCTTGGCATTTTGTTTGACCCTCAACTACCCTTTCTATCCCACATCTGTGCTATGACCCGCTCTGCCTTCCCCCACCTCCGCAGCATCGCCCGGCTCCGAGACTGCCTCACGCTGCAGGCCGCCGAAACCCTCACACACGTATGCATAACTTTGAGTCTGGTCTACGCAAACTCCCTGCTTGTCAGCCTCCCCAACTCCTCCCTTCATAGGCTGCAGATCATCCAGAGCTCTGCAGCTTGTGTCTTCACCCGCACCAGGCTCCGTGACCCTATCACCCCCATCCTCAACCAACTCCACTGGCTTCACATCACACAGAGGATACTGGATCAAGATCTTGGTCCTCATCTTCAAAGCCCTGCATGGCCTTGCTCCCCCTACCTCTGGGACCTTCTACGCCCGACCAACCTGCCCGCTCCCTCCGCTCAGCGGGCTCTGGCCTGCTTCATGTCCCTCACCTCGCCCGTCCCACCATTGGCGGGTGAGCTTTCAGCCACTCTGCCCCCATCCTCTGGAACTCCATCCCGCAGTCCCTCCGCCTCGACCCCTCTCTTGCTTCCTGCAAGATCCATCTCAAGACCCTCCTCTTCGACTGTGCCTTTGATCACACTTCTTCCCCACCCTTTCCTCCATCCTCCCCGTTCCTGACCCCCAATTCGGGTCCGAAACACTGACTGTTCAGTGTCTTGGGACGTCCTCCCAATGTGAAAGGCACTATACAAATGTAATTTTGTTGTTGTATTTTCAACAGACACAGTGGTCAAAGTAAGTAAACACTGCTGAGAGCACTAGCCAGATATAAGTGGTGAAATGCAGCTTGCCAGCTCCAGAAATTGATTCAGCCTAAATTTTGTCTTTTAACAAAGAAAATACTAAGTTGTGTGAAGTATCCAATATTAAATTACTTTACCTTTATGTTATAAAAGCATGTTAGTTATTCAGACAAACAGTGGTGTCAACACTTGAATGTTATTAAAGAAGTGACTTTGGCATTCATAAATGGCACCTCATAAAAAGATAATATTAAAATGTTACCAAACATATAATAACAGACAGAAAGAAAGCTAAGAATCAAAATGAAGAATACAACTACAACCTCCATGCCCAGGCTGAAGTGAAGGACATGGATCAACAAAGGAATAGGAACACAAAATAAAATAGACCTTGAGACAGTTCAATGTAATCCTTTAAAATGAGTCACATCGATTCACACAAGAGAACAAATAGGATAAAAATAAATCTAACTACGTTTGGAACATATGGTTGCAGATTAAATTTAGAGTTAAGTATCTAATGCTATTGTTACACTTACATTTTATCTGAGACCTTGTTTGTAGAGGAAAATGAGAGCTGAATCAATAAAAACAGTTCGCTGTATTTCGCTCCCTATTGCCATAATGACCTTTCTGCATTCAGAAATGTCAAATAGCTCAACTGATGGCTCAGCCATACATCACAGGTACATTCCTGGGTTTGAGTAAGTTAGCTGATTTAAGGGTGATGGGATTTCGCATGTGTCAGATGTTGACCAAAATATCCCCCCACCACCAAAAAAAAGCATCTGAGACAGTTGTTTAGACATAATTGGCTTCTGTGTTCCTGATTACAATCAAGCAACTTCTGCTGGAGAGTACTTATATGTGGACATTGGTCGAGGATAGAATCAGGTTCAACTGTTATACTCCTCACAGTCATTTATTCTGCTATCTCTCACATAAAGATTGAAAACTTGGGTGAAGTATTGAAGGACAGCAGGGCCATTGAATCACCCTCGCATCGGTTAGTAACTTCAGGAGGAGGACATGTAAAATCAAAGGAAATGTTCTAAATAATTATATAATAATGATATAAATAAATGTCTGTTATAAACTAGAGATAGTTCCATCACAGCCAATCATAATCCTGTTTTTATCTTTTATTCACAAGCTTACATTATTATTATTATGGTCCAGCAGCATTCACTGAAAAGTGGTCAGGTGTGAAAGCCCGATTATTCACATCCCTACTCCAAGGCTTCTGAGGCCAATTATAGCATTCCAAATCACTGTGTCAGGTGGGTCCATGCAACAGACATGGATTTGTATCTGCAGCTTCCTGCTCTGTAGGGGTTTAGTGCTACACCAAGAGTTAGGTTTACCAAGTTGGTCAGTAACATTGAATAAAGAATGCTGCTGACGTATTGAAGATGTTTTAGTCATCACTCGCTGTCTAGGTTTACACATGAAAATAGCTACTTGGATCAAAGAAACTGCATTTGGGTATGAATCACCACATTCAGGAGAGCCCAATGAAAGGCTCCATGGAGGAATTAATGTTTTTAATATAGTAAATTCAAGTTTGCATTAATTGTATGAGTGAAGATTGTAAGAGAGAGGAAGAACATAAGAATACTCCTTTAGGCAGCAGTAAGATCTTTTAATATGAAGGTCATCACAACATATTGTAATCTCACGCTCCAGTAAGGTAAATGTACTGCAAAAAATGTATTGAGATACAATACAAAATTACATTTGTATAGGGCCTTTCATGTTGTGAGGATGCTAATAAGCTTCGCATTTTTGTCACCAACAAAAACATTTACTTTGAAATGTATTATTCTTCTCCCAGTAGCCCAAAGTATTTGAAAAGTTACATTTGCTTTTAACCTTTTTGTGTTCTCCAGAAAAGAGAGCAGCTCATTTAATTGCTAGACAGCTGTTTAAGATTTCTTTTAATTCAGTGGCACATCAAAGACACTTGACAAGAGCACCATAGTCTCGCAAACATCTTTCGAACTGGGCATTGGGGAACCTTTACTGAAATGATGTGATGTTATTATTTCATCATTATTGTTCTGACCTTCCCTAACATATTCTAGAATTGTTCAGCCAAATCATCAGATTTCCTATCCAGGCCAGCGTTTCAATACTGCATGCGAACTTTCTGTTCACAAACAGCAGATTAAGTGTAAAATACACGTCGAATTCTTCACGACCTGAGCCATTCACAAATTAAGTGCAAACTTTCTAAATTGCTGTCTTCTTGGAAAAAAAACGAATGGAATACAGAGTCACCTGATGCGTGTTTAATCCCTACACATTTCACGTGCACAACCTTTTGAGTTCCTCAGAACCAATACTGTGAAACAGAAAGGTCTTTCAAATGTTTGACAACTCTTTCAGAGGCTCGTCGATTCAGAGACACAAGTTCTACAAACGCATTTCTATATCTTTATACTGTACCTCAATAAAACAAAAATCACGTGTTTTCCTATGTTAGGATGTCTGCACCTTTCTGAAATATGTGGAGTCCTGTAGCTCAGTGGTTAGAGCACTCGCTTTGCAAGCGAGAGACCTGAGCTCAGTTCCAGGCAGAGGGCGAAACCTTGGGCAAGTTTCCTTTCTCCACACAGAGCCTAATAATAATCCCTCCAAAACCAAAAACAATAATAAATTGGTCATTTTCAATCTACGACTGTTTGTGGGACATTGCTGTGCGCAATTGGCTGCCGCGTTCGCCCACAAATATAGTCAATTCACTTTACAGTGTGTTCTGTGAAGCGCTTTGGGACGTCCTCCCGACGTGAAAAGCGCTATATCAAATGCAAGGATTATTCTTATTATTACATACACATAAATAATCATTCAGGGGTTCATCAGAACCGATGCTGAAGATATTCAGGAATGTTTGCATGATTTCCCTTCTGGCTTGCTCCTCCCACTCGGCTCTCCTCGGAATCTCTTCAAATCTACCCAAGTTGGATGCTATAAAATAAAAATATATGCAGGGATACTTTCTGCAGCTCACAACGGGAGCACGGCGCCAGCAGTCTGACGACTAACGTTAGCACATGAAAGAGTTTCCTACACTGAAAAAAATCAATGTGGTGGGATGGAGCTGCTAATCTACTTCAGTAATGCTAATCCCAAATGCAAATCATTTAAAGCCGTGATATGCAAAGGTTGGGATCACAAACGTTTTGTCTTCTGAACTAATCAATTGCTGTTCTTTGACAACATAAAAGTGTGGGAAAAGAAAACGATTTCAAGTTTGCGAAATGTTGAATCAAAACCAAAATGGCCCATCAGTGCCTATTTCTCAGAAACAGTGTTAAAGGGTACATTTTATGGGATGATACAAAAGATATAAATGGCATTTCAAATAGTAGCGGATTACCAGGCAATGGAAAGCAGCTTTGGGTGAGGTTGTAGCGTTTGCTTGTTTCAATACGAAATACACATTCATCTTTTTCTATCTTACTATCCAGTCTAAACTCTTATTTTGCTTCAATTTAAGAATATTTAAGGCAAAAGCTCTCGCTTTATACGAAGGTGAGGCGTGTTCTGCATCTTTGAAACAGCAGCAGTTTTCCAGTACAGACAAACTGATCTCATTGCTTATTGTCTCCAAACTATTCAACCTCGTCTGATACTAATTACTTTCCAATTTGCTTCATTGACTAATAAAGTCTCTTGCAAATGAGTACTTGACCTCTTGGGGACCCTCCCCCGACGCAATCGAAACACTTTGATCCCTCTGCTCCCGTTTAGCACTGCATTGTGCGCTAAATGGTTTATTTAAAGTATATATGCTTCATCAATAAGGCGCAAATGTGAGACCTAAGATCTTTGATTGACTTATCAATTAACTTATCTGTTAATGCTACCCTTTGAGGGTGCCGATGCAAAGCGAGCAGGATAGGGATTTACCAGGCGTTGCCTCCCAGTCAACAGTAACACACCTTTAGGAATCTCCAGAGCAACTCCATTAAGTGTTTGCAGGAACGCTGAGATCCATGTGAAATTTCTAAAATATTTTGACATGTTGTAGCTCTATCTCTATCTCCAACCTGGTCTCCAGGACCACTGACATCAAGTCCTGGATGAGAGCTAACTTTCTCCAGTTGAATATTGCCAAGATGGAAGACCCTCTTCTTTGGCTCCTGTCAGCGCCTAAACAAGAATAATAATTTGCATTTATATACAGTCATTCACGCTGGACAGACTATTCACCTGACAGCATAACTATTCACGGATACACTCTCCACCTTGCAGAAGCAGTATGGGACGTTGGTGTCATGTTCGACCCTTGACTATCCTTCAAACCCCACATCCGTGCCATGACCCATTCGGCCTCTGCCCACCCTTGCAACATTGCCCTCCTCTGCCACGTCCTCTCCCATCAGGCAGTCGAGATCCTCATTCATTCAATCATCACATCCAAGCTTCTTATGCCATGTACTATCAATATTTTCTTGTCATGCATCAGAAAAACAATCATGCCAGTCGCATGATGCTGCTGACTTTCTGTCAACCCTTTTATGTGTGTTATTCCCATTTTGCATGCCTTGTTTAGGAAGCCCTTCATCAGTTGAGGAACTATGCAAACAAAAAGTCAAAAAATGCAGTGACTGTGTTTATGTACGCAAACACAAAAGGCAATTTAGCCAACAGCAGGGTTCCACAAACAGTGCCATCGGAGACAGGCAGACAGGATCGTTGCTTAACATGCCAACTGAAGGATAACAATCCCCACAGTACATTGCGCAACCAACTACATTGCACTGTCAGCCTGGACTATGCTCAGGTCCTAATATGGGGCTGAATCCACATCCTTCCAAATCATACCAACTCTGAGAAATAAGAGAGGAAAATAATTACAATAAATTGTACATATCAGTTCTGTTCAAGGTTGCCTACCTTCTGAATGAGGTTTGGGCATGTTTTTAGTTGGTGTGAGAAATAGCATTGAATAATTAATGAATGATTTTGCTATCAGTGCCACTTTCCAAAAAGACTCCTGAACAGTTAGAGAAATAAGCATGAATACATGTACTAAAAAGGGAATAATTTTAGAAACACCTTGTGTAAATAGACCAATCACTAGATACAATAGAGGTTTAAAACAATTTATTTCATAGTCGACTTTAGTAAGAAGGTACAACACCACTAACCTCTGACCACGTCCACTTTCTTTCACCTCTGCAATATTGCATCAACTCTGCCATTACCTCACTCCCAAAAGAGACCAAATCTGTATCCTCCTTGCCTGTCTTCAGATTGCACTTGAAGACCTTCCTCTCTTCTCAGCTAGGCATCAAGTGCCATCGGTGTTAAGCACTCTAGATACTTCCCCGTGTGAAGGGCACTATGTAAATGTAAGTGGTTGTTGTAGCAAGACTTGAGGAAGTGGCTCTGCTTGTGCTGCAGATTGGAGAATAAGAGACATCGCCTTATTGAATATGGTTAAGAGGTTCACAACTAAGGTGGATAGCAAGTTTGAGATCAGATTTAGCAGTTTGCTCTGGGAAATAAAATTACCCATGAAGCAAGAATCTGAATGGCCGAGGGAGAGAAGGTACAATAATTTAGTCATAAGGTTTTACTTTTCTCCATCCATGTTTGACAGTGCTGACTTATGTTGGAGGATAGTTCCAGACACAGGGCCCAAGTGATGATTCTGCAAGTGTGTTTATTCTGTGCTGGACATCACAGCAGAACTCCAATGCCCATATATGCACTTTCCCGCGGAGATCACAGGATAATGAGAAGGAATGAGAACGCTAGCTTAACTTTCCCCTCCTGTGTTGATGCTGTTGCTCTTCATGTTTCAGTTACATATGTAAAATAAATTGAGTAAGTAAAGATTGCCAACCAAACATTTTGAGTTTTTGTCTAAATCTCAAAAGGAAATTACATTTAGTCAAGTCTGTGCATCTAAACGTTTGCTACTTACACATCACAGGGTGACAGCTAATTTGTTAGTTTTAAGATATACTGAAAATAGTGGATGGCAATATATTAATTCTGAACTATGTTTTAATCTATTCCTAGTGAAAATACATAATTTACTCGACCTTATGTATGAAAATTTCTGCTACAAGTATATATCCTACTGTTCTGCATGTCAAGTGTATAGCTTCAGCACTGAAAAAAACATGAAAGGCTTAATAATGCTTTATTTCATGCAAATTGCAAACATAACAAATTCAATGCTTAAGGATTACAGGAATTAAAATTTATTTTTAAAAAAATCATTTATAAAGTACATTTAAAACGTGCATCTCAGTGGTGTACATCATTCAAATACAAACGGTGAGGGATGATTTCAGAGAGTTGCACAATATTTGGTGAGATCATGATTAAAATATCTCATGCTCTTTCAATCTTACATACTAAACTACATACTGAAAAATCAGATCAAAACATTACATTTATTTGGTGAGTTAATTGAAATGTGAAAATCACGATTATTTTGAAAGGTATACCACTTCATGCGTACACAACACATATCCCAAAAAACTCATATGCACCTTTGTTCATTTGCTGTACAGTTTGACATTAATGCTACCACACTATTGGATCTAAGAAGTGAATATTTCAGATGCAAAAATATTCTTCACATAGCTTCAAATAAGAGCTATGCTAACATTTCCTTTTTAATTCTCTTGAAACATTTAGTTTTTGACTACACATTGTATTTATGCTAGATGAAACAATTATTATCAATAATTGTGTTGATTGCTCCTTTATGAAATAGGTGTTGTGGAGTGCCAGGACATGGCTTCATATATATATATATAATTACCCGCATAGCAATTTGCTTATCTCAGCCAGGCTACTCTTGAATGATTGAGGTACACTCAGATAAGTGGTTTGAGGTACTCCACAACAAAACGTGTTGCCTTCCCTTGCATGCATGACGTGGGGACATTCCTCCTGTCAGACACTTTAATGTGTCAGAGGCAATACAGGAGTTCAATAATTTAGCAGGCATTAAAAAGTAGAAAAGGAAAGTATGTGCAACATAACAGTTTTCTAGACTATAAAATACATCAAGTATGTTGGTATGTTAAGGAAAAACTCCAGATTTCAAAGAATTGAAACACTTAATTCCTCTCCAATATCCAATTGATAATATCTTCAGTCACATAGGCCAAAATGGATGGGGAAAATGATGTGCATAGGAGTGATTAGGGCAAAAGTAATAATAAATAATAATCTTTGCATTTGGTATAGCACCTTATCATGTTGTCGAGATGTCTCAAAGCGCTTCACAGAATACAAAGTGTCTATTTCTTCCATGTATGCCACCCTCAATATAAACTGGGTGAACACAAACTTCAGATTTATAGTGACCTCTTTGTATTTTGTAATGCCTCCACATTTGAAGGTGCTTGATTTTTTTTGGTGTGTGGGGGTGGGAGGAAGGAATGGAAAATGAAGACCATTTCTGGACGAGAGAAATTGGACAGTTCTCTGTGTATTAAATACAGGTTGCTGTGAGTCTTCAAACATTTATTTTTAGTATAGTGATGCTTTAATAAGATACAGTTTTATCATACAATAAAGTGCAATCTAATTGGTTCATACAAATCACTGATTGGTGAAATTTAAAGAAATCTTCAAAAGTGCCATTCATCATGACTGATTAAACCAATAATCCTGATATTGACACACATCATTGTAACACTATAGCTCGACCTTACCATCAAAATAAATTCAAGTTCTTTGAAGAACAGACCAGAAATTTAGCATCTCACTGAAATGTTGCTTTTACTTTGCGCAATGTGTCTTGAATCTTGCGAGAATGCAATTCATTTGATGACTGATAGAAATTAGTTTTATTTTCTGCAGCAAGAACATGGATATCTACTTCACTGAAATGGGATATTCGATGTCTCAGATACATCTGCATCTCCGAATCTGGGGTGAACACATAGGGATTTTCTTGAAATGCTCGAATCTGACTTACTACTTTTGCTATTTTCCTGAAAACACAAAACAAAACTATGAAAAATGTGCAATTACTCTACATCTGCACATATCACTCCTAAATAAATAAACAAACTCGAAAACGAGGGTTATATTTTGGTATGATATATCTTAAATATCACGAACTGAACAACTGATGAGAAAATAATTATTTTAATCTACTACACAAACCACATAAAATATTATGGCTGATGAACATCAGAGTAAAACACAAAGCTCAACTGGAAAAAAACAATAAGGTGAAAGAAGTCATTACTATTTGTCAAAAATTAAAGAAACATAAAAATTGAAAACTCACAGCTCTATATATACACTGTAATGAGCAATTTCCACTTCCATACCATGACCAAAACGCAGATGTGATTGATGCCTTTTGTCAGAATAGTGTGAATAAGGACACTGCATTTTCTTTAAATTACAATGGAATTTACTTTTGCACCTATGTGAGGTTAGCACCCAATTCGTTGTTTTTAAACTAGCAATAACTTGCATTGGCTCACACAGCAGCTATTCTTGTTCTGCTCAATGTCTGCAATTTACCTTCACTGCTGGTAGGAGCAAGTCTGATGCATTTTGATTGACATTATTCCTGCTAAATGGGAGTTAGGTCACAATATTTCTCAGATACAGTATTTAAATTTAGTTATTTATTGCTTTTTTATTTATTGTTTTTATTGTTTTGCTGGAGCTTATTGATTTTCTGATGTAGACAAAATTAATTATGAAGTTGATCTATTTTAAAAATACAATTATATTATTATTATTACTACTTTAAAATCTAAATATTCATCTTTTCATAGTCACATCCTAATCATTTTGTTTGGTTTCTAAGAGTATCTTGATTCTTTGGTGAGGTGTAGTTTCAAGGATGCCAGCCACCTTCTGGTACCTTGTTCAAGTACTCTTATCTTTATGTGTGAGCTTTGACATCAAGCATTCAGGTTATGATGGCACAGCAGATGAGCTTGATCCTGTTCACACATGTGAAGTTTCCTGCAGAAGTCATGAATAATAATGATGAGGAGAATAATTTCCTCATCTCTACTCAGGACTCGTGGAGTCCTGTAGCTGAGTGGTTAGAACACTCGCTTTGCAAATGAGAGACCTGGGTTCGATTCCCAACAAAGTGAAACCTTGGGCAAGTTTCCTTACTCCACACGCCTGCTAATAATACCTAAAAAAAACAGTAATAATTTTGTCATTCAATCCATGACTGTTCGTGGGATGCTGCTGTGCACAATTGGCTGCTGCATTTCACCCACAGTCAATTCACTTTACAGTCTATTCTGTGAAGCACTTTGAGATGTCAAGAAGACGTGAAAAGTGCTATATCAAATGCAAGGATTATTATTGTTACTATTTCAGCACATACTAGGATTTGAACTTCTGGTCTGCTTATCAAAATGTTCAAACAATTAGAGCTCTATTCCTGTATTTCAGCTGAAAACAATAATAATAATCATTGTACTTGATATTGCACTTGTGATGTCAAAGACATCTCAAAGCATTTCCCATAGTTTCTGTAAATGTAGTGACTATGTATTGGTAGATGAATGTGGCAGCCAATTTGTTCACATCAATGTCCCAAAAAGAGCCACAGTATGGATTTTACCTGGAGCACTGTCGACCAAGTAACCTGTGTTTTCAACTTAAATCAAGAAAATCAACCAACTTACTGCAAAACTAAATTCCTACATTATGAAAACTGTTAAACTGCATGCTGAATAAGAGCCAAATAAAATATTTGAACACTGCAATCATTTAACACTTTTCCAAACTTACCTTAGCTTGGGCCATTTGTATGTTCCATTAGCCATGGTAAAAGAACCTATTTCTACTTGTTGGACATGCATTGCCAAAATGCAAGCACATGGAATTGTAGGTTGCTTCCTGAAGCTATCTCCCTCCATTAGACACAGGCTGTCACTCTTCAGGAAAACCTGATATAGTAAAGAATATTGTTAGTAGCTCACAAACCAGAAATACATCAACACTACGTTTCTTCTTTGACAATCATAATAATAATAATAATCCTTGCATTTGATATAGCGCTTTTCACGTCTTCTAGACATCTCAAAGCGCTTCACAGAATATACTGTAAAGTGAATTGACTGTATATTTGTGGGCAAAATGTGGCAGCCAATTGCGCACAGCAGTGTCCCACAAACAGTCGTGGATTGAAAATCACCAATTTATTATTGTTTTGTTTTGGAGGGATTATTATTAGGTGTGTGGAGTAAGGAAACTTGCCCAAGGTTTCGCCCTGCCTGGAATTGAACCCAGGTGTTTCGCTTGCAAGACGAGTGCTCTAACCACTGAGCTACAGGACGCCACGACATTGAGCTACAGGACTCCAAACATTGAAAAGCAACAAATTCTCTTGCTGCTAAATGTTATGATTGACAACATGTGATAAGAAATTCCACCTGGGTCAAAATGTACTGTATTTCAAAGTTTGCAGAATTTGGTAAATTGTTGAATTCAGTCTCAACTTTGAAGCTGATTTTCTGTAGTTTCTTTAAGGAACATCACAGAAAAACAATTTTGAAATGCAAACTGTATTTTAAAACATTTCAAATTATAGATGCTTTGAAATGTTAGGTGATTAAATGGAGATCCAGGTGAAATTTCTACCCAAGTGTGTCTATTATGGAATTTTTCTGGGAAAATAATTAGGTTTTGTTGCATAAAGTTATATAACAAAGAGTGCAATAATGGGGTGTTGCTGGAAGTTAATCAGCTAAACAACAAGAAGAACAAAATTACATTTGTATAGCACCTTTCACATTGGGAGGACATCCCAAGGCGCTGGACAGACAGAGTTTCGGACCCGAGCTGGGGGTCGGGATCAGGGAAGGTGGAGGGCAGGAGGGGAAGCAGGGAGATCGAAAGGTCGAAGAGGAAGGTCTTCAGTTGGATCTTGAAGGAGGCAAGGGAGGGTGCAAGGCGGAGGGACTGTGGGATGGAGTTCCAGGGGATGGGGGCAGAGTGGCAGAAAGCCCGCCTGTCAATAGTGGGGCGAATGAGGCGAGGGACGTGAAGCAGGCTGGAGCCTGTTGAGCGGGGGGAGCGAGCAGAATGGTAGGCGGTTAAAACTGCAGAGTTGCCATGTAAGGTGGCATTAACTCACTAAACATGTAGGGATTTTAAAGGAGAAAAATGTGAAAATTTGCATGTTCCATCAATCTGGCTGATAGGAAGCAGATTTATCCATGGCAGTACACAGGTTCATGTGTGTATTTATAAAACAGAAATTAATATTCATTGCAATGGAATAAAATTCCCATGTGATTCACTAGACATCTAGATGGTTATTTTCTGCTTGTCAGTAAATTATCTGACTATTATCACTGTGCAATATAATTTGATTGAAATCAATAAAGTGCACTGATTTTTTTGGAGGATGCTGCAACTAATGATCCAAGTGTCTTGCATTGCTGCCACCAACTGTAGCCCCATCTGCGCTGTTAATCTGCTTGAGCCGGTGTTGTGGAATCTACCTCACAGAGTGTCATGAGCACAGGTTCCGCAGCAGCTCAGGATATTGCAGAATCCCTTCTATTTGAAGCAATGATTTTGGTTTGTGGTGTTATTATACACCTAAGTTTCCCCACAAATTAGACAGTGAGTTCATTTTACAGCATTCTGTGAAGCACTTTGAGACGTCTCGAAGAGGTGATAAAGCGCTATATCAAATGCAAGTGATTATTAGCAATCAAATATCAAATGATTAGTATTATTACTTTACACAGGTCGAGTTTTCAGAGTGATGTGACCAGATAGCACCACTCTGCCTACCCAAATCAGGAAAAAAAGGAACTTTGATTGTGTGTATGTAAACACGTATACAGAGGTCTGCTTGCTAGTGACTAAATACTAGTGACACTTTTGATATTAGCAAAGAACAGACAATCCTCCCAGAACTTTTCTTACATTGGAAACTTAAACCATAAACGCCCACTCGAACAAGTGAACTGGAATTTGGTTTAACACCTTATCTGAAAAAATGGCACCTCTGACAATGAAGTACTATGGGCTCATGGGGATTGAACCCCAAACTTTCTTACCCAGAGATAAGAGTAGTACTAACTAATCAAGCTGATACCTATTACTGTGATGTTGATCCGTATCTCAATGAGAATTTGAACCTTTAGAGAAAGAGGAAATAAAATTGGAAGGGGTGGGCTGAGAAGAAAAAATAATCCTACAATGTTCTCCAACAAGACTTAAATTTACTTATTTATTGACTTATTTTTCAGTACCTGAACAGCAGTCAGTTCCTCCATAATTTCTAGTGCCTTTGAAGACAAGTTCTTCCAGGCCTGAAAACAAAATACCAATTTCAAAAGATTGTGATAGCTTTCATTTATGCAATCCGTCAAGTTTTTTTTGTTTTGAAAGAAAACCTTTTTTTTTAACATTCTAGTTTGATCTGACTGCCACAATTCATAAATAAATAAAATAAAATAAATCTAGAAGTTCATGTGAGCGAAAGTTGATAGATCTCCTGAGTTTCTAGACTGTCACATAGGTTATGAGATATATATGAATGGGCTGGGGTGATGCTGTGGGATTTAATTTGGGAATATCAGGTCAGGGTATATTTGGGGAGCATTGAATTGTCATGGATCACAACATAAACTAACATAGGATTATTTATTTCCATTATTTCAAATAAAGAGTTATAAATTATTATTGAAGTCCAATCAGAGTGCACTTATTTGGCTTGGAAGAGACTGGTAGCAAGACACACTGATTGAGGCTATCACAATAGGAAATTAAGTGGTCATATTCAGCATGAAATATAACGTTTGAATTCAGCAGTATATAGTCTGGGAAATTTTTGAGTGAGATGGAACCTAACAGAAGCTGGTGTGTTTGGGATCAAGTCAGTTTCCTTTTACTAATGGTTACTTACAGGCAATTGTCGCACGATCAGATTTTCCAGTCCACTGAGAATCTGCATTGCTGTAGCGAAGTTTCTCCATTCATAACAACACTTTGCCATCAATAAACATTTTGTTATCAGTCCATTTTGTGTCTGAGAGGGGAAAACACATCAATAGCTCTTAAGGAATCATACTTTGGTAAGCTGATGTCTGCTGCTACCCAGGTTCCATTGTGAGACACAGCTTTGCCTGAATAGAGGATGAGCAGACAATGTTTTGCTCTTTGAGTTGAACCTTGGTAAGATTATGAAATTTTCTAGCCAGTTTGAAACTATGAACAAATAAAAAACTAATGAATACTGGAGGTCACTGTCGCACAGTGGGTGCCAGTGTTCACAACAGCTTTTTTCTCTCGCTGGGTTTGTGTTTTGGCTGTCTCACTGACCCTATGTCAGGCAAGTTTCCTTACTCCACATGCCTTTGTTTACCTAGTAGTAAGTAGGAACCAATTGTTGGTTGATTGGTAGATCGTTTTCCGGTAATAATCCCTCCCCTCCCAAAATATATAATTTTGTCACTCAATCCACAACTGTTTACGGGACATTGTTGTGCACAATTTGCTGCCACGTTTCGCCCACAAAATACATAGTCAATCCACTTTATAATAGATTCTGAGAAGCACTTTGAGATGTCTTGCTGACGTGGTAAGGCACTATATAAAATGCAACGATTATTATTACATATAAAGAGCATTTCATTGCAGGTTGAACAAAGGTGTTCTACCTTTGTACAGATCATGGTGAGGATAATTTTGAATATACTGAAGTTTTGACCACCTTAATTGGAAATAATATATATATTGGGCCATTTTAGGAACATGCATACTCCAGTGGAAAGTCATAAATTGGACCAACTTTAAATTTGGATTGTATATTGATTTATTTGGAAAGCTTCTCAATTAATTGCAAATAGGTGCTGGTAAGAATATGGAATCTATCTATAGTATCAAATATAAAAAAACAGAATGTTGTACCACAAAAGAAACAGGTTCCTCCCATACATTAGAATACATTAGAATATGCAGCACAGAAACAGTCCATTTGGCCCAATTGATCTATGCCTGTGTTTAAGCTCCACATGAGCCTCCTCCTGCTCTTCCCCAACTAAGCCTTTGAGCATAACCTTCATACATTTTGGAATCAAGTAAATCTGGAACCTTACCTTAGATGTGTCACAATTGACAATTTCAGCAGAAACCCAGTTGCCAACATTGTCTGCATATTTAATCAGCTGAATAAGATAGTGTTCCTGTCTGTACTCTGGCACAAATAAACTGTTACCCTCTATAACCACTGGTTCCGGAGAAACTGATCTGTTAAGAGGGGGAAAGATAATGTTTCAATATAGGCATGTATCAAATATTAAAATAGATTTCTGCATGAATAGGATCAGAAATATTGTGAAACTACACATAGCTATATTTTGCTGACTATTCAGTCCATTTCTTGAAGGACCACCATGATTTCCACAGTGAGGTTATTTCTTTGTAATCACTGCCACACAACTGCTATTCTCTATGTAATTTAAACCTAAAAATATAGTTTATTTTTGTTTGCATCATCCTTTATGTATGCTAAACCTAAATAAATACATTTAGATTTCAATTTCAACCATAAAACAAGGGACTTGAAGCTACTCACTTTGTGACTGCTGGAGATTTGTCTTTAACCCCAAATGCTCTTGAATTGAGAAAATTAACAGGGTGACAATCTTGGAACAATTCCTAAAATTACAAAAAACAGCTGTTAAAGCAGAAGCTTCAGCATTGTATGTACACATTAAAATTTTCATAGAAATTATTTAATATTAAAAGAATGCTGCAAAGAGAATATAAATATAGGTTTTGTATAACTATTGTGCATGGTTTTAAAACAGTATACTGAATTTGTTATTTACTAAGTGTGCCAAGCTGCCACCAAAGAGAAAGATTATTTGAAATAGGGAGTGGGTAAAAAGGGGGAATTGCTTATATCAAAATTGGATTCACAAGGTGAACTGGATATAATTTAGCTTACGTAAAATATTTACATATGAAAAGCTGTTGAATTACAAAACAAACACACCATAAAACACTCCCTTAAAATAGAACCAGTCTGGGAAGGGAGGGTAGCTTCAATCTGAAGTACTTTTTAATTGGATTGCAGTGCCAGGATAGCGGCTAGAACTAGGAAGGATGCCAATCCCTCTTCAACATAATGAGCAGTATTCTGTGATAGACCCATTGCATATGTAAAGTTGATAGGTTTTTTTTCTTTTAGAGAGACCTGACAAGGCATGTTTTTAGTGTGCTGTTTTTCCATTGAATATTTTATCTAAGATAAGAGAAATTACACGTCGGATATATAAAAAATATTTATTGGGACAATATGTTAGATTGAAAATGCTCTTCCAGCATGTCATTCTCCTTTACACGTTAGAGGTCACCCGTTTGCCGACTGACTAAACCATTATTTCCACTCTGTGCACGCAAAGATGCTCAGAATAAAAAGTGAGTGCCAAGGGGCTACCTGACCTTGGTCCATAGCATTGGAACATTAAAATTATATGTAGAGGTCAAACTTCTGTCCTAGCTGTGAAAAACTTACTAATGCAAGACTTGAGAGCAAAGTCTAGGCTGATATTCCAGTGTAGCACTGAGAGTGTTGCATTGTTGGATCAAATATCGACCCAAGTGCTGTTGGGATGGGGGGGGGGGGGGGGGGGGGGGGGGAAGAAAATTATTTCATGACACTATTTGAAAAGAGAAGGAAGTTTCGCCTGGTGTCATAGCCAACAAGTCTTCTGATTAATTTGATCATTCATCTCTTGGCTGTTTGTGCGACTTTGCTGGTGCAAGTGGGTTCCACGTTTGTCTCTAACAACAATATTTGCACTTGACAGTGCACTGACTTGGGCTTTCACTCAGGAAGCACTTTGGTACTTTTTTTTTCTTTACTAGCTTGGTTGATCCACAGGTTGTGAAGTTCTTCAGATAGTACATTTCAGGCATTCTGGAAATGGTCTAACTAATTGGTGGAATAAAAAAGACCTTTAAGGAGCAAAAATGACTGCAATACCAGTTAAAAAAAAACACAACAGGACTTCTAATGCTCCCTGCAGGTAAATCCTGAACTTTAGGGTAAATCTTGAAGTGGTTTGAGAGGTCCTCCTGATGTGAATGACACCATATGAAATTGAATCATTATTATTAGTAAAGAGGTTGAAGATCCCATGGCACTACTCTTATAGTATCCTGGCCAACAATGCTTACCCAGATAAAATTGGTTATTCATTTCATGGCTGTTTGTGGGATGCCGCATTGGTCTGCAAAAATACACAGTCACTACACATTACTATGAATCCTGTGAAGCGCTTTGAGATATCTTCCTGACGTGAAATGCGCTGTACCAAAAATCCAAGGATTATTATCAAATAAATCATAAGCTTTAAGAATTCTAACAGTACCTGTTGTAACAAGGTCAGCTGCTGGGCTGTATGCTGTGGGCTGTACTCAGTCAACATGGAAAGCCCTTTCTCATCAAGTTTCTGGCAAGAGCCTGACAATTCTGCTGCAAAACTACTGTAGCAGGGCCTTGGTAATGCAGCTGCAATGGTGTAATATCTCTCCTTGTGCTGAGGGCTTGTGGACTCGCTTCCTTTACTAATCTTCCATTTAAAGCTCTGTTTGAACAATAACAGAATGAGATCCAATACAAAATTACATTTGTATAGCGCCTTTCACGTCAGGGGGATGTCCCAAGGCGCTGGATGCAGACATTCCAGACAATATTTTTAAGATGAACCAATCAAGCGTATCTTAACAGGGCATTGTGATTTCCAAGGATACGTTCTTCTCATTTTCGTTTAGTATCGAAAGAACTGCCTAATATCTCAAAACACTAAAGCCAATGCCTTGAATGAAACGGAGTCATCCTGAATGTCCCAAGTTTAAACCTTGGTTTGCATGCTCAGCCAAGGCAGCAGCGCATCTGGATTGGAAGTGAAAAANTTATCCAAGGTTCCCACTTCTGAATATTATCCAATTCTCCCTTCTGCCAAGGCACATGGACATCAGGTGAGGAGGGGCTTGGGCTTGGCTGTGAAGCTTCTCCTGAATTAAACAGCCACTAAAACTCACGGATTTGTGAGTGGCACTGGGGCAAAAGAACTGGAGGATGCCAGTCACCCGTGTAGTCATATCCAGCCTTTCAGGAAAATTGAAAGTAAAATAAAATGGAAAATCCTGAATAAATGGGATACATTAAAATACTTGGTAAATATGAAAACAATTGCCAAGCTCAAGCTCTGTACCAGTACCTTACCCAAGTGTGTGAGGCTAGGCATTGAGTAGGGGTGAGACTAACGAGCCTGATTCTGTTCTCACTATATCTTCACAGACTTAAAGTTTCCAACACTGGACACAAGACAATAATCAGGAACCCTGATAAAGTTTTCCCTCTAGTCTTAGCCCAGAAACATTTAACCTAATTTTAGTGTCTGACCATTGTCCAGTTGAGATAACTACTCTGCACAAACAAAGAATCAAACCCATAGGATTGTGGCCTGTGTGAATTTGTACCACGTTATTCAATGCATTTACCCACTGAATCATTAGAGTCATTTTATATCTGATTTTTAGTTTAAAAAAACAGTGAACAAACCTTTCTGGAAATATTTTCTTCTGAAAGCTTTTTGGAGAATGAGTGAAGCGATTGAATGTCCTCTTCAATCTTCATGTCTTCTGCACTGAAGCTTAAGTGAGACAACTTATGGACCATTTTAGCCTTCGAGCATGTGTGAAGCAAGTTAGCTAAATGCTGACCCCGATCGTCATATGGAATAACCTTCCAAAGGAAAGATCATATTAAGAGAACTGATTTTACTGGTATTTTACTTATTTATTACATTAATCCGTAATGTGAATTATTGCCATATTGATGTTTATTCTTTGCTCTATCGAAACCGATTAGATTAAATCATAAATGTGAAATTTTATTTGCATAGTCAGCTTTGATCAATCACATTTGGAAAATTAAAGCATTGCTCAAATGAAGGAAGAATAACATCAATTAATAGCCTAGTTTTTGAATAATACAAACATTCAGGCAATAAAAAAAAGGTTAGGATCAGTTTGTGAATTTACGAGTTATTATTAAGGCATTCCAAAGAACTAAATGTGTTCAAAGGGGCTTTACTTGGCCTAAGTCAATACAGTGTTTAATAGTTAAAATCAGATTGTTATAGTGGGCTCCATAGAGAAATGCTGTACAGAAAAGAATTTGAATAATTAATTGGCTTCTACAAGTGAGACTTGACAGGCTGTTTTACAGTGAGACAGTGAATTGAGCCAGATCTTGCATTTTGGCTTTACCACAGAAGAACACTTTCCTGCAGGGGTTATTGCACGCATTTCGCCCTCAAATATACAGTGAATTCACTTTACAGTCTATTCTGTGAAGTGCTTTGAGATGGCTTGAAGATATGAAAAGCCCTATGTCAAATGCAAGGATTATTATTATTATAATACGCGTAGAGCCAGGTTTCACCTCATGCGCCATTTATATTTGCAGTCGGAAGTAGTTGTAAATTTGCTTTGTAAACCACGTCCTAATGATATTGGGAGGCAGTGCACACCTGACTGGTAAGTTTTCAGCTGAGCTTTCAATGGCAGTCCTACATTAATTCTCATTGTACATGTTAGAATGCTATTTGGAGGCTCTGGCAGTGAAATATCTGATGTCTGTAAACTGAATGACTGATACACGCCTGCCCACCTATGTACAGGTGGCAAAGTGGTTTTGTTACTGCTTGCCTCTACATAACTTCCCTTGTCACAAGAGAAAATGGAAACAATGAACACATTAATAATAATAATAATCCTTGCATTTGATATAGCGCTTTTCACGTCTTCTAGACGTCTCAAAGCGCTTCACAGAATATAGTGTAAAGTGAATTGACTGTATATTTGTGGGTGAAACGCATATTATTGGAATTTGTGCAAGCATAGTGGTTTCAAAATAGTTTCAGGCCTTTCTTCATTGATAAGATGAAAGAGTGATTGCTGTCAGGGTATTTGAATGTAGCAAGCAGTTCAATCCTATACATACTTGGGTCCTACACTTCTCACACCCTTTGTCTTAAAGTTTGTTCAGAATTTAGAAAACAACAACAAATTACATTTGTATAGCGCCTTTCACGTCAAGAATTAAACAGTCTTCAAGTCAGTCTTAATTTTGTTTCCTTTTTCAGTATAGCGGATCAACTATTTCTACAGAATTAACATTTACCTTTGTGGAAATGAAGATTTCCAGTTTGTGTACGAGTTCAATGTCTTGTGCAAAATCCACATTGTAACATTCTTCAACCCAGCCCTGGAGTAGATCTAAAGTTCGGTTCAGCACCTTGATGCAATCAGTTGATCTTTTCTGGTTCAGACTATCAAAAATAGAAAACAAAGTATGCTTTTTCTTCCCAATTCTTAGTATACTGAAAGATTAAATCAATATCAGCGGTAACATTACTTTAGATCTGCAGTAGCCTCCTTGGGTAAGATCTAATTAAACACATCAGTCAGTCAGTGCTTCCAAAACATCTTTATTTCGGTGCAAGCACTACTGGTGCTATTTTGCAAATAATAATAATCCTTGCATTTGATATAGCACTTTTCACGTCGGGAGGACGTCCCAAAGCGCTTCACAGAACACACTGTAAAGTGAATTGACTGTATATTTGTGGGCGAACGCGGCAGCCAATTGCGCACAGCAATGTCCCACAAACAGTCGTGGAATGAAAATGACCAATTTATTATTGTTTTTGGTTTTGGAGAGATTATTATTAGGCGTGTGGAGTAAGGAAACTTGCCCAAGGTTTCGCCCTCTGCCTGGAATTGAACTCAGGTCTCTCGCTTGCAAAGCGAGTGCTCTAACCACTGAGCTACAGGACTCCAAAGATGCACATCTGGATACTGTCTATTATCATTATACACTGGGGTTGTGGAACTCCATTGGGTGTTTCACAAGATACCTGAAATCAAACTGTAACAAGAGTGTTTGAGGGTCAGGTAGCCCTGGCCATGAACCTGCATTCTGCTGGCCATTGCTGTAACAATTGGACTATAAACTTAGACAAGTAATTTTAGAATTTTTCAAAAATAGTATTAAGTATAGTATAGTACAAACAGTAACATAAATTCCTGGAATCCTAGTATAGAAATGAAGAAATTAAATTGTAAATATTCAACAAATGACTATCTCTGATAATACTGTACCTGATATGGGCAGCACTGTCAAATCGATCAGTTAGAAACTGAAACAAATCGCTGGGTGATGTAAAATAACGAAAGGTATAAAAGAACTGTTGAATGTAGCCTTCTATTACTGCATTGCTGTAAAAATAAGAATATTAATAATGAATATGTGCATGATATTAAATATAGGAATTCTTAATTACAAGATGATGAGAATTGGTTGTCTTTTACATATATAGTGATTTATTGTATACAGGGTAAGAACAATGTTTTCAGGATTTTAGCAACAAAGATATATTTTAAGCGGAATTTATAGGATACTGAATAAGAGCGCAAAGATAGATTATGAAGATTCATAAGACGTGATTTAAATCCCAGAAGTGGGATTTAATTATTTGTTTAATAATTTATGTACAACAAAGCTATAAGAAAGTTGTATTCGTCTACAGAATACACAAGACACAGAATACACTTTACAGTGAATCCTGTGAAGTGCTTTGTGGCATCCTCCTGATGGGAAAGGTGCTATATGAAATGTAGGATTACTATTATTATTATTATTCAGCATGGTGGATGAGATAGAAATGCTAATGTAATTGGCTAAAAAATTTAGTAAACTTATAACAAAAACAATATGTATTTTATATTGCGCCCTTCACAGGGGGTAGTGTCTCAGAAATAGAAGATATTTCTACTGGATGAGATCAGGTTCAACAGCACAAACTCTGAGTGTTCCTTTGTCTACTGTGTAGTGGAATTTCCAACAATTGGCTTTGAATAATCTCTTCAATAAACTTTTGTAGAACAAAAGGATTGCAGAAATTAAAAAAATGGGGTGTCATCAAGCCTACAGAATATCAAGAACATATTGTGGAAATTATATTACTCTAGTTGAGTAAAAGTTAATTAGTCTGATATAATCATAATTTCTCAATTTTTTTATTATTAGATATAACCTCAAAATATCTTATGTTGCCTCAATAACAACTGATAGTTATACATGCCAGTTGTTATTCACCTGTTGTATAGGTAAGCCATCAAACCCATTGTTGTACCAGCCTGAAGCATTTGTAGTCTGATATTGCTATGGCTCTGATCGTCCTTCAGAGAGTGGAAGGTGAGGAGAGAATTAATATCAGTGGATTTGAGTTCCAACATGTCAGTCTGGGATGACGAGCTGACCAATGAAGGAAGCACAGAGGAGTTCAGGCCCCACTGTTCCATATGCAATACCTAGAAAGATCAAGATCAACATTAAGAACATTTGAAAGTCTACTTTAACTACGGACACATGAATCCGTTTTCTTTAATATAGAATACTCGTACGTTTGGATTTTCAAAAAAAAAACTAAATATGTATACACATCAAATATATGCTATATTTTACACAAAAAAAACCTCTGCCTTTTTCTTTGTTATAGAGGTGCTACCTCACATCAGAGTGAGCTTCCATTTCCCTGCCGGCTTCCCAAGCAGCTATTCTTCACGTGTAAGTAAAAATAGTCTACACAAAGCAAATTTTCCAGTTACTTGACAGTAATCAGGAATAGGAACCTGGAGTGATGTTACTCTCTAGCCCTAACACCTCATAAGTAACTTAGCCTAGAATCTACCCAAACTCCTGCACATTCACATAATAGTTTGTGCTTAATAAATCAAACGTAAGACTCTTGCAACTCATTATCTAGCAATGAACATTTTAAACAATCATTTGAAATACCTCAAGATATTTTTTTGCCAATTCAAGGAACTCCACCTTCAGCTTCACTTCTTCAAGCTGCTCTTTTAGTTTGGGCAATACTATCTTCGTGTCTGTTCCTTTGAAGAAAAGTGTAAAGTTATGTTCCAAATCTATATGGCTCATTAGCAAATTATACAGTTAAAGCTTTAAGAAACTCTGTAATGGGAGTCTGTTGCATTTATGTTTTTCAAATCTGTTCCAGCTTTATAGTATCAGCAAAATTTATATGCAGACTGGTTGGCTTAAACTTTGTGTGGCATTTAGTAAACAATAGTCCTGTGTTGTGGAATTGTGCAGGACAGACATCCGTTGGTATGGAAGTAATATGCAACCATGGCCAGTCCAAATATCGAACTGATGATCACCTTAAAATATTTTTGCGCTGCTCCAGAATAAACGTTTTAACAGTTTTTTGGTACAGATGTATTAACTGCAGTGAGTGCTCAGGATCTTTCAGGAATATGATGCAAAGAAGAGAAAAGATAATAATAATGAGAAAATAGAATTGAATAGGTGTGGCACTAAACAGGAGTTAAACAGTATGTGCAGTATTAGAGAAGAGCTGTGTGTTGCATAATTTGATTAGGAAAGAGTCTTCAATCATGCTGTTTAAGAGATAGCCAAATAAAAAGGTGGTTAGTTCAATCGAAATAGGCCAAAATGGGCCACAGTTTGCTTGGTTTCACCTTCATTGAGCATATTTTGTCAGAATTTGTACATTATTAGATGTTACTATTGATATTACGTTTTATTCTACAATCAGCTGAGGTTGATTTCATTTACAAAAGATGTGATGCCTCATCATTAAGAAATTCTGATACTTAGTGAGGGAAGTTAGTCATTTAATGGTGAAAACATGACAGAGAGCAGTTTGCCAATCCCTACCCATCTAGAGTGCCTGCTTTTTATCAGAAGTGAAAACTTATGACAAGTTATGTGCTACTTTTAAACCTTTGCTTCTTCTTTCCTGTTGCTGAAGTTTCTGGTAGAAGGTTTTAGTTTTTCTAAAATCCTTTGTTTCCATCATCAACTGTTGATTAAGTTCCTGAAAAGCAAAATATTTATATTTTATATTTAAGAAGGAATAATTATTTTTGCACTTGAAAATTACCTTAAATTAGCAGCATAAAAGAGTTAACAGAAATTTAAAATACGTTTTTACTTTATTATGCACAATACACCTTTTTCTTGGATGTTATTCCAATAGTGAAGTGTCAACAACATTTCATATGAATTTGTATTGCAAATGTTACATTTTGGCATTTTATTCTACAGTGGTAGAAATACAATGCACAATTTCTTTTTGAGTGCTTACTGATTTTAATACATCATACAGAACTCACAATAGGAAAACCAATAAATGTATAGCTTAAGCCATTTTTAGGAATTGTAAATTTTTATAGACATTTTGAATGTTGCCAATTAAAATTAATTATTTTATACTGTTAGATCATGCAGCTGTTATTTTAAAATCTAATGCATGCATAATAATATTTTAATATATATAACAATAATAATCCTTGCATTTGATATAGTGCCTTATCATGTCTTCAAGGCATCTCAAAGCGGTTCACAGAATATACTGTAAAGTGAATTGACTATATATTGTGGGCAAAATATATATGTGTAAAAAATACAGAAATAATTGTAGTAAGGATATAAAAACAACATTAAAAGTAGGCAGCCCTCTTTGACTCTTCTCCTTTAAAGAGTATCTATGATTCATTCCAATAGAGCAAACAGCCTACAATATTTAAAATTCTTTTTGAAGTTAATGTTAGCAAGTGACGAATGCAACACTTACCAACATCTTTGCTTCTATGTTCTGCGTCTCACTGGAGCTATGTTGACCTAGTTGCTTTACATAAGTCTTGACATCCTGGTTAAAACATTCCATTCCAAAAAATGCGCTGCTCCAACCTGGGTTGCAACTCTTTCTCTCCATGTTCGACAAAGTGGGCCAGAGAGCGACAGAAAGTCTGGCTTCAGGCACTTCTGTTGTGTGGCCTTCAGTTTCTTCCTTCTCTTCATTACATCTCTCTTTCAAATTCTCACTTATAGTACAAGTTTCAACATGCAGCGTATTTTCAATCAGAAATAAAGTTCCTTCCTCCTTAGAAATGTCTGATGCAGTTTCCTTAGAATCCATTGCATCAGGTATTATACTGTTAACATCATGCCCAGGGATCACTTCAGTGTTGCTGTGCAACTGGTCTTCCTCATCTGTAATTGTACGATACACAAGGAGAAAAATTTGCATTGATAAGTTATGCTCCTTCTGCTGCTGGTCCTTAGCGTAAATTAAAAACTAGACCGAATTCAATATCGTCTTGTCCACCTCTGCTCTGTTATTGCCGGAGTACTTCAAGATTGCTTTAAATGTCAGTTGCTAGGACAACCAGTACCCACTGTGATGAGCAGCAACCTCCCACCAGGATTTGCCTTATTTATTTTGTCTATTATACAGTTCAGTTTGGACTCCAGTATAGATTGAGATAACTAGTATTTTATTCCCAATATTTGAATTCCCAATATTTAAAGGATTACAACACAAAAATAAATTATGTTTCAGCGTTTCAAGTGTACCATTAAAACACTTACTCAATAAAGCATTTGCATAGTGGTTTACAATTGAAATATGGTGTGCCAAATTAATAACTTGATTAAAAGAATATAGTATCTGCTATTATGCTGTACATATTCAAACTTTGGTATGTAAAAAAAGAACTGGACATGATAGCTAGACCTCAGGTAATAAACAAATGATTAACATGCTCAGCTTTCGAATCTGAACCCTGTGGACTTGCACAGGAAGCTCCATCTAAATCTGCAAGATATGTACAGATGGTAAGATCTGGATTCCATGCAAGAACTGCATCATACTTCAGTTACTGCTTACATCAAATCCCATTCCCTTCATGCAGAATTTTGGGCTGACCAGCTTGATCACCAATTTAGTTTAGTCTTCCAAGTATACCAACTTTGTGTCAATTCTAATGTTATTACTGACCAATTTTCTCCAAAGGTTAGAAGTGATGAAATTGTGCATTTGGCAGCATTAACCTATTCTTGTATTTCCTTCATATAATGTAGGGTAATCTCTCACAGAGAACAGTGCAGAAACTCAGCAGGGAGGGTGGGGGATGGGGGAGTCAAGGGGTGACCTTAGGCACGGTTGAAGAGGTTGTTTTTCAGGAGGTTTTTAAAGAAAGAATCCTACAGTATCTAATCATTGATAAGTGGATAAAAATCAAGCAAATTTTAAATCAAGTTATTATTTAAGACATAGTACCTGAATATAGATTGTCAGAAAGTGTTTCATCTATATCAGCTATTTTTTCTTCTGACACAAGTAGATTTTTCTCCCGAATGTCTTTACTCCTCTCTGTTCCATGAATAGGCGATTTTCGATTTTTCTTATTCATCTTTGGTAATGTCAGACCAGATCCTGTGTTTGACCTTACCGTAAGCCGTGACCTGAGATAAACAGCCAAGTTAACATTTGTCTAACAGTACAAATCTGTAAATTAGAAATGATCAGAAGCACCGACTCAGGTAATAATGAAAGGTCAGTATTTCAGTTTTCAATTTCACAACTCTTATACCTTTCAGTGAAAATATCAAAAGGGAACTTCAGTGCATGTACTGAGAACTGGGGTCAATGGAATCGATCTGTTTATAGACCGATTTTTTATATAAACTAGTCATGATTTAAGAGCCTCTAATGAATAAAAGGCAAAAGGACATTGAGAAACTGAAAGAAAAGTTCAAGCACTCTCGGTGTTTCTGGATAATAATATGATACGTGTATTTGATATAGCGCCTTATCACTTCTTCAAGGCGTCTCAAAGCGCTTCTCAGAATATACTGTGAAGTGAACTGACTGTTTATTTTGTGGATGAAGCGTGATAGCCAGTTGCGCATAGCTGTGTCCCACAAACAGTCGTGGATTGAGTGACCAAATTATTATTATTATTTTTGATTTTTTTTAGATGGTAGTCTTCTGCTCCCTTCTGCTCAGGCGATGGCCGCCCAGCCCCCCTCACCAAGTCCGATGGATATCAGAGTCTGCACGGTGAGGAGGAGGATGGGGTGGCACCATCATTGAAGCTGGCACAGAGCTTTGGCTGTGAGAGGAGAAGGGGTGGGGGGGGGAAGAGACGGCCATTTTTTATGCTGGCAAAGAGCCTGCAGTTAGGAGGGGAGGGGATATTTAGTCAGATACCATCTGGATGCATGAGACACATTGTTGTGGTGAGACCTGGATTCCTTTTACCAACCATTCTTGAGGCCTACATGAGATTATAAATTTAGTGCCAATTCAAATTGAACTGTGAACAGTTTTGGGCTTTAACTTCAACACTATTAGGAACTGAGTTGAGGATGTCAAGACTGTTTCACTGGGGAATTTTCAGACCATTGGAAAGAGAAGATGTTTAGAGGTTGAAGGACAGTGCTCTACGTCATTGTACTATTCAGTTACTTTGTAGAAATTTCTATATTAAAAATTACATAACCTCAGCTTCCTCTCCAAAGACGACATAAAGAGTGAATTATAAATTAATAAGTATTCTTGTCATGCATATCTTATACTCAAAAGGGAGGAAAACATATTTTAATTATGAGTTTATTTAAATTTAATTCACATTTTAGCTGAGCAGCTTCTCTTGGAATGTGGGAAATGAAATTACAACATAATTAATTAAGGGCAATGCTTACATGTTCACTTAAACTGCTTGAAAATATTATTTTCACATTCCGTTTAAAGAGCAAAAGATAGAGATTTACAACAGCTCATAAAATACAAGCTTAAGGGAAGTGGGGCTGTAGTCTGGTTTCTGAGAAGGCTGGCCCACAGAGTCAAGGCAATGTTGATGAGTGACCAGTAACCCTGGGTCATCAGCAAAACTTGGAGAACAATGCAGACACTAAGCACAGTGCAACACCAGTCACTGCTAGCATGGATTCTTCCCGCTCGACTGATTATTCCTGCAAGCCAAAGCCTTAACAGGTAGGGTGGCCCTAGCTGGACAAACAGCAAGAAGCTTTCCAGTGTTCATAATGACAAGCTGTGTTGTTTAGCTGATGAGGCTCCAGAATTTCCTTAATTTACACTCTGGGACTCCCAATTATTAGCTCTTACTAACCTAATACTTTCCAAGACTATGTAAGCAGGAGGCATTCCTCCAGGGAAAATATGCACACCGTTCTAGAAAAAGGGACATTTTAATGTGCGGGTGGGATGCATATGCAAGGCTCTCCATATTAAGTCGCTTCCAAAAGTTACAAATGTTGGTTAAGCAATTGGGAAATCTAGCACTGAACTTTAATTTTCAAAGAGAGAAATGTAAACTGAAATTTATACTTACAGTGGAGGAGAATCACCATTAACTACTTCATAAAGCTGCTCCAATAGTTTTTCATCCCAGTAGAGATCACAAAACTTCTCTGATATAGCATTGGTGAATGTACCAAATTTAAGGCGGTTCAAGGATAAAATGTACTCCCCTTACATACAAAAAAAAATCTTAGATCAGTCATATTATTCACTCAGTTAAAAAGCTGTCATATTAATTTTCTAATCTGTTACCAATTGACAAAAATGTGAGATTTCAATGAATGGGAACTGAAATGAAACCATGAATTGTAGCATTCATTTATTAAACTATCATTCCATAATGGCATGAAATAAATAAATTATTGTAATTAAATTAAAACTTCTGAAAATTATGTAAGGTAATTTTCTGACTGCAGACTAATTTGCCTGGACACGAGGGTGAGATATAATAGAATGTTTCCATTATACGCTTGCCTGACATAATTGGTATATTTACAAACCAACAGAGAATCACCCATTTTGTCTTAGTAAAAATAGCTCTTTTAAGTTACTGATGCAATTTGCATTTTAAAATAAAGAGTATCTACCCATGGCTTGAGCTTCCTCTCCATTCTCTAGGTAACCATCAAATGCAAACTCCTCTTGTATCAGATGTACTATTTTCTGTAAAAGGCAGATTGAATTTGAGCTTGATGACTTTATTGCCATGTGGGCATCCAAAGAACAAGACAAGATGTGTGAAGAAGACAAATGGACATCTTCTGAGATTTCTGTTAGGTGAGGAATGGGAGTGAATGTTTTGGCTTGAATTCCAGTCCTCAATGTTTCTTGCGTAAATAAACATTTGTTAGATAATGGTGAATTTGAGGCAACATCCTCAGTATCTACAGATCCATTAAAATCATCATTAGAAGGTTCTGATCCAGGGAACTTTTTGATCTTTGCTTTCAAATCCTCATTGCTCCCAATCATATGGGTGGATGTGTCCTGCAAGGGGGATGTGACAAATTTAAGAGAGTCCCCACTGTGTCTGTCAGATTCCGTATTTAAAAGTACAGCAGGTTCTCGGAAGCAATTCTTCATTTTATCGTCAGATGGAACATCTTGTTCTGGCATTACCGACTGAATTGGCGCTAAAGTTCGCATTTCTGATTTGGAAGTCTGATGAAGAATACTATTGTTTGCTGGAAAGGTGGAGACAGCTGAGCAACAAAAACTAGAATTTGTTTTTTGAGCTTGTGAAAGAGTTTTTGATATATTATCTGTTTTGCCTTCAGTTGTGTGAGAAACATTACAAGGTGAAATAGTTTGACCTGAAGATACCAAACATATTGATCTGTTTGTGTTGTTTTCAATACTTTCAGTTCCAAAGTCCATTGTAGATTTTTCCATAACAATGTCATTTTCAATATCCTTAACAGATACCATTCCCTTGTTCTTCTGAATTTCGTGTTTCATAGCTTTAACAAGCTGCTTTGCTGTTGGGGTATTGGTTGGCATTTTAGTGCTGATGAAAAAATAAAAAGAATTACATTTAGAAATTATTAAATAAAGCAAATCTTAAATTTAAGAGGTGGTTCTTTTCCCTTTGATGATAAATTTACCAAACTCTGCCATGTGTTTATAATAGGATTTTAACTCTTTATTTGGATAATATACCAATATAAGAAAAATAACTCCTGCAATGTCCCAAAAACTTGAGAATAGGTGGCTAATTATACAATGATGAGTTATTGAAGAAATTAAACTCAAATTTACCATGGAAGTTCTTTTTAAAAATACATTTGTGAAAATTAATGAAGTGCATATTTTCTTTCTCCCGCAGCTCAACATTGTTCAAATTATCAATGTGCTGAACTTTATAACCGGATTAGACTAAAAAACATGATCGCAAAAATGAAGAAACATTACTTGGAAGTGTGAAACTATTATGTGAAAGAATACATTTAGACTTCCTCCACACCACAGAATAAATATCTGGGGGGACCTGTTTAACCCTCCTTTTGAGGAAACAATGTCACATACCTCATGGGAAAAGTTGTAGAAGTCTGTTGATTAAACCATGCACCTGCGTAAACTCAAAAAATCTTGTAGATGTCTACAATAATATTGTAATCATGAAAATGCCAATACCTTTATTTTATATTTCAGGCAAAATAATTTTTAAAAAGTTTCCACAAAGTAATAAGGATGATTGTTTTTAGCATATAGGACTTTTTAAACTGCTCACTATGAAAACGAACATTTAAACATAATAAATAGTAACAATCTTTACTACACAAGATGAGGAAACAAATCAGTTCTGAACACACTATACATATGTATAATAAAATCCCAAATCATGTCAATTTTCAATAACAAGTACTCAATGAGACCTGGCTGCAATTCCATTCATACAAATGAGTAAATTCAGTCAGATGTTCCATTCAGTTTACCCAGAACCTTCCATGGATTCAACAAAAATAGTCTTCATCCCACAGATATGTGATAAAGTTTTTTTTGAAACTGTTTGTAAGACTTTTAAATAACACTTCTTTGTCTATAATGACAAATGTCTTCCAAATACTGTGAGTGAATAATTCAAAAAACATATATTTTGGTAATGCGCATAATTATATTTTTCCCAAAAGGTCGTTTGTGTTTTATGTAATACCTGTTCTCAACAGCTCAACTGATTTTTTTTCATATCATGAATGCATTACCTTGTTTTCTCTTTGTGCTGTGTGAGTATTATAGGTTTGAAATGGGTGGCTGGGGAAGTGAAGGCCTCTGGAAGTTTGGAAGGGGATTTGCTGTTTACAGAATACTGACAGGGTATTGGGCCCTTTACAGCTGTCAGCTTACTGTCACCAGCAAGAGGTACAAATCCTATAAATAATGAATGAAAAAGAAACATAATTCAATGACAATGTTTTTGCTAATCAATATGGAAAGTCTACAGCTGTAGCTATGATCAATACCTAATCTGGGTGATTCCTGGGTGCAATCAATATTTCCCAATGGAGAATGAGAAGGTTCAATTTCCTCCGTTTGGAATTCCATTCCACTGACAGATGCATCTTCTTTGTGTTGGTTCTAATAAGGAACCAAATGTTAAATAATTCTTGTCCAGTTGTAAAAATAATCACTGTTTAGTTATAAAGTCATATTTTACATATGGAAGACTAATTTTGCACATGAACCAACTGCAACTCTGAAACATTTTCATGTCAGTTGCACCAGTTTTCAGAATTGAAAATGCACTTAATGCATCCACTGGCCACGCTTTTACACCATTTCACGTGGGGAGAGATGAAAGTGACCAACACGCTCAAATGAATGTGTGGAGAGGTGTTTTCCAGCCTGCAACTCAAGTCTGTTTTTTTAAGCCTAACGGGACATTGAAAGATAGTCTGCTGAACTGCTTCAAATTAAGTTTTAAAAAGTTAAAAGGCAGGTTATATTTACTCCTTGCTCTAGAGTGAAGCAGAGACAGCTCTTTGTAATGACGGTCCTTCCACAAATGATGATAAACTGCAATGGCACGGTTTTGTTGCTCTTGAGGCACAAGCATGATGAAAATTTCGCCACAATATTCATATTAAATGTTGGGTTTAAAGGCAAATAATTATAAACAGGCAGGACTAAAAATCATTATTTCTCGGTGGCCAGATCTTCAGCTTTTATGTCCCCATCCCACATCCCTTTGCCTCACTCCCTCCCTTGCTTCTTTCAAAACCCTCCTCTTTGACCGAGCCTTCAGCCACCCTCCTACTCTTCCTGCCCTCCATCCTCCCTGATTCGCAGCTTGGGTCCAAATCCATGACTGTCCAGCGCCTTGGAATGTCCTCCCGACTTGAAAGGCGTTATACAAATGCAATTTTGTATTATATTGTATGATACAGCTTTGCACACAACAAACTCCACAAACATGGAGCATTTGTAACTTTTTAATGTTTCAGAATTACGTATGAAAAAAAAGGGCTATGTTTGAATCTCAAGACCAATTTGTGCTGTTTAGATTATTTCTAATGATTATCAGTGCCATCAGTACGAATTTAGTGGCACTGCCCCTATTGTGAAGAACCTTGAGATATGATACATACTATAAGAAATTCAAGGATGATGACCAGTTAAGTTATGTACAAAATGACACAAGATATGGTACATGTTCTGTTAGTCAGAGGAAAATTGTTGTGATGTATCCACATCAATTGTAGCATTTAATGTTCTTTCCATAGCATTTTAAGCACTGATAATGGGGGGAAGCACACAATATATCTATTAATAGAACACTACATCACAGAATTAATACTGTTTTGGTGATTGTGCACCTATAAGTAAAACAACTCTCTTGATATTTAATGCTAAAAAGACCTACACAAATCACAATACTTCCTAAATCTGAAATCAATAGGATCACCTGCAGAATAGAATTCCTCAGCAATGTCAAAATCTTCCTGCTGGCAATTCCTCGATGAACAAGATAATCATTACAAATCTGTAAAAGTTCACAAACATCAATCAAAACATTTATTTTGTTGGCTGACCATAGGGTTGGCCACTACTATTATAGCTAATAACTACTGCAAAACTGTCAGCACTAACCCTTTACTGAATTAACTATGACCATTACAACAATGGTATCTTCATTGCCTCAATGCAAGTGAATCTATAATATTAAAATAATGATTTATTTTCATTATTTCTAAAGTCCATTATTTCTAAAGTCTGTGAAATTTTAGTTTGACATCTTGTTTTCTATTTTCTAACAACTCATAGCTGATACATTACCATTGGCATCGGTGACAATTACAGGCAATCACAGGCAGAGGGTGATACAGTACTACTGTTAGGAATCATAGACTTCACATGAATTGTAAAGTTCAGCAGCATTAACACCTTACAAATACAATTTCTTGGCAAAAGATGACTTCTTTTGGGGATTTCAATTATTTTCAACTGCAGTCCTAGGTAAATTTTGGTCTCCTTTGTAGATAAAGGATTAAGTAGATTACATTAAACCTAGTTAGATTGCACAGGGTACAAACACCATTGTTACCTTCAGCGCCTCTTTAACAGAAGGTCTTTCTGCAGAGTTCCTTTTGGCCATACTCAGTAGCAGCTTCTTTAGACTTCTTGACAATGATAACTTCTCATTTGCTGGGGCATTGAATTTAGCTGCTGTCCATAAAATTGCTGCAACTCCATACACACAGACCTATTGAGAAAATATAATTTATTTAGAAAAATCTAGCAAGAACATCTTGGTGGGGGGGGGGGGGGGGGGGAGGGGGGTGCGATACGATTTAAAGTAGCAAACCTTCTCAGTGACAACACTTTGTTTTTCAAATTCGGGTGCCAAATAAAATGAATCAAAAGTTTCTATGGAGAAAAAAATGCATATCAGTAAAGCAAAGTTCAGGGTGGTTGGTAAATATTGTAACAATTGCAGTATTTCAGAGCACAAAGCTCCTCAAAGCATATGATGTGAAAGTAGAAGTTGACGATACCTTTACTTGGTGTTGCTACAAACAAGACTTTTCCACTGCAGTCAATGTATACAGACTCTAAACACAAATAGGCTGAAATATGAAGAATGAAAACACATTTACAGTTAGTCTGATATTAATAATTTGTGTTCATTCATTTATAATTCTGTAATGACATACACAAACAAAATCTCACTGGTATGCTAGGCCCAATAAAAGAAATACAAACATAAATAAGGAGATATATACACCTGAGCGAAAAATAAGGTTTAAAAAAACAGAAATAATTATACAATACCTGGATAATCTTTACCCAGTTGTAAACTGATCAAACACTCGTAGCACAAGGACCACAGTTCATGATCCTTTAATGTTTTATCATCCATAGATAGTAGCTCTCGTAATGAAAAGCACTGTTGAAAGTAACAAAAGTACATGTGATTAGGCACTTTATGTGTACATAACTCATGAGCAAATCTACTCAGTAGAACCATATTAAAGTTAAACAGCAAAGTGTAAAAATACTTTTCTTACACAGTACCAGTAAAGCTGAAGAAGTAGCTATGATAGTGGGCCTTCATAAACAAGTAATCTGCCAGATTTCTTCTCTAACTTCTATTGTCATAGCTTATCACTTATGCCTCCCTTATCCTCAACTGCTTTGAATTTCCTGCCCAATGTAGTTTGCATTTATCAGTGAAAATGTTACCAAGTTGACAAATTCCAGCAGAACTGCAATCCCTACCGCTCTGCAGAATCTGCTTTGGGTGGAATTAGAGCCTGGGGCTACCTTATATTCTTCTACTTCAGGAGCCTGTATAATAATGACACAAGTTGAATTGAAATAGGTTTACGTGTTGCTATGTTTTAAGTAGCCTACTGTCCACTTTTCAATATTATTTGTCCAATAAAACCAGACTTGCCTGGATTTAATAAAAGTCCATAAACATCAACACTCATTGTTTTTTGCAATGTTCCGCAATCCCACACAAATCCATTGTGTTGCTTTTCCTGTTTTATATTGCCTCCTCATCCAAATTAATTCCAAATTCTAACTAATTGGCTGCCAAGCACACTGTTGTTTGTAGGACATTCCCAGTGCAAGTTCATTGCTGTATTTCTCTAAAAACAACATTCACTTAATTTGTAATTCAGCTCATTTAGTAAAGTCTTTTGAGACATTTCCTTTTGAGACATTTCCTTCATACGAAAGGTCTTGTAAGGCATGTTTTTTTTAAAATGACAGGTTACCTTAGCCTTATTGTTTAATTATACCCCAAAGTCTTTATGTTTTTGAAATAAATTTGCAGTTTGTTCATCCATGAGTTTTCAATCACTGAACAACGAGATTGATGAATATTCAATATTTATTTTGAAGACCGTATGACATAATAGATAAAACCCTTTAACAGACATGAAAGCAGAATATTGCAGCTTCAAGCCTGCTTTGGTGGTTTTAGAGACAAATAACTATGGCTAAATCTGTTCAAAATTACAGATTTTGATATCCACATTTGGAAGCATCAAGACAGTAGTAACCACTAAACACAACTTAATCAGGAAGTCAAGTTCATACTCTGAACAGCACAGTCCATCCTAAAAAGTGCAAGAATAACTTGCTTTTATGTAGGGCCTTTCACGTAGTAAAATGTCTCAAAGTACAAAATAATTTGCTACATAAAATTTTAATGCCCCAAGACCATTAGTTAAGTTAAAAAGTTAACACTATGCCTCTGAGTTTGCTTCACTGGTTGTGAAACTCAAATAGGATTTAGGTTTGGGATGCTGTTGGGATTGGTTTAACTGCCTATAAAGATACTATGCAGTAATTAAATCACTTAGTTCTGCACCTACAGTATTTTCACTGCTGTAATTTAGTGCTATATTTAAAACTAATCTCATATGCAGAAAGTCATACATAATACAATACTCCTAACATCTTACCAAGCTATTAAGGTCAACCTTTACTTAAAATATTTATCAAAGAGGAATTTTATGAAGAGAAAGTAAATGTATTTGACAGTTCATTGAAAAAATGCATTTATTAAAGAGAACAATGGCTTTTTAACAATATTAAAAATATATAGCCCCATATTGAAGGATTTCATAAAGTAATGCACCCACCACATTCTGCAAGACATCAGAATAAAAACAAACCAACTACTACAACAAATGTAAAATCCACAAAGGATATGACACATATACATACCTGCCTGTCATAAGTAAAGTCTGCACAGTTGTTTTCAGTGGAATCAATGGGAGCCCTTGGCTCATCCTCTTGATTGTGTTGCGTGATGTATCCAAACAGCTTGACATTCTCAGTTGATAAGTCACTTACGCTGGTAGACCTTCTTTGTTTGAAATCACTTCTATGATGACAACCAGTAACTCTCTCTTCAACTGAAACATTATTGTGTATGCAATGAAAATAATTCTCTTCTATTCCTAAAGAACTCCCCCTGCCGTTTCTAAATACTGGACCATCTTTCAATAATATTCCATTAGAAGTAAGAGAGTCAATTTGGCTTTTTTGAATTGCTGAGACTTCATTTTTGAGGTTTTTATTCCAAGACATGTTCCCTGATATGGAGGGAGATGTCGGTGATAGTTCTCTAAACCTACCTGAAGCAGGGATACAACTACTTTTATGTACTGCTTCTATATCAGAGATGTTCAACCTTTTTGATGGAAGGCTGTTATTTTCAACAAAAGAAACTACATTATTCTTAGTCCTAAATTGTAGCTTCTGAGGCCATTCTACAGTACTGCATATGCTGGCGGTGTCTCGTAAAGAGAAAGATTCTTGGGCACTATCAGAATATAAAGAAAGTGAAAGAGGTGATGGAGTGGGTGTGACAGGGCCACCAATTCCACTTTTAGAACGATAAAAATATTGGGACTCGTCTTCCATCTCTGTTGGCAGCTTTGGAAGAATTCTCTTTTTAGTTACTGTCCTTTTTTGTGGAGAAGACAAATCCCTGGAGACATTACTTCCGTTGTTTTTCATATCTAAAACTGTCTCTTCAGGATCATTGCCTAGTTCTTTTTTCTTTCGATCCCAGATTTCTGCTGAACTTGGGTATTCCAAGCCTTGCTGGAAAATCTCATTAACTTCAGTTGAATTTTTATCGACATCGTAATCATAGTTCTCAGCTCTGCAAATGGCCTCTGTTGTTCCATCATTTAAAATGCTTCGATCATATGCCAGGTCCTCACTGCTCGATGAACCATCTGCTGGGTTTCGCTCACTTGTTTGGACTTCATATCCTACACCGGCCTGCCGTTTTTTCACTTTCCAGGTCTCTTCACAGCCATCTGTACACCAATTATAAAGTAGCATTTAATACACCAAGTTACATTTTATCCTTGAATTGAAAAGAAGCCATTCTCGACAAATGAACAGTCCACGGAAGGCAAAAGAATAGTTAAATCTGCATGACCATTGTCTAACTGAATTGAATAAAGACATGGTAATTTTTTTCCTATTAACTGTATCTTCATACTTTAAATTATCAGCAATATCTACACATGTCATAGAATCATAGAATTATACAGTACAGAAGGAGGCCACTCGGCCCATCGTCTCTGTGCTGGCTCTTTTAACACAGCTATCCAAATCAATCTCACTCCCCTGCTCTCTCCCCATAGCCCTGCAAACTTGTCCTCCCAAATAATTATCTACTCAAGTTTTGCAAAGCAGCAAACTGAAATTTTACAACAAAGAGAGGGGGAAGATGGGATGGAGGTCAAGTGGCATTTTAACCTAATAATCAGAAGCAGATCAATAAAGTCACTTGTTTTATTCAGGGTGAGATGCTCCAGTTTTTAATAATGGGGCAAAGCCCACTGAATGGCAGAAAATAGCTTGAGGTGACATTTGTTGAAATGAAAACTGTTTTTCTCAAAAACTAATTTCCTCAAAGCCAAATGAAAACTTTTAGTCATAATTTGATTTTGTGTGATTTTAGGATTTTAATCCTACATTATTAACACTTTCACACTGTTACACAACAGGACAATACATCAAGCAGTTGTGTATAAGAATTATGAATTAATTTTCTAGTTTTCAGCTTTCAATGCAACATGCTCTCTAGGATACTAAAAGCTATGGTTTCAGTTTCTTGCGCAGTTAATACTTTTATTCTACAAGTAAAATCAACTACCTTGTAAAGCACCAACAGATTCAATTGAAAGTACTCGTCGACCTATGGCAGAGAGATTACGGCAGATAATATCTGAGGAACACTTTGTTTTTTCTTCACATTTGCTGAGGATACTCTGCAGAATATATACAAAAATATTAAAAACGTTATCTTAACAATCTGTTTCATTATCTTGCTTGGAAAATATTTTGTTTGGAAAGTAGAGTGGATCAGAACAATGTCCTTTCACTTTTAGTATCTGGGTTGAATCACTTTCTGCCAGCTGTGAATGTCTTAAGTGAAATATGCTTGTGTAATCTCAACTCAATTTAAATTGAGTGAAAGCTCAATGCACAATCTTGACAGTAAACTGGCATAACGTTCCAACAGCCAGTCAGGGAAGCCATAGAGATGTTTGGTGTTAGGAGAAATGGCAAAATTCACATTAGAGCAGTGCAGAATGCTCTCCTATTGGGGTTGGGTGGCAGTCACATTAGAAAAGTTTAGAAGAGAGAACTTTAGTCTGCTTCACTATTGTGAAGAATGGGAATTTGTTTTAACTAAGTGGAAACTCAACTTAAGGTCATACTACTGATACCACAAGTAGACTACTAATGCAGTCAACTTGCTAATGTAGTCAGATTTTTGCAGTCTTTTTAATTTCAACATTATAATATACAGTACGTTAATACAAACACACTACTGAGGTCAAAACTGGTAACTGGTAATGCGGTTAATATTCCTTAGTCTGTCTTCTGTCCTTATTATTGAGTTTCCAATGTAATAATTTAAGCTTGTGTTTGGAAAAAGATGATTTCACCTTAGCTGAGGTGACGTTTTACCTTAAGTGAAGTTACAATACCTAATATTTGGAAATTTGAAACCGAGTGCAAACATTAGTGCTGTGATTAAATGGAGCATAAACATTGACTACTGAGAAGGTATAGAAAATACAGCATTGAGTAAGGATGAGCCTAACTTTTAATAAGCCCATCAACACAAGTGGTGAATTTCTCACATAGAGAAGTTATCTAAGTACATATTTCAACTGGTGACCATCATATATATATATATATTTAGATTATATATACACATTTCCTGCCTTTGCATTTCATAGTAAACAAATGCTAAACAAGGTTTTAACAAACGAAAAATAAGGGCATATTGTTGAAAACAGCATCACAGCAGATTAACATTTTGAATTTGACCCTTCATTAGAATTGCAGTTTTTAATTCAGATATCCAGCATTTGCATTTTTTCTTTAAAAAAAGCATACCTCTGGTAATACACCACCAGGTCTACATTTCCCATATAGGTATGTAAATCATTATCCACAAACTCTGGACACAATCTCACAATCATACCTCAATATCTGGTCTATTTTCAGGTTTCTCCTGTTGCATTTGGTCAAGAAGATTTCTCAATTCTTGGCTGAGGTCTGGCTCCAGTTCTGGTTCTATCACATACTCAGCTGCTGCAGTTAATGTTGCTCCCAAAGAATAAATATGTGCCTGAAAGTGCCAACAGTAATAAAAATTACATATTGAAAAGTTACAATGTGTTAAGAATTGTAGCACATTAAAACAAACACACCAATTTCTCCAGCTTTTATGTAACACTCACAAGATTCCAAGCTAATTTATCAACAGTAACTGATAATCATTTAGACTCAATGTCACACTGCTGAACAAAATGTTTTATTGAAGTAGAACAAAAAAACAAAAACGGCATTTCATGACGATTTTTCATCACAGTATTTTGTGTATGTAGTGATTTCACACAGAAAGCAGTGAAATTATTTTCAAAAGCATTGGCTTTATGGCCCTTTGCCTTGTCCCCTCCCTTACCTCCTTCAAGGCCTGTCTCAAGACCTTCCTCTTTGACAGTGTCATTCTCTCACCCTCACACCCCTTGCCCTCCACCCTCCAATAAAATAATCATCTCCATTTTTAAAACAGAGTCTAGCTGGAATCTTCTTCCAAAAAAAAATAGAGCAATATAGAGGCTATAATCAAGTGACAGAATTAGGTGACATAATTTTGGATTTTTCCCTTAACTAAAAACTGAGCATCCTGTTTTCCTGTCTCTTAGGACTATAATGCACAGGTGTTGTTTTCTGTGATAAATGATCTTCCAAAAGAACGGCAGTTCACAGCAGATTGAAAATCAAACACTTTTAAAACCTAGAAATGCAAATAGTTACATCTTCAGACTAAAAATTGGAAAGTATATAATGTTCAGAAGAAGCTCTTCACAAATCTGTTCATCCATAGCAAACATTTTGAAAACCTAATGCCTATTTATGTAAAGTTGTCCAATTGGGATTGCTTCAGCCAATAATTGAACTGCCTAAATTTACAATCAATGGTAAAGTAGCAAAGCTAAAACATTCAGAAAAACTACTGAGTACATTTACCAGAATGGTGCTTGAAGCTATTATCTATTTGCCCCATTCCTTTTTAATTCTGTGTGGATGCAACACATAATCAGTCAATCAGCTTATGGCCAAAGGTGTCAACACATATTTACACTACTATTTGCATTAATATCAGTAAATTTAGGGAATGTGAATGAAAACCTAACACACTACATTCCATCAAAAAAACTGTCTCAAGAAAAGAAATACACATAGGAAGTAGAAAACCTGAAAATACTTTTGAAAAGAATTCATCATTTTGACAGATTATCTAACAAGTCCAGAAATCTTTGGAAGTACACAGGAACAAATGAGCATTTAGGAAACAGATGTGTGCAATATCTTTTTGTGTTCGCTAATAAAGTTAGTATAAGTAGGTAAACTGTAATTGAACTGTGCTAAACAGTTTCACTCCAGTCTTTACTTTTTCTCACACATCTTACAAGGATAAAAGAAGACTTTATTTGGTATATGCTTACTCCAAAGTGTATTGGTAAAACTATTTTTTAGGAGAGCAAAACTTTGGCTATTCTTCAAATACAGCCAGATATAGGAAATAACAGACTGGGTATCTCTATTACCCAGTTAGTGATTCTATTACTCAAATATTGGCATTGACGAACATTGTCACGATTAATGTTCCATCTTCTATCCTGCCATAAAATTAAGTTATTAAATGAGAAATTGATTTTCTTTGTCGGTTAGATACCTAGGTCCCTCCCACTTAAGATATCTGCTCAGTTAGTTCAGCAAGCATTCAAATTGAGCTGAGGGATATAAAAGAGTGTGGAAATTGATATTTCTCATGTTTGTCATGCTGCACTTTGAAGTATTGATGTAATAAAATACTAGGAAATACTAGCCAGAAAATTGTAAAATTTGAAAAAAGTAGCTCTCTATAAACACTCAACCCTGTTAAAAGATGTTGCTACAGAAGGATCAATCAAAAAGCAATCATCATGTTGTAAAAAGTACATGTTGACCTGCAAATGTCATCGTAATCTATTGCTACTGTTGCTATGATTTGCAGACTGAATATATAAGGTAATGGTGTGGAAATTGTAGTCTAGGCAACTAAATCACACAATTTAGCTGGTTTGTCTGCACTGAGATTCACCCTCCTGGTTCCAGTCTTAAGAGAACAATCTAACACACTGAAATTAGTCTACAATCCACTTACTTCAAAGAAGGTGGAAAAAAAGGAGTACCGACAGAACACAATATAATATTGACAACTGTTTAATTGGTGCAATGCTTTTCAAGAAGATAATATCCTTAATAGGTATTAGCCCGCTCAGTTTGTACCACTTTCGCCTCTGAGTCAGAAGGTTGTGGGTTCAAGCCCCACATTGGGACTTTGAACTCACAGTCTAAAATGACACTCCAATGTAGGAGTATTGCATTGTCAAAGGTGTTGTCCTTTGGATGAAACATTTAAACTGAAGTTCTGTCTGCCTGTTCAAAGTGGACATTAAAGATCCCATTACTCTTTTCAAAAAGAGCGTTTCTTCCAGTGAATTGGCCAACAATTTTGGGACACATCTGTGTGCACATTGGCACAATAAAAAACAAGGGCAACAGTAAAACATTTAAATGTGGCCTATACAATGTTCACAAGCCATTTCTACCCACCTCAAAGGTATTGCCAGTTTCGTCAAATTCTGGTGGAACAAAGGCACCTTCTGGATCATCTACATAGAAATATATGGAAAATCAATCACAACCAGATTATGTGGACACTTTAAATATGGTCTCAGAAATGTCTTGAAATCCTAATACAGAGTTTTTCATAACAAAATCGTATTTGCTAGATTTTTAAAAGCAACAATACACTAATTCACAATGAATACAGTTATTCATCAATATAATCCGATAACTTTGATTGCAATAAGATTGTTTATCTGCAGCATAATTCAGCAATTCCCGTATATTCACAGATTTAAGTTTTACAACACTCCATTTATGCAAGCAAGACACCTGGGTTCAATTTCAGGCAGGGCAAAACCTTGGGCAAGTTTCCTTACTCCACATGCCTCATAATAATCCCTCCAAAACAAAACAGTAATAAATTGGTCATTTTCAATCCATGACTGTTTGTGGGACATTGCTGTGTGCAACTGGCTGCCGTGTTTCACTCACAAATATAGGGTCAATTCACTTTACAGCCTATTCTGTGAAGCGCTTTGAGACGTTGAGAAGACATGAAAAGCGTTATATCAAATGCAAAGATTATTATTATTATTATTTAGATTATCACATTTATAACCGTGCCTTCAGCTCCCCTCTCGACTCTCTACCCCCTCCTCACTCCCTCCCTTCCCTCCCCTCACCCTGACCATTTCCCCCTTGCTCGGGTCCTGACCCAACTGTACAGCGCCTTGGGACGTCCTCCCGACGTGAAAGGCGCTCAATAAATGGAATCTTGTTGTTGTTGTTGTTGTTGTATGTATTAGAGTTGCTGATACATTGCATGCAAATGCAGTTTTTCCAATGGGGATGGTCAAGGAGAGATGGAAAGAAAACTGGCACTAATGGGATAGAAGGGCAGGCACTTTATGTGTCAAGGAAAAACTGATGGACCTGAGATGGGATGAAGGCTGGTACAGTGGGGAGAGTGAAGGGTTGGCACAGTCGGGAAGCCCAGCAGTCTGCGCTGGAAGCTGGACATGTACCTCACGTTTGATAACCATTGATCCACGGGACACCCACGTTAAAGATGAACCCACATTCGAACGAGGCTCTTAATAATAGGACTTCCATGCATTTTTAAAGTGTACTTTTGATTGGGGTCCGAAAATGAACATTTGTGAAAATGTCCTTCAAAGAAATAATAGCTTCTTAGACATAATTTATACACTGTATTAAATCTATACAAAGGGAATTAGACAAAAAAATAAAAACTGCATGCATAGTCACAGATTTACATATTTTTAAACTTTATAGCCTGATTCCAACAGCAGGACAATATTATTTTGAATTTGGAAAACAAAATCATTTCTCAACATAACAGTGTATGGTAACCTTTCTTTGGATTTCTGAGGCATTCCTAGTCAGACGTTTTGAAAGACAGATATAGGTACTTACCACTAAGCTGCTCCATGAAGCATACATTGCCATTTGCATTAAAAGCCAGAGTGTCTGGGGTGATGCAAAGTGTATGAAAGAGTGGAGTGTGGGAGATGCTCTTCATGGACAAACAACATTCCAGGCAGGCTGCCCAGATATCCTCTTCATTTAGGCAGCTATCTCTTAATGACAGTATGTCAGCAAGTGACACATTCTCCTGCCAAATAAACATATAAATTATATAACAAATTAGGATTGGTTTGGTGCATGTTCTTTCATGATGTAAAGTAATTTAATAAAAAACATTGAACAGATGGAAGAAACTAAGAATGGATCAATGGTTTAAATTTACTTTCAAAGCTGCATTACTTAGGTCTATTATCACCATGTGTAAACCATGCGCAAATCCATGCATCATGTGTAAATACAGATATGCAGATGAAATCACTGGTACCTTTATTATATGATTAACAACCAATGCAAAGGATTTATTAATTGTCAATCATAACCAATCTTTTCCATTGGTTAATTATATAATTTAAGGGCACCTGTAATTTGGTCTGTACACGCGTTTATGCATGATGCACAGTAGACATTATTTACTCCAAACATATCAAGACATTAGTAGGAATTGTCCATTTACTCTATGCATCAATTGGAGGGTAAGGACTTTATTATTTTAAATTACACTTGCACTGTGTTTCACAACTGAGCAGATGTCTTTTTCTCCCTGCTTGCCAAAGGTATTAAAGTCAGCTGAATACCTCAAACACAAACGGAATACTTAATAGCTCACTGCAGACGTTAGACAAGAGAAGCGGCAGAAATTACTTGCTGCCAGCGTTTCTTCCTATGCAGTGACAGAACACATCTTCCACTATCTCTCTGCTGATGTTAATTTAACTCTCTTTCATTGTTATGCTCAACAGATTGCTAATGTTCTGCTTCTAACTATCTTCAAACTAAATGTATACCACATTGTTTATTTTCTTCTAAATTTAATTAGAAGAATAGTGTTCCTGTGAAACTACCAAGTCTACCATTTTGTTTGTTGGTATGCTAAGTAGGTTACAACTCCATCCTCTTGCTATGCAATTTAAGCCTATTTTCTAAGCAACATTTGGGAGAATGACAGCTACAATAGATCCAATACAATGCTTTTCGCACCAAATTTGAAATAAAAGATCCATACAGGAAGGCTGCGTTAAGGAATTAAATTCCTAATTATTTCAGAAATAAAATAACTGCCATAATTTTGCTTTTAAAACAGGCTTAATCCTAAAGTACACCAACATTTGGACTGATGTTCTAATTACAACTGTATAGCATATTTAAGCACTCTGAGATGCTACCCTGCGTGGAGGACACTATATAAGTGCAAGTTGTTGTTGTATACAACACTAGATTAATTAACACCAGACTGAAACTATTTTCCAGTAACATTATCAAATTCAGGCTTATGAAAAAATAACAATTTCTATAGTGTTTTACAGCGACTAGTTTTTTATTTTATTCTGCAGAAATTCTTGTTTTGAACAGTGTTACGAGATTGAATTTGTACATTCTGAATAAAAGCCACATAAGATAAAATGCTGAAATATTTGTCCCCGATTTAGTTCCATATCTACAAAATGAAACAAAAGAGACATGAACCAGTTCACACAAAAGGATGTTACACAGTGAAAAATCTCTAAAGCCCATGATCATTGCACACTGAATATTTGAAGCAGTTGGGAAGTGATGTGAAGCGACATGAAAAGAAAAAAATCGAGCATTGCCATAGAAACACACTTCCAGCTCATTTCCTGTTGACAAGCAGAATTTTTATTCAACAGAGTAGAGAATATGTAGAAGACTCCAACCAGCAATTGATGCTGCATTGACTAATTCTTTCAAAAATGAACTGTTTGAGAAAATAATAGAGGGATAGGTGGGAACTGAGATGAACAAATATGCCAAGAAGTACCATGATTTCTGTCTTGGTGAAACAGGGTGGTTTTTTTTTTGGGGGGGGGGGGAGAGTGGTTGGGAGGCAGGGATAAAAGAGCCACATATGGAAACATGCACATTTCCCCTTTGTGAATACACTTATTTTGATGTAGCTCCTTCTTTTAACAACTCAATTTTTTGACGTGGCTGATAATATGGCATCTATTGTAAACATGGTTTCGATTAATACAGTTGTCAAACCACAGCTTGTCACAACACTTCAGATTCTCACTTAAACACTGGGAGCAAATTGTCATCTGGGTGATATCTGTACTGTCTCTTATTTCAATGGGCTACTGGCTTCAGCCTTCCACTGTTAAGCAGGATGAGTTGGCAGCAAATACTGTCTGATTCCCATTATGTCGCTGATACTTTGTAAGTGCCAGGAAAGACAGCCTTCAACACCCATCAATAAAGGCACAATGTCTTGACTGCCTAGGACTCCTGGTATTAAATACAGGGACAAAATTAATTTCATTATTATTATTTAACTGGTTTCAAACTGATCAAGCTAAGATATTGTCATCCAGGATCTGTAGTGGTTTGCAATTGAAATAATTAAGCACTTATATCTCCCCTCATCTGCTATATATTAGAACAGCTAAATCAACAAGAACTGTGTGGGCGCCATAGAGTAAGAATAAAAAAACTAAAGACATGGTCTGACTGTTACACTCATTGAACATTACATGGTGTCAAAAGAGGTAGAAGAGTGTGACAAGAATGCAGCAGGAAAGAAAATGTTCTCACTGAGGCATTAGAAGCAGCTTTAGAAAGTTATAAATGTTAAGCTTTTACGTATGGAAGGTATTCTGAATGAAAAGCATCAAAGGTGGAAATGGCATTTTCAGCTGAACATGACTGAATCAGGAGTTGAACAAAGTGAGGAATGATTGCGAATTGCCAGGGATTTACATACCATGGGTGAAGAAATGCCTCTAGAAGTATAGGAGTAAACGTTTGCGGTATTTTAAAATGATGACAGTTATTAATTATCATCAGTAGCAGGTCTTGTGAAGGGTGCTCTAGAAATGCGAGGTGTTGTTGTATCTAATTGATATTGGAAAGCTTCAGTTGGATGAATCTAGCCCACCCTCTGTGGCGGTCTCCAGTTCCTGAACCAGGCTCATCCGCAGTACTCAAGGGCACCGCTGATGACAGCACAGCCAGGCTGGCTCATTGGCAGGACTGGGAAGGGCAGACCGGTCACCGGAGCAGAGATTCTTCACACTTAGCTCCCATTAACCCTGCAAGCCAAAGCCTTAGCTGGACAAGCAGCAGGAAAGCTTTCCAGGGAGGAATGCCCTCAATGGCAAGTTATACGGTTTCCAGCAATACTCCAATGCACAATCTGAGGTCTCCAAGCCTGGGCTCTTGCCAAACTGCAATCTAATACCTTCTGGAATTAGATAAGCAGGATGCATGCAGGGGGAGTGCACATTTCATTCCAATAGGTATCTCTGGAATTTCCATGTTTAAGTGGGTGGCATGGAATTCTTTTTGGTTTGGATACTCTTAAAACATAGTGATGGGATTCCGCACATGATGGACAACCGACTGACCAAACAAAAACTGGGGAAAGACTATTCTTTGGGAAGGGTGTTGCCACCTTGTGGCCTTTTACTGTTCAGCACTAAACATTGTAAACTCTGCTTCAAAACTAATGCCAGCGTCATTTTGGAAATGCTGCAAACTTTACCCATAATGTATTTGCACTCACCAAGTACCAAAATGAGAAATTGAATTCTGCTTTATTCCAAACAATGAAAAAATATACTTGTCACAAATTCAATACAAGGGTATTATCCTCAGATGAAAGCACTATGTTGTATATTGAGATAAAGATACTATCTAACGTGATAGATACTGGACAGTCTATGAAATCAGGTGAAGATTTTTGAGGGGAGGCCTAAAGAAAGACACTGAGGAATGTTGCTTTGATGTTTCAAAAGCAGTAGATATTTATACAGCTGGGGAGATTAACAAGTTATATTTGACTTGGAAATGATCTGATGGTTTATATCTGAGGATTGACCCAAGCTAGAAAGCCTGTTCTCGCTGGGGGTGAGGGCATTGCTTTACTTGCTGCCCAGCAGGGTGAAGCAACTAGCATAAGTGGGGGAAAAAATAATGTTGTGAATGTGTAAATCAACACAGTTATTAAAGGCACGGAAAATATTGTACGAAGTGACAAATCTAAAAAACCATGATTTTTTGTAGATAAACTGAAAGATGATAAATATGATTGCATGTGTTCCTAATTTCCTATCTGGCAGTCCCAACTAACAACTGCTTTGAGAGTAAATTCAGTATCTTGGATAGTCATATCAAAGATTTTAAACTAACCACATCTCAATCATTGTTGATTCTATCCCAGTCATATGTAATTCCTCCATTATGGATTGAAGTGCAGCCATTATTGGTACAGCACAACATGCACCTCAGAAAGGAAGTTGTTTACAACATTCTGCCCCTGACAAACAGGGCTGAGAATATTCTGCTTTTGCTGCAGTATTATAACTTAGTACCACCTGTTGAGATGTAGGTACTTTAATCTCTGTGATAATACCCATTGCAGTACTGTTTCTGTTTGGCAAATGGTTGCAGTCCAATATGGCATTTCTGAGACTCCAGTTTCGTCTGCTGAGTAAAGGGGCACATGTTAGTAGATTATCACACGACCTACCGTACAACATAAAGAATGACACTTACTTCTGTTTACAGATAATTACATAAATGTAATGCATCAAAGCATTCGTTGTACTTTAGTAAAGATTCCAATATTCCACATGTGGTAATATTCATTTGAAGGATTCTTACCATATCAGCTTCTGACACTCCCTCCAAGTCGAAAAGCTATACCATCTGTTCTCGATCTTTTCTCCTTGGAGAGTTTCCTCAGGCTCAGAGATGTCTTTTATCTGTTACCACAGTTCTCCGATTATTCTCCGGGCCGGGGTGGGGGGGAGGTGGCGGGGGGAATTTACTCCTATTTTCTTTACATTTCAGAGTATCCAGAAATTGTAAGTACAGTCTCGACTTTGAATCTGTTTTTCTATAAAATCTTTTAACAACTGCAGAAAACTGACTTTGAAGTTAAGGCTGAATTCAGCAATTTACCAAACTCTGGATGTTCTGAAATGCTAAATAAAATTCTGTTCTCTTTTTGGGTTAGCGCCATGGGAACTTTAGCATCCACCTGAACAGGAAGTTGGTACCTTGGTTTCATTCAAAGGACAGCACCTCTGACAATGCAGCAGTCCCACAGGATTGCACTGGACTGTCAGTCTACGCTATGCGCTCAAAGTTTTGACATCAGTATAGTGGAGTATACTGGAGTCCTGTAGCTCAGTGGTTAGAGCACTCACTTTGCAAGTGAGAGACCTGAGTTCAATTCCAGGCAGAGGACGAAACCTTGGGCAAGTTTCCTTACTCCACACGGCTAATAATAATCCCTCCAAAACAAAAACAATAATGAATTGGTCATTTTCAATCCATCGACTGTTTGTGGGACATTGCTGTGCGCAATTGGCTGCCACATTTGCCCACAAATATACAGCCAATTCACTTTACAGTATATTCTGTGAAGCGCTTTGGGACGTCTAGAAGACGTGAAAAGCGCTATATCAAATGCAAGGATTATTATTATATTATTATTGTGTACTCTATGTCACTGTTTCACTATAGAAAAGGATTGAAGAATGACATTATTAGTTGTAAGTTTGAATGAGAAACAAGTTAATTGATTTATTCATGATCAATAAATTCTAAAACAGTAATTCCGTGGAGAGAATGTGTTATTGAACGATTGAAATTGGTACACTTTTGAATGCTTAAAGCAAATCCCTATATAATTATGTGGTATTTTCATTGAGCATTTTCCCCCCAAATGAAATACTAAACTACCTCAAACTATGAATATTGCTGCTTCCTTCCCCAGAATTATAACACTTTGCTTCTTTTTCTTAGGTCTTACTGTAACAGAAACCTGCAAAATAAAAATTTAAATAGATTCCATCTGCAATATTTTTCTCCCAATATTTTCCAGTGGAGGATACTTATTCATCCTGCAAATGGACTGAGGATAAGACTATCAAGTGTAAAACTTAAAAATAAATTTGTATTCATTGAACTCTAACTTAAAAAGTTGCAAAAAAAACTAGTCTTACCACACTTTTACTAACCTAATCATATCAACCAATATTCATGCCAACATTTTGTTAGCGCTGGGGAGCTACTCTGCGTGAAGGGCGCTATATAAATGCAAGTTGTTGTTTTGTATGCGACCTGTATATCAATTAATGCATTTTTAAAAAAATATTCTTGATTTTACAAATCTGTCACAATAAAGTCAAACGGTTTTGGTCTCAAAATTCATGTTGGACTTCAAGCTCAGAGTCTAGGCTGACAATCCAATGCAGTACTGAGAGAAGAGACTTTTGGAGGTGCCATCCTTAGGTTGAGACTTGAAACTGAGGTTCTACCTGCCTGTTGCGGTAGATATTAAAGATCCCATGATACTCTTTGAAAAACGTTTGCCCAATAATCCTCAAGGTAATTTCACTTCATGACTAAGCGTGCTGTGACGCTGCCCAAGTGAAGGGTGCTATTTAAATACAAGTGGTTATCTACTTGTGGGACATTGCTGTACACACATTTGCTATTGCATTCACTCACAGTCATTATGCTTTCAGACATTTCAATGTTATAGGCACTCAAGCAAATACAAGCTTTATAACATTATTATATGAGATTGATAATAAGGTCAAGTCATTCAAACCATGATCCATTTCTCTCTAAGTCCCCTGTAATGTATCACTTTATCATGAATCACAGATTGGTGGCTATTATTTGCTATGTGCAAAAGCAATTGCAAACACATGCATACTGTATTATCTGAATGTGCAAACAATGTGTAGAGCTAATGAGGTCCTGGTAATGATACAATTAGCTAATTAATTGGATTGTTTTACATAATTAATAATTTATTTTCATTGCTTGTTAACAAGGCATCTGGAATGCTCTGTACACATTTATATTCATTCATGGCCCATAATACATTTCATTTAATAGACTACTACCTCAGTTGTGGTGGGGAGAACAGGTCCAGACAGATACTTATTTAACCCTAAAGAGAATCCACCAATATTTCCAAATGATTCATCCAATATCTACTATTTAAATTAGGCTTTCTTCCCCCCCACACAGACATATGTCCGAAAGGATATTTATGTCCAAAATGACATTTGCTCATCTCAAGTCTTTCCCTCTTTTCTTTCAATGTTGTTCAAGCAGATACTGTACTAATCAATTTCGTCTTAGAACTCAGTAGACACAGTATAATTTTTTTGTGGAGGGAGTTTGTTCGTAATACATCAAGAAATCTTGTGGTAGTCCAATATATAGCTGTCAGGTGTGAGAAAGTACCACGACTGATTGCAGACTGAAGTTTAACTTCATAGCAATACACGTTCCATAAAAGAAAATTACATTCTCAGAGGAGATTAACCAAAATCACAGATAATCGAATGATGGAAAGAACAATGGGAATGAAGGCATTATTATCCATTTGCAGTTCAGGCTGTGGAAAAAAGTTCTACCAGGTTTAGTAATGAAGGGTTTGGTCCTCCAGGGAGTGAGAACTGGAATAGAAGTGCAGCATTTCTATCCCAGTAACATCATCGACAAGTGATCCAACTATACATTTCAAAGTGAATGCATCATTATATTTTGCGATTTAACAAACAGAAAACGAGTTGCAAGTTACCATTAAAGTCAGTATTACTTAATCAGCGTTCCAGCTTCCAGTTAATCCAATGTATCTTTTACACAAGGTTATTGCTAAATATACTGTTTTAATCTCGCAGTAAACCTTAAGATGTTACTTCTGCACAAAACACATGACTGAATGATTACTCTGTAAATCAGGCGAAATAAAAGACGTTTCACGAGTGCACTATTGCTGCCTTTCTTGTGATTTTTGAAATGCATTATTTAGTTCCTTCCACACACTGCAGATTGCATTGCAGCAGCAAATCCAAAGTTAAAAAAAAAAAATCGCACAGCACTGCGGTGATTTTTTTTTTCGCGGAGGACGTTCCTGTGGCACATTCATAAGCGATGCCTTCCAGAACTTTTCCTAATCAATTAAAGTTGCATTAAAGGGTTACAAGTGGTTGACCAGAAGAGGCCTCTCCTGTGTGAACCCAACAACATGGCCTTATATAATGCTGTTCTTTGCATCAGTTTGTAAATATCCAGTGAAGAAGGATGGATGGATGGTTTGGATGAATTATATCAGGATAATGCATTTTATACACAGATGACTGAGTGATCGAAACATTCAGCGTCTGGTGCACTGATCAACATACTTTAAATAACAAGTAGGATGAATTGAGACGATTGCCCAGACCTACCTCGTCCTCTAACAGCGTAGGAAGCGGTTCAAATTCGTAATATTCCCTCTCATCATCTTCATCATAATACAGAGCCATGGCTTTTTTTTTCCTTTCCCCCCCCCCCCACACACCCACCCCACCCCCACCCCCCAAAAAAAATTATAATTGTTTTAACCGTTGTCCGACCAGTAAATGATTCACTTTTAACAAAAGATAAGACGGGAAGTCTATATGAGACTCAAAGTCTATCTGAGACGCATCCAGGTCTGAGGTCTAAACTGCTGACAGACAGACAGACAGACAGACAGGTTCGTATTTTATTTATTATTATTATTTTTTTTTTGGGGGGAGAGGGGGGGAGAGGGGGAAGAAAGAAAAAAAAACAGCAGGTTGCCCCCTTCCCCCCCCAAAAAAAATAATAATAATAATAATAATGTATCTTCAGGACTGGTTAACACGCCTCGACGAAGGAGTATTCAACCCAGACTTTCTTTATATATATATATAATAATTTTATATATATATATATAAAACACACACACACACAAGAAATTCATGTCATATTCGTGACTAATTTCTCTCCCCCCCCAACACCCCCCAACACCCCCCCCTCAGCCCCGGCTGCGGCACTCACTCTGCACATTAATTTAGACGCAGCTTCGTCACAGCGCAGCCGAAGCCAAAGCCAAAGCCGAGGGGTTTTTGAGGTGATTTTGTACGATTTCGAGCGTTCTCTCTGCGCTTTCCCTTCACTGTGTGTGTGTGTGTGTCTCTGTCTGTCATAGCGACCACTGTGTGTCATGGGAACAAACCGCAGCCGCACCTCCTACACACACACACACACACACACCCGACAGACACCCCCCGCAGCCCAGCCCTGGGGACCCCGCCTCTCTCCCCACACACCCCCGCCTCTCCCCCCCCCCCACCGCCTCTCCCCCCCCCCCCACCGCCTCTCCCCCCCCACCTCTCCCCCCACTCCCCCCACCGCCTCTCCCCCCACCGCCTCTCCCCCTCTCCCCCCCCACCACTTCCCCCCCCCCCACCGCCTCTCCCCCACCCCCCCCCGCCTCTCGCGCCTTTCTCTCCCCCACCCCGCCTCTCCCCCTCACCCCCCCACCGCCACTCCCACCCCCACCGCCTCTCCCCCACTCAGCCCCCCACCGCCACTCCCCCCCACCCACCGCCTCTCCCCTCTCCCCCCACCGCCTCTCCCCCCACCCCACCGCCTCTCCCCCACCGCCTCTCCCCCACTCCCCCCCACACTGCCTCTCCCCCCACCGCCTCTCCCCCACTCCCCCCCCATCGCCTCTCCCCTTTCCCCTCCCCCCGCCTCTCCCACCCACCCCACCGCCTCTCCCCCACCGCCTCTCCCCCACTCAGCCCCCCACCGCCACTCCCCCCCACCCACCGCCTCTCCCCCCCCACCGCCTCTCCCCCCCACCCCACCGCCTCTCCCCCCCACCCCACCGCCTCTCCCCCCACCCCACCGCCTCTACCCCCCGCCTCTCCCCCCACCGCCTCTCCCCCACTCCCCCGCAACCGTCTCTCCCCCACTCCCCCCTCCGCCGCCTCTCCCCCTCTCCCCCCCCACCGCCTCTCCCCCTCTCCCCCCACCGCCTCTCCCTCTCTCCGCCCCCCCCCCGCCTCTGTCTGGCTCTCTGTGTCTCTCTCCAGCAGCAATGCGGTGCTGCATCAGCTCCATTCCTCTGTGTTCCTCTTCCACAAAAAAATTTAAAGACGAAAACTTGTAGGGACTCGTAGACATTTTTTAATTAACAGAAAATGCTCGCTTGCACTCCGACGCCTTCTTTTTGCCCCGAGTGTATTGATAGGAAAATAAGAGTCGTGATGTTGTGACCCCATTGTCTTCAATGAAAATCATCGTTTATTTTAAGACTTATCAGACGTTGTAATGGTATCATAATTGTTTTGTATTAGCGTTTCGTCCACAAAACATACAGCCGATTCACTTTACCCTATATTCTGTGCAGTGCTTTGAGACGTCTCGAGGATGTGATAAGGTGCTACATCAAATGCAAGGATTATTGTTATTATTTTTCTTTAAGGTACAATTGAAGATCAAGACCATCACAATGAGAAACACTCTGCTGCTGGGCACACAGGGGTTAAAGAGACTTCTGCGGGAGTGGGGGTGGGAGAGCAGCAACATTTTCATATCACCTGTCAATAAATTGCTGGGATCAGTCGAACTGGAGCAGCAAACACTGGGGGAGGATAGAGACATTGCAGATTTGAGATGAGAACAGACTATTCGTGGCACTAAAGTCAGTCAGTCTGGACTCCAGAGGCTTGGTTCAGCTGTGCAATGTACATTCAGAATGTTACCCCAAACCTGTAACAAGTGTTCCCGTTTAAGAAATAATACATTCATGGACAATTATACACTGCCCACCAATTTTGGAAACTGTGCAGAAATCTGAAAGTACAGCAATAATGATTCTTGGATTTAATTATAGCACCTACATCATTAAAATGTTCTGAAACATTTTATAGGTACAACAGGTGAATTACCAATTGATTTGGAGAATTGTGGGCCATGATACCTGAAGAAACTCCTTTCTCTTTTTGAATTGTTTGATAGGTTCTTTTAACATCCCCTTGAACAGGCAGAGAATATCTCTGTTTAACATCTCAATCAAAAAGACAGCACTTCCACCAGTGCAATACTCTCCAACTTGCACTGAATTATATGCTCAAGTCTCAACATGTGGCTTGAAACCACAACCTTGACAGGCAAGGGAGCTACCAACTAGGTCAGACTGATACTAGGCATATTACAGGTTTAACCAGGATAACCTGCCTTAGTAACCATTTGCTTGCTAAACTTGCTTACTAAGTAACCAAAGGTATCTAAAATGGGAAGGTCATGGGAGCTGCAGGTAACCCTGTTTCTTAACCTTTTTGATACCAGGGCTCAGTTTCTTCTTAAAATGTGGTGGACTATTAGTAAATGGGCCTGTCAGATCACTCAGTCTAAAGACATCTGTATAATAATAATAATACTCATGTTTCACATCAGTAGCATGTCTCAAAGTGCTTCACAGGGGTCTCTGTATGTGGGATAATAATAATAATGGACCAGCCATAAGATTAACACAATCATTGCATTACCTTGTAGGTTTGGGGCAGCTGAATCCTCTCGCCCAAGCCACCCCCCCACTTACGTATTTTTAAAAAATTGGGAGCCATTTTCATGGGTGCGCTCAGGAACCATTCACAAGGGCACTCAGGAAATTTACCAATTAGAAATCTGCCCCTGAATATAACCTAATTAGTAGATAAGACTGTCATTCTAACCAGTTTAGTAACTAGAAAACTATTAGTTGAATTACAATATTGAATATTTAAGCTTGGCAAAAGTATGGGCAAACGGGAAAAAAAGCAGCAAACAGGTTAAATCATATCATATGCTTCTGGCAGAAAAGATAATAAGTTAAATTGCTTAGATACCATAGAAGGAAATTAAAGAAATGAAAACAAAGCATGACATTAAACTCTCTGTCTAACTGCTAGAAATCTAATATAGAAAAATATGAACTTAACTCCATCCTTAATTTAAAAAAAAGGCTGAAATTGGCTTGTGAACATTGAAAACTAATTATTTTATCACAAAGTGATAGCCACCAGCTGAGACCATTTTATTCTATTAAATGCATTAAAGTTGATAATGGAACATTCACTAAAGCAATGCATTCTTGCATTTCTTTGCAGAATTGTATAGATAACAGGGCTGCACAGAACAAACAAATAGAGATCTGTTTTCAAGAATTTTTCCATGCTATTTCCAAAAAATATTCTTCATAGCAAACACTTCTCAAAACCTATGTGATTAAGTATGATGGCAGATTTCTCCAAATATCAAAAACGTGTCATGGCATAAACATGGCATTTACAGGTCAATCTCTTGTCTTTCATGGGGGGGGGGGGGGGGGTGCAAATTCTTGAAATCTTTAGTAGGAAGGATGCAAGTGGGATTTATTGAAAAATCATGCCACTTCTTAGGTATAGTTTCAGAGTGAAGAGAATCACTAGTGGCCAAATGGCATTTGACATTACAGAGAAGGACTACTTCACAGATAGTCACTTGGATCTTTTGCCTCAGTTAATTGTAACCTTTTACGGTGAAGAAGTACAGTTCCAGTGAGGAAATTACCAAGAAAGGTTTCCAAATCTTATCAAGTTATTAGGAGTATAAGAATTATGTTGATCTGAATACAATATTGTGATGGTTATTTTGTATAACCTAAAAAAACTAAAGACATATACTGTAGTTACAAAGTATCACTACACATTTGATTTCAGTTAAAAAAACACAAAATAGGATTGTTTATCATTGTCATAAAATTCTATTTATTCATGCTATCACTTAGTTACATAATATTTTAACAAATGCTTTATACGTCATCCTTTGGGAATAGGCATTTGCATATTTTCTCTTCTTCCACTGTACACATTAACTGCTTGTCAGTTTGAAGTTGAACGTCATTATTAACTATCCTATAATTTCAGTCTGGTTCAAGAGGTAGGCTTCTCAATTCTGGATCAATTGAGACTTGAGCTCACAAATATTAGTGACGCCTTGGATATGAAATGTTAAATCTAGGTCTCGTCTTCCTGTATTTAAGTAGGTCTTGAATAGCATTGTCTTGCCTCCTTCAAGTCCTGTCTAAAGACCTTCCTCTTCGACCTTGCCTTCGGCCACCCTCCTACCCCCACCCCACCTGTCCTCCACCCCTCCTGAACATAACTCCCAGCTCGGATCCGAAAAACCCTGACTGTCCAATGCCCTGGATGCCTTTCCGATGTGATCAACAACAAGATTACATTTGTATAGCACCTTTCATGTCGGGAGGACGTCCTAAGGCGCTGGACAGTGTACAGCATTTCAGACCCGAGCTGGGGTCAGGGAGGGAGAAGGGAGGGGAAGGGAAAGGGGATGGCCGATGGCATGGTCGAAGAGGAGGGTCTTGAGGCGGGACTTAAAAGGAGGCTAAGGAGGGGGCGAGGCAAGTGTAATTTGTTGTTGTTGTTGTCTTAATAGGTCTTAAACCCCATTACAGTATTTGAAAAGAGAATCGAGTTTCAAGTATCTTGGTCAGAAATGCTTCAGGTTAATTGATCATTTTGCTCATGACTATTTGTAGGACTTTACTGGCACAAATAGCTGCCTACAAAGAGCAGTCTAAAGAAATTTAATTTTATTGTAATTACTTGTGAAACTCTTTGAGATCTTTCAATGTGATGAAGAAATATAAAAAATCGAGTTCTTCATTTCTATTGTATTTATCCGCTATTACTTTTAAAATAGCATTTTTTATTGTAAATAATATAATGCAGTAATATAGTGTAAGGCATAATTCAATAATACATCTACATTTTTAGAGGAATATATTAAATGGAATTAAACTTTAAGACAAGTTTCTGTTTTATACAATATTAATTACAATAATATGTAGGATGAACTGCATCTATTTGCTCAGGTCTGTAGATGGCACTGTTCATGATTTTCCTCCCGTTCAATCGGTTCCAATGACTGACTCCCCCCTGTCCCCCATCCCAATTTGGTTACCTTTTATATGTTATTAAGGATCATTTCATTTTCTAAGTTATAATCATATGCGTAGCACCTTAGGTGTTTTTTCAAAATGTCTGCAAGCATTTAAAGGAAAGATACATATTGATATCAAAACTGGTTACATTTGTAGTTTCTTACATTCTTTATCACTAATCAGTTACTTTGTTTTTATTCGTCTGTTTTGTCAGATGGATTGAACAAACAACTACAAAAGTCCCATGAATGAATAAATGTTTCATAACAAATTGATTCTTGTAATGTGGTAAACCTATCAGGTATCTATATCCTTACCACAGTTTGTCGGCCACCCTAAGACCAATGTTAAACTGAGTAGGATCACACCAATGCAGTTAACTTGAACATCAGAGAGAACTGAAGACTTTTTTAATAAAAGGATTATTTTGTTGCCTCAACTGTTCATCGTAAAAGTAAGTAAGCATTTGGGTGACTACCCTATACTGGCCTTTAGATACTTTTTGACTTCCTCATTCAGCCATTGTAGTCTTGGTCTGGATATTTTAGTTTTTTAAAAAATATGGATATATAGTCTAATGTTTCTCTAACTAAAGCAGTCTTTTGAAATATTTCTGCTGTTTTATTCATAGTTCTGCTTCACGTTCAGGCCTCATTAGAACTCTTCATAGACGAAAAATATCTTCTAAAACTGAGTAGAGCTGTATTTTTTTTTGCCTGATAATAATAATGTGTATCAAATATAGTTGTACATTGATCATTAGAACTAAATGTTCACCCACTTCCAGATTATTAATCTGTTCTGGTAGGCTGCCAAATAGTAAATCTTCTGTAGCATCTAGTATTGTACATTGGTTCATGTGCTGTGTTGAGAAAAAATCATTTGAAATACAAGTAGAGAGACATAGAAAATAGAGATAACATTTTTAATTTGGTGCACCCAACTGAATAATAGGTGACTGATGAGCCAAGTGCATATGATGGGGTTTCTATGAGATGTATAAATAATAGTTAACTCAATCACAATCTGCTTTCTCTGTTTCATTAAGTTGTTTATCAAATTGGGATGGGAGGGAGGTAGTGGAGAAAGGAAGGCAAGAAATAAGTGAAAGAACCAAAAAGCAAAGCTTGATCAAATTCGTGTCTATCTGCAGGATCTAGTACATTTTATCTACTGACATATGTAAGTGTTTGTTGTACTTTTATGCTCATTGTATTCAAGTGCTCTCATGCAATGCAATTCTGGAAAGAATTGTGCCCTATATAATGGTTACCATGGTTAGCATACTATTAAAATAATTCTATAATGTTTCTGATGATATTGCTCAGTTTTAAATTCTTGACTTGAGAACAGAGCCAGTTCCCTTGAAGGCAAAGATTGAATCAGGAAGACAGAAATTGCAACTTAAATTGTTCTGTTCATTCAAGTGGAAAGTTTGGTAATGTTGGCAGCTCTTATGGAGTGCTTCAGGCTCAAGCAATGGAGGCATTTGTTATTTCTGTTTGATACTGAAAAAGTGCAGTGCAAGATATTCTCCATAAATCCAATCTTCTTTGTGATATAAATCAATAGATGCTAATATAAATCAACTGTTGTCATCCAAGAGAGAAAGTCATATGCACAGAACATTTAGCTATAAAATAACAAAGATAAACAAATTGGCATTAGGTCTAGTCAGCCTGAATTGATCCAGTTGCAATCTTAACATGAAGGTAGATACAAATGATTAATCTTTTTAAAACAAAGCCAATTGTACATGTACAAATTTCATTTTCAAGGATTTTTCGCTTTTGCCAATTTGGATTCAGATACTTTATCCACTGGGTAATTCAGTGGACAATATTTTGTATTAAGCAGGATTTCTTTCTTCGAGTTATGCGCATTTATAAAGTCATACAGTTAAGTAGAACTAGATCATTTAGATAACACCGTGTTTGGTCAAAATGCCACGTAAAACAAACCGAGTACATCAAGTGCCTCTGGATTCAAATTAATACATTCTTCTTCTGATTAGTTAATTTTTCACAGGAAATTTATGGGAGGAAAAATACTATGTTACTTATGTCAATTGAAAGTAAATTAGATGGAGCAATATAAAATTAAACAGAAGAATTATTCTTTTCTGAGGCACATTTCAAGGGCACTCGTGGCCATCCAGAAGCTTGTCCAAGTAATCATTCTTCATGTGCAGGCCTGAACAATGAATGTTGGCAGGCTATTTGACTCAGTATGTGGTGTCTGTGTGTGTTTATGTATGGGGATGGTTCACACCAGAGCTGATCCTGTACTTTTCTGACATGGACACTGGCCAGCAGCAGTCTTTGGATAGTGATTAGGAGCCAGAACCATTGCTTTTTTTTCTTATTGCGTAGGCCACAAATCTGCAATGGAATTGCAGTGACATTATTATTGTCCAGTTGAGATCAGTCATCTCAGGAATTTGAACCTGAGATCTTCTTTGCATTGCTAAGGAGTGCCATTGGTGTAGATTTCTAAAATTTAGTTTTATAATAAAGCAGAAATGAAAGCATCGCCGTCTGGTTCCATGTGCATTTGTGCTTGTAATTCACCAATCTGTTTTAAACCTTTGGAAGAAGTATGGGCTGTTTCTCTGGAGGGAAGGAAGGAACATTCCTGGATAAGTTATTTTGGGCTACTGCATCAAAACCAATAACAGAGCATAAGAATAGACCTGGGAGTAGGTCACTGTCCACTGTCTCACTCACGGAATGATCCACGATGCAGAGCAAGCTAAAAGGGTGAGCAAAAAAACATTAATATCAGGGAGAACAGATACATAACCTATTTAATGTAAAATAATGAATGCCAAAGGTAACATTAATGTATGGTATGAGGTTTCCTCTTTGTTTTTTTGGCTCAGGATACATACAATTTGTTGGGATCATTAATGCACATATGTGTTTGTATTTCAACCCTGACCATGTGGTGTTTTATATAATATAAACAAGGTAGTTCCTCCCATGCTGTCATTCTTTAAATATGTCTGGCTTTAGCTGAGGCTGAGTTAAGATGTTCAAATGAATAAACAAATACTGTATTAATGAAGAACAATAATGTGTAATGGAGAGATGTAGAATCATGATGATACAAAATAAGGGTAAAATAATCCTAATGTTTTGATAAAGATTAACGGATGAATTATGGTGGGGGTATTATCCTGAACTGAATATGTGTATCACGCATGCAAATATAAGCCCAAACCAAATGTGTAATTCCATGCATGTATATAATATTTAAATGTCTAACTCATCTCTTGACCAGCTAATGAATCTATCCCATCCTAATTGCTAAAAGTAGTGCAGTGTTTGTTTCACTATTTTTAGTGATCGGTGTATGAAAAATACTAATGTCTAGTACAATATATAAAAGTACTTTGTTTCCATTGTCCATCCATGCAAAACAAAATCAAGAAATGCAGAATGATATCATGTTGGTGTGCAAGATTACAGGAAAATGTTCCGAAACAAGAACCAGTAATTTGTTGGGATACGATGTAAATTATTTAGACAATACAGGCCAATAAAATACCTCGTATATATTATAAGAATATATAATTTTCAAGAAATACAGGGTGTTAAAGGGAATTGAATACACTGCAAACATATAATAAATCTCCAAAACAGTGACAATTTTCCACAAGAATAACAACCTACCATAAATGCAAATTATTACTTCAAAGACTTGCCATTGACACTTGGTACAGAGAGTTGGGTTAAACTAAAGAGTTTACATCAATTAGTATGACTTAAAACTCATATGGGATGAAAAGCTTTACATAGATCACATGAAATCTGTGAGTCATAGATGGTATGTGATACAATATGCAAGAATTCTTCACTTTGAATTCATGAAGAACTAAAGAACAATTTTGAGTGATTTTATCCAATTCATTTCTAGTTTTGCTAACACACACTAATTTTCTATGACAAAATGCAGTTATGAATATAGTGATTAAACATCAGCCACAATTCTGTTGCAAAACTAGGTGAATCAAATGGAACTAATTTCATCCAATTCTACAGAATATTAATAAAGTTAATGAAACGAATTGTGAAAAGCAGTCTAATCGAGAGAGATGACAAAGCTGATTTGAAGGCTTTTTTGTTTTTTTTTACTAATATACATTGTGATATCTGCATTGACTGGAGACAATTCATTATACAGTGTACACTGTAACATACAACAGGCACAGCATGCTCTGTACAAAAAAACTGATGACTGTCATCTCTAGCACATAGTATTAACCTTACACATGTATTGTGCCACTTTACCTAGTGAAAGAGCCAAATGATTGTGTTAGTTGCATTATTGTGTCAGCCACATGTATTGAAAGAGGATACAATGTCATTGATCTTTACATTACCAAATTTAGTTTTCACACATAGCAGATGGGTGCTATTGATGATTCAACTCAACAAAAATCAGGCAAGTTACCATTCTTACAACAGCATGTTCTATATCCGTGGAAAATGCATTTGATATAAAATGTCTTCCTACAAATTTAAAGAGCCAAATTTCATTTAACCAATTACAGTAAAAGTTACACAATTATTCAGTGAAATGGATACTTTTGTTGATTTGGTGCTATTCTTCCAATCCTGTAAGAGAATACTTATATGTCATGATCCCACGTTTGTTTTTTTTCTAAGAGTATTATTTCCTCCCAAAGTCAGATTTTTCTTTTGATGATAGTTAATATGTCTCTGATTTTAGCTTTCCAAAGTGCAACTAACTCTTTAATAGAACAATTCTGTTGACTGCACATGTTGTATGTTTCAATTGAAACCATATACATTGATAGAAAAATAATGAAAAACTTTAACTTAAGTGTGATATATTTGCAGACTAATTTAAAAATAACGTCCACATTGTGGCAACACTAAATGCATCTTTTGCAGCTTGAAATACAAATACATAATATAATACTGGTTTTATGATATTCTTGTATGTGCTGTACATATATATGTATGCATACACACATATAATCTATGTATTTTGAAAGATCTGCACACTGGAAATATGCAAACAAACACATAAGCATTATACAAAACGTACATACAACCTGTAGCTGTAATGATTGATTGTAGAGTTATTGATTTCAAAAACTACACAGTAGTTTCATTTTTCCAAGGACCAGTTCTTATATTTCCTGTACTGTCTGAAGTATAAATCATGGCTTCATGCAGGTTTCCCTTGAGTATTCCATTTTGGTTGGCTACACTTAGGGGACATGATTGTCTCCTTGGGTGCATCTCAAAAGTAACTGCTTGGTGAATAGGCTCTGTGGTGATTCCGCTGTCCACTTTAGCACACCCATATAGCACTGTGCTGGCATCACTGCTTTCAGGCTGGCAGAAGGTAGGATACTGATCGCTTTTTGTAGAGACAGCTTGCCTTTGGCAGGTCTGGCTATCCTGGATACTGTGGTGACTTTCTGTATGCGAGCTGTGAGCACTTCCATCCATGCTGGAAGGAATATGATACGCATATTCTCTCTGGGTTGCAGATCTGCTGTGACGAATGAAATGTCGTGGCTTTGTTCGGCTCTTTTGACATCTGTGAATATGCATCCCAGGTCTGCATGTACTGTCTGCATGTAGATGAATATGGCCTTCATCGTCAATAATTTGATCATTATGCATTTTGGCACAACAAGGTGCAACTGGAGAAAGGCAGTTCACATGATTTTGAACAGCCTGCAGATTGGTTAACTTGCAGAGTCCAGTGACTGAGTGATTACAACTGGACGATGATTTGCTGGGACAAGGAGAATCCAGGAGACATGGTGCATGAAGCTGAGCATCACCATTCATTGTAACTTGGGGTCGGACATTCATTCGTACAGAGTATGTATTTTTATTTGATTTGCAGCAAGACCACCAACAATGCCAGACATCATCCCGCTTTGCACAGTGATGGACGAGAATGAAGAGTCCTAAGGTCACTGAAACTGCTCCATACAAGCAACTGAAGATCATATCTAAGAAATGTCCTTGTGAGACTGCGAGGGCTCCAAAGGTCCACATGGCAATAAACAGAAATAGAGTGAATACTGAAGCACGAAGCTGAGCCTTGAAAGAATGTTCATTCTCCAGCATTGAAGAAGAGACCATTGAACATGTATGTGACACAGAGCCAGAGTCTGTCACGTGACTGGGACCTACCTCTGTGCTTGCCAATCGTTGCTGCTCCTCTGTCATTTCTTTCAGCTCATATTTCCTCTCAGGGTGACGCTTGAGTTGTACCAATGCACATAGAAAATATACACAACTTACTAGCACAATGAATGCAGCAGGACCATAAAATGCACCAAGACTAGGCTCCCATGCCATCCAACAACTGTGAGTAGAAAAGAAACGCATTGATTTATAATTGTAAGTCGGAAGATAAAAAGGAAATAGTCAGTGAGTGATCTGATCCATTTATGCATAACCCGAAAGAAAGAATGTCATGAGCAGGTTACAATGACCAGATTCCTATTTTACTTTTTTTTTAAAAAACTAAAAAGACACTCATTCATATAAGATGGTTTTCACCAGAAAAGCACTTTGTGATACTAAAGTATGAAGTGTAAATCAATTAGTTCTTTGCTGTAAAATGATCCCTTAAAAGATCGTGGGCACTTTACTGGTAGAATAATTGTGCATGAAGAGAGCTCAGCCCCTTGCACAAGTTATTTTTTATAATTAAAAAATTATAAATTATAAATGAAATTTCCCACTATTAATGACTTTACCACTGAAAGCTGGATTTAATGCATTTTAAGTAATTATGTTTGTCTATATTTTAGATACAAGCTACTTGGTACATCAGCATAATTTTAAAACATTCACAACCATATGGTGATTTTGATGATGGTACTGATAATGTTCAAATTAATATGGTAATATTTATACTGGCACAAAGAGTTTGTGAATCAATGCCCTAATAGGGCAGGAGGATACTGTGCTAGAGTGAACAGTGTTACTTAATATCATTTAGATTAGTAGAAATTATGATTTACTGTCCTGATTACTATTAGTATGGAGATTTTTTTCCTGGAACATGCTTCTGTACTTACTATGGTGCCATGTCTTCACTCCCATAATTGTTGATATTCGTTGCAGCAGTGATTCCACAAATTATGAAAGGAATGCCTCCGCCAATTAAATAAAACCTACAAAAGATTGGTAGCCAGGTCAAAGTAAATTTTAAAAAAAGCAAATTAAGCAGGTTGCAAAATTACAATTCAATACCCTATTTTAGAAGTTAATAAGAAATAGAAAGAAATGCATTAATCCAGTTATAATACCAAAATAATACTCGAGAATTATATAATTTCTGATCTGAGTATTCAGCATATTTTCCATATAAAAATTGATAAATAATTGTTATATGGAAAAAATCATAATAGAGCCATAAGGGAATAATATATTAAAAATAAAAAAGAAACATTACTCCTAAGGATAAACATAGTTATAGAAAACATTGCATTATAACTTTAGAAATTTAGGAAGTGCTAAGAGCGATCTACGAAGTGTCCAGGCAAGGATCACATCCCTCAACTTCAACAGGATTTTGAACTCAAGGTATCAAGATGAATGTGCTAAATATAGCACCTCTATATTGTGTGAGGATGCCCTAAGGGTATCATAACCAAAGGCAAAACGAAAAATACTTGACAGGTGAATCATTTCCAGTTGCATTCACAAGGTTAAGCTAGAAACAGAATTGATATCTCTTAAATTTAAAGAGGTAACGGATTTGCTTTAAGGTTACTATAGATTTAGAGACTTTTGATCCTGTCCTAAAGGGTCGATAACAATCGCAAATAATTTGTATGTAGGTTGCTTGCATGTGAGGTGCTTCAGCTGTGAGTATCTGAGAGGGATGGAATATGGATTATAATTAAAATAAATAATTTTACCATCTTGGTCTGGTGTCCAAGCTCCATCTTCATGGCTGCTAATCTCATGAGTTTATGTGAAGGCACGATCAAACTAACTCCATAATCTGTCTCAACGTCTAATCTGTATCCCATTATTCATAAAATAGATCACATATACATTAAAAACCTGGCTGGTGGGCACAATGAGGGTGGTGGGGATGGGGGGGGGGGTGGGTGGTGGAGAGTTCCAGTCGACCGTATTTCAAGCTGATTGAATATATCAGAATTGCAATGCCAGTACTGGCATTTTAATTGTTTGAATCCCATGAGCAGAAGATAGTGAATAAGCTATTGTATTTTCTGCTTCACCAGGCTTTCCCCCTGTTAAGTGCTCTGAGTTGCTACCCTGCGTGGAGGGCGCTCTATAAGTGCAAGTTGTTGTCGTTGCTTGCAGGATTCAAACTGAGTCCAACAACAATTTGCATTTATATAGCTCCCTTCACACAGGTAGCATCCTGGAGCTCCTAAAGTTGATATCACTGACCACTGAACGCCAGTGAGGATGGTGAGGCAGGGGCGCACCCTAGGAGAGTGGGCCAGGGGCAGTCTGTACACAGACCCCAGACATTTTTTTTTATATTTCCATTTCAGACCCGGTTTGACGTGGTACAAATTCCGGATACCTGGTGTCCGGTAAGGTGGGGTTTTACTGAACGAAAAGCTTTCCACCTGAGGTACTTGCTCATTGCTATGAATCACAACATACCAAACAAGCTGTCTTGAGAATCATCATTTCAGTGCAGATATTTATCCACATACAAGTTATTTGCAAGGGTTTTGAATTGTTCAACTAACTTTTGGAGACTTGTTTATTAGAGAAACTGCAGAGGATCGATGTAGCCTTACCTCTGTGCTTTCCTGATAACTAAGTGCTCCTGACTCTGTTCATATAAATTATAACAATAACAAGAGACTAAAATCCTCAGTGCATTATATGATTTTTCCATGTATTACTTTACTGCAGCCCACTGTATTTCTTTCCCCCAAATAATTCCATATTCATATGCTTCATAATGCAAATGTAAGTAATTGTTAACAGTCTAAATTTAAAATAGTTGAATATTTTTAAGCTTATTTCTCTAAATTTTAATGCAACAATATAATACATTTCCCATTTCAAAATATTAGTTAATTCTTGCTCTGAACGAATTGATAAATCGACCTGTAATCAACTGAATGCCAATTCTTTCACGAGGCATTTGATGCAATCAATTTAAAATGTTATCTGAGATTGTGTTGCTGCCACGTGCCAAAGAATCAAATCTATTTGAATTACCAGGCAGCCCACAGCAGCTTTGAAAGTCAATTACCATCAAGATGCCCTTCTCACAACAAGTGAGCTACTATTAATCTGTCACCAAGCATCAGGATACCTTTCAGTTACCTGGCTATTTTTAAAATGAAATTTTGCAATATTTGCCAGATTAATTGGAGATCAAGGAAAATGAAGAAGGAAGAATGGTTGTAAAGTTAATTTATTATAGCATAGGTACAGGAGTAGGCCATTCAGCCCCTCAAGCTTGTTCTGTCATTCTATTAGATCATAGCTGATCTGTACCTCAACTCCAGTTACCCGCCTATGCCCCATATTCCTTACACCTTTATCAACTTTATTAAGTGTACAGTAATCCTAAAAAAANTTAAAAAATGATCTACAATGGAATTTTTTTATCTTGCCTTTAGTATTTACTAAATATATAGTTATACCCATTCTATCCATATATGGAAATATTAATGTCTCATTCAATTCATTCTGATCTAATTTGCTAAGACTTATGTCCATTCTGCACATCCTGAATGAAGATATTATTTGGCATTTTCCCAGGAAATGATGTGGGAACGATGCCAGGTTGGTGTCTTTACTATTGATATGTTAGATACTGATGAAATGGTATATCAATACATTACAAAGTTTAATGATATACACTCTACCTCGTATTTTCAGTTAATAAATCAACAACCTTTGATACTCTTGGGAGTTACTCAATTGTATCCAGATCACGTTTCACATCCAGCTGGACCCAGAGTTGACAGCCATCAGCTAAAGGCTGTAGATTGCTTTGCATCGATAGCCATTAATGGCTTTGCAAAAGAAGGGAATTCCGAGCTCCTCACAGGTGAGAGAAGACTAAACATCAAAGAGTATCTAAAGTTATAATTTTTATTGAAAACCAAAAACAATAATAAATTGGTCATTTTCAATTCTACGACTGTTTGTGGGACATTGCTGTGCGCAAATGGCTGCCGCGTTTGCCCACAAATATACAGTCAATTCACTTTACAGTGTGTTCTGTGAAGCGCTTTGGGACGTCCTCCCGACGTGAAAAGCGCTATATCAAATGCAAGGATTATTATTATTATTATTATTATAGTTTTCAAACATAATAATTTATTTGTTTATTTGCATTTCCTATTTTAAATTATTTAGAACTATAGGATTTTTTTTAATATCACAACAAATAATTTAACACATTAGAAAGATGAAAATGGAGTTGGGCTTTTGTCCCTGCGATGCTACTAACAAATTGTGACCTTTATCCAAAGGAAGGCTTTTGTGTGTTTTGTTTTGTGATTTATCCTGAACTAATCATTCCTGCTACAGGCAAAACAGAAAGCTGAAACAATACAGCTTGACATTCCTTCTCCTACATTTTCTCTCTATTTCGAAGTACATTCATGAAACTGAACATCAGTGCAGAAGGTACCTAATATTCACTTTCAGCTTTCTATTCTGTGGAGACAATCAGATTGATCCTCATACGCACCACTGCTACCATTTAAAACCTGGCTGTTAGAACAAAGACAAAATGTCTCTCAATTTTTTAAAAAATTAATTTGATGAAGAAAGTTTATATTGATTTCAATTATAATCAAATGCTCATAACTGAAAAACAGCTTATGCTTTTAAAAAAATGTTGCATGTAATAGCTTTACTCGAGCGTATACCTTACAAAACTAAAGTGCAATATATTTTGATTACCGTTTATACATATTTTTCTCCTAAAAGTGGATTTAGAAAGATGTACTGGCCTATGGCTGGCCTCCTAATTTAAGGCTCTATTTTTCTACTCAAATAAAAAGAGGTTGGAATCAGTGAGGCATTGTGTCAGAATGCATAGTCTGACACCTCCAACAAATCCTGTTGCTCAGTATATTCAGTAGAGCATGGCAAAAGCACTGTTATTTATCTTCTGAAACCACAATTTCAAGGACATTTTTATAGAATCCCAAAGACTGAAATTTTCTATATATTTATTGATGTTTAAACTACTATTAGGCATATATTCTGGGCATCAAAAATAAAGTGGTATTGTAGAGTGTATAATAATTTTGGGAACATGAAGAAACATCTATCATACTTTGATAATCTTTGCATTTGATGTAGCACTTTTCATAATATAATAATGCTTGCATTTGATATAGCGATTTCCACGTCTTCGAGACGTCTCAAAGCGTTTCACAGAATATACTGTAAAGTGAATTGACTGCATATTTGTGGGCAAAACGCGGCAGCCAATTACTCACAGCAATGTCCCACAAACAGTCGTGGATTGAAGTGACCAATTTTGTTATTTTTTGGCGACAGGCTATTTCAAAGTGCTTCGCAGGATATACTATAGAGTGTAGTGACTGTGTATTTTGTAGGCAAATGTGCAAGTCAATTTGCACACAGCATTGTCCCACAAACTACATGACAGCATTATTTTGATTGGTGAAACTGTCCCGCGCAGAGGTCTGCAACTCACCTATCCCAGAGAGTGTGCTGAGCATTTACCACCATCTTTTTCTGGGCCAACCTTTAATCGTTCCAGTTAAATTGTGGTTTCATTCTAGTCATTTGTCTTCTTTAAAAGTTTCAGACATCAGCCTTTATCAAAAGCTTCAATGAATTCTGGAAGAATCCTCTAAAATGCTCTCTTTCATTTTCTCCATGAACAGCAACCATTGAATAAATAGATTTATAACTCTTCGATTCTTGTTTCACTTTTTTAAAATTGGAATTACACAAATTATCCTCCATTCTCAAGAAGAGTCATGTATTAATGAATCTCCTAAAAATATTAACAAGAGTCTCACTATTTCCTTTCCTGTTTCCCTGAGGATTTCATCATATATCCCAGATGGTCCAAATATCCCAAAGACACTGCATGTTTCAAGTTTTTTTCAGCAGCTTGATGAATTTCTTCATCTTGCTGATCTCAGATCAGATTGTAATCAATTGTCCATGAATGTGTAATTGAGAGTCTTTTAGAGCAAGTTGGATGACAATAAATTCTGGATTGTTTATGTGCTACTGGAGCTTCTGAGGTTCCCAAATTCTATTGAGCTACCTGTCTCCTATATTATTTTACCAATAGCTGAAAGTATTTTTCATAAGAGGCAGAAAAATAATTTGTTCTTTAGCCTGATATCAGGAGCCTGAAATCGAGATTTTTTTTGCCTTATTTGGATTGCTGTGTTAAGGCGGATGCTTCCAGCGCCTCACTAAAGATATTCCTCTATGAGTGATTGGAAGAAGGAGGTAAGAAATAGAGTCACTGAGTATTTCATGTACTCAGGCATTAAAGGGAGGTTACAATTTCACCTCTTTTTTTAAAAAACTGTGAAATTTGCAGTGTGCAGGATTTGAGCTTTGGGAACTAATGTCCATGTGGACGACATTAGTTTTAGTAAATTACCATATGCAGAAAAAAATAAATGAAGAAGAATTACCCCTTCATGCTTTTGTTAATCAATTTCTACACACCAAAGTAATATTTTGAAGCATGGAGCTTGCATATCATTAGGCTAATATTTTTAAATTAGTCTGTGAATCATAATTGCCTATGCTTTGTTATAAAATCTGTACGTATGCACAATTAGCTGTGTAATATAGCTAATTTACAGTTATGTTTTACAGAATTGTATTACACACGAATTATCCTTATTCCCTAACAAATAGCAAGAGTTAATAATGCTTCTTGAATTGAGGAAACATTTAAAATAAGTACAGACAATAGCAACAGTCTCTCCCATTGTCTAATTAAAACATTATTAGTATTGGGTAACTACTGCATATGGTGTTTCTAAGCTCTTCCATTTAGAACCAAAATGAAGGATAAACAGTTCTTCTGCAATGTTATCCATAAGTTATGCTACAGTAAAGTGCTCTGTTAGGGCTACACCTAGAGTACTGTATGCAAGTCACCTTAGCAAAAAGTAGCTGATCAGACCTTAGAGGCAGTGCAACAGAAAGTAACGAGGATGATAGCCAATGTTAGAATAATAAGCGGTGAGAGCTAATAGATAAGTAAGAGCTTTTCAGCTTTAAAAGCAAATGTCATAGATGAAGTCTTGTAGAAGCATATAAGGTAAGCTTTTAAATGTGATTGAGAAAGTAAACCCCAAACAATACTTGGATATGCCAGTGCAGCAGAACATGAGGGCATGAGTACAAGATAGCAAACAGCAATGTAGGACAGACACCAGGATGCATTTATTTACCCAGAGGGTGATTAATGAATAAACTGGGTCACCAGGAAAGGCTGTTGAGGTCAGGTTGCTGATGGACTCATTTAAGAAACAGCTTGATGGTACGTTGGATGGATGGTATGCTGGTGATGTTAAAACTAATTTTTAGATTATTGCAGCATACTGCATTTTTGCTTTGCCATAACTTCAAGTGCATTCCTCAAAATGATGTAAAAATTACACTGATTATACATTGACGACTGTCCATTAAAAAAACATCTCAGAAAGGTTCTGTACTCAAACGAGTGAAGATTGCTCAAATAGTTCAACAAAATGAGCTCAACAGGCTTGCAGTAAATGTTGCCACATTTGACTGTTTAGAAACATTACACCCAAATAGTTTGATTGCATCGTCCCCTACAAATGCAGGAAATGTGTTTTATTAATTTATTTCCCAACTGACTGAGTACCAATTCTCAGAAGAGCACAACTTGGGAGATGCCAAGCAATGTTAATGTGTGTGTATGGGGGGTTGGGGGTGGGGGGGGAGTATATGTTCGATACAAAGCAAATATGACAGCTTGGTCAATGTGTAGCTTCTAGATGGTGTATGACATGGAACATATTGATAAGGGAGAAATAAAATGTGGGGATAAAAACACAAATAGACATAATTGTTTTCCTTTCGCCTGCAAATGTTTTCATGAGTTTAAATATGCCACAAACATTTTCCTGTGGAACAAACAAGTAAATATGTTATTTTGTTAGTTTTAAAAGGAAGCAAACTTTTCTGATTTCCTCGTCCCTTACCGAAGCATTGGTTGTTGTGGATGTGGAGGCTGGTCAGCATCTTGGTATTGAGGAGGTTTTCTTGTTACTTGCTTATAAATGTTCCTGGCCGTGACACTTATCCAGAAGATTGTGGATAGAGTAGAGTAATGCAAAACGATTCCAACCTAAACACACACAAAGGTAGTTAATTAGGTAAACAGAAAAAAAATATGATTTTATTGTTATTATGGAAAGCATACAAATTTCTTCCTTCCATAATAGATCATTTGCTTCATCTTATAACCTTCCTGTTCTCTTGACAATTGGACAATATCAGAAAGGAGCTGTTCTTATTTTCTAAGAATAAATTTTGTGGCTCAATCATACTGAATCTTCCCATATTGGTCAGAGAGAACAGTAAGGATGAATGTCCATGTGTAGTTTGAATAAACTGTGTTTTTTAGATTTACTCATGATTCCTAAGAATAATATTCCAGAACCACTCTGGATTAGAAATCGCTGCAGAATAATATATCATTCTGGTAACTTCAATATGAAATAGAAAATAAAAAAATCACTATAAACACACGTTAGTATGGCTGGGTTCCAATTGGCTGATTGTAATGCCATTTTACCTAAAAACAAAGAGTGACATCAATGGCTTGACTTTTCAATAAAGAGAAGAATTGAGCTCGAGTCCCATCTGGACCTTGGAAAGATTGATGATTGAGGTAAGTGGACCTTGTCTATTTAATATGTCTATTTATATGGCTTCCAGCAGCATCCAATGACATTTTACTCTTAAGTGAAAATGCTCACAGAATGCAGGAAATTATTGATAGCCAAAAAACTTTGGTTTATAACCATAATCCATTGTCAGTATCAGCATTTACAAGGTCTGGACTTTGCTATGAAATGCTAATACTGTAAATATTGGAATTCTTTATTGCTCCAGAATGATAGCTTAGATTGTTGTGTTCCCAGCATTTACGTTTGATGGTGTAATTCCAATGCTTCAAACGTTTAAATTGTTTAGCAGGAAAATGAGGACAAAATCTGAAACTATACTGCCTGCATTTGAAAACAAATGTCATGTTATATGTCTGTGGTGGACCTATTAAAACAAGTTAGGGAAGGAAATTAGGGTATGCAAGTCTCTATCAAAAATTTGCATTGCTAAAAGCTCTTTTCATAATCATTATGTAGTCCCTGTGGTGCAGCAGGAGCTAGATAAGCCTACGGTATTATTTCCAGCTAAATTACTTTGATATAAGTGACCTTGAAAGTGGAACAAGTTGCTCCTCCTAGTTAGCCCCATTAAATGACCAAATGAAACAGATTTTTAAAAAATTGATCTCATATACATTTTCAATGTATAAAAAAGTAACGAGAGGTCCAACCTGTGATGGAGACCTGAAAATAAAGGGTAATGTATGTATATTCTAATGCTATAGACCTGCTAAAGAAAAGTTGATCAGCACCATGTGCATCCAGGACCTGATGATTTCCAAATGATTAAATTGAAGATAGAATGTTAGCGTTTCTAACAATATTCCCCAAAGTAATTAAGGATTCTTGAATAAAAAGCTTTGTATATTTGAGAAGGGGCAACATTGTTTTAATCTGGTGAAATGAAGGACTGAATTACGATTAGTTTGTGCAGCTCATGCACAGTTTTGCTGTATTTGAGCACACTGCATTAAACATTCTCTGTGTGCACTGTATTAATTTATGCAAATTGTGTATTGTAAATTGAAGTATTACGTCCAGAGATCATGGCAAAAATACAAAATATGTTTCTTCATTAATACATGGTAGAAGTGAGTTTAAAAATTTAAATTACTCAGATTTTAACATTACTTTATGCTAAACCAGATTCTTTTAACAAAGTTCTAAAGCTTCTTTATTCCAGTTGGCTTTGAACCTTCCATTCTTATCTTGATAATGTCTCCATTAACCTTGTGCTCCTTCTACCAACTTTGCTCTCTTCAGAGATGCTAATCTCAGTTCATAAAATCTTAATTTTGCATTGTGTGAATTCAAATATTTTACCTGTTGCCACAAACACGATTGAACCTTATAGAGAGGTGTTTAAAATGTTCAATGGGATTGAAAAAGTAAACCCAAAACAGTACTTTAGGATTCGCCAATATAGCAGAACAATAGGAGATAGGTTTGGAGTTACAAAGGACAATTTCAGTACAGCAGGAAGTATTTCTTTAACAATGGTAAATTAATGACTGGAACAGGTTTCCAGGAATGGTGGTTGGGGCCAGTTCACTGGACTCATTTAAAAAATGGCTGGATACTGTAATGGGAAGAGGATAGGGTGAGTATTCTGGAAGGGTGAGATCAAATGGGCTGAAGGGCCGTCTTCCTCAAAATCAAACTTGTGATCTTGTGTAAGAAGAATTCATTGGTTTGAAAACAAAAATAGAACAACAGCATTCTTTCACATTCCAATTAAATGCTTAAAGATCTCTTAGTTAACTTTCAACTTTCATTTATTCAGGTGAACAATATTAGAATACTGCTTTCCAAATTCATTAAGACCCTGTTATAAGAAAATGTTCCCGTCTTATCCTGAAAATGTAAGTAATAAATTTAATCTCAACATTGTTAAGCGTTAATTGGTTTTCTTTTCAGTCAATTATTTTTCTCCACAATTTTCCTCTCCTGGGGGCATTTCACTAATTTTTCCTTACACTGGAGTACTGTTCCATTGCTGCTGGGCCATTTTTAGTACCTCAACCAATGGTCATTATTCATAATTAAGCCTCGTCATTGAGTGGTTGCAGGCTATTCAACAGCAGGAGGCTTTACGTAATGAACCAGGATACTATCTTAATCTACCATATGCGCACCTTCCAGCATAGCTCTCTGGATAGCAATCAGAAAGCGGAAACCTGGCTCATTTTCCCCACACCCCAACCTGGGGACATTGAGGCCAATTCGTACTTCCAAAGTGCTACCCGATTGCGATCAGTACAGATCAGAATTAGAAACTGCAATCTTATGGTCTTTATAGTTTAGTACTTCACAATGCTGTACACAATGCTGTACTCAACGCTTTTGCCTCTTCAGCCATCAGTAGTTAGCATCAGAATTTTATCTATCATTTTTTATGGTCAACACTATTGGAATAGGCCAGTTTATGATAGTAATGTATTTATAAAATGTTGAAAGAACTGTGTAGGTGAATTATAAGCAACTAGTGATCAATTTGGTAGAGGTACAAACCTTAAGAACTGCTTTGATTCAGTTTATAAATAATTACTACTTTAAGTAGAAACACATTAGATACTTCTAATAATGACAGATTAATACAGAAGTTTATGGAATAATATGAATTATAGATAGGATACTATAAATAAGACCTTCATTGCAAAAGTGTTTTCCTCCAAAAGGAATGCGTTAACTAATTAACAAATAGAAGAAAAATTACAATAATGATCTTGATGACAAGGGTGGAATGCTTTTACTAGATCAGCTTCTATGTCCTTCTAGCTAAATTAAAGTGTTGAAGAATGACTTACACATACATAACAATTTGAAAAAAGATTTTAAAAAAAGGTTTAAAAAAANCTCACACCTGATAAGAAGCATGTCACAATAAATAACATAAACAAATTTCATTTATATAGCGCCCTTCACATAGATTAACTATATATCTTTAGTTACAATTGACTTCTATCTTAATTTTATTATCCATTTTGCTTTAACTTTATTTCAGAGATGTTTGTTTGCTTTTGAATTAGAAATGGGTTTATTTGCGATTCTACTGCAGATAAGATAATGAGATGAGGGATGCTTTTGCGTTTCGCTATGACAGGTGAGTGTTCAGTTTGATGCTACTGATCTTATTGAAATGGCTTTGGAACCAAATTATTGTTGCGGTCATTGTATCTTTATTGAAGTGGTATTTCTTGTCCAACTTTGTGCAATACAAATTTACATTCATATGGCACCTTTCACGTTGGGAGCACGTCCCAAGACACTTATGTTTGTTCAGACCATTTTATCTTTGTTATGAATAAATTCAGATTAGCTAGATGAACTATAAATCAGCAATAAGAACTGTCATTGTTCAGTGATTAGAAAACCAAAAGTGTCTGTGACTGACGCTTATGAGCCCAAATTTGTTTTGTGAAAATACAGAATGATAATTGGTATGCATCACACAGTCAAGTGTACTCTCAAGATTGTCACTGCAGTAAGATGACACTGTACCTTACTACAACCTTCAATCCGGTCTTTCGCTGCAAACATATCTAGTTTCCTCTAAACTTGTTTGCAAGTGTTTATACTGTACTATTGGGAGTGAAGCCACAAATCCCAGCAGTGTACTAATATGAAGTGGGAAGGATGGTTTACAGACTCTGCTCCAGCTTTTTGGGTTCCCTCCATTCTCTACTTACTATTTAGTAATTTTACACAAGCTTAGCTGTTTGCAGTTATGATAGAAAGCAAAAAAAAAAGATTCTGGAAGTTGCAAAGACCATTCAATAATTTATGTAACAACAAATAAAGATTAAGAATAAACAATGGAAATGGATTTGGTTCAGTCATAACCTTATTTCCCTAATTGCTTTTCTGTGTAAAACATAAGAAGACACAGAGTTTCAGATTAAAAATAAAGGAAATGTGAATTGGACCCTGACTTGGCTGATTCATTATCTCAGTATTCAATTGAAATGTTCAACGTATTATACACTATTCAGAAAGAGGCTGCCATTCATTAGGCTTTACAACCTCCCCAATAGAAATGGATAAACTACAATACTCACAGCTTGACAGATGATCGGATATTTGGTGCGATTGATGCCTCCAGCAAATACAGCACAAGTAAGGGCAGTATGGAAACAGAAGTTCAGCAGCATATGCCAGCCCTTCCTGCTAATGCGGATTGTGCTGTAATTAAAAAAAACATTCATTTGTAACACTGATGTATTTTTGCAATTATTTTAATACTTTAATAGATACAGAGAGTTGTGAAATTATACAGCTAGATTGCCAGACTACTTGTGATATTAGTCTTTCTAATCATTCACACATTTTTGAGTTTACTATGATCTACATAAACAGCAGATAATTAAGGTGTGTTATCTCAATGATTAATTTGAAGTGCAAATGCAGTATTACATACTACTGAACAATGGGGGATAGGTATTCCACTATTATATATTATGTCTCCAAGTGACGATAATTCTGTTATAAATCAAAATAATTTGCTCAGTATTTTATCAGAAATATTTCAAGTATGGTTTAATATGGCAGCTGTTTATTGCTTTCTCCAAAGGTAGGCGATAAAATGCCTAATACGTATTAAGCTGTACATTCACTCAGGTGAGTTCAGTTCCAAGTGCTTCTTCTTTCATCAAAGAGATAGTGCGCTTGTTTAATGAAACCATTTTCCTTAACAAAACACACACCACAAGCTTTATTTAAAAAAAAGTACTAATGGGTTTAAGAAAGAAAACATTTTTAAGCTGTCATATCTATACAACAGTCACATTCAAATCTAAATGCATGAATGTAATAATTTGATAGCATCAATGTAGAAAAAGGTGAAATAATTCATTTGTAATGTTATCACACATATGTAGTGCATAGACCTCACATCAAAATGTTGCTTTTTTTTAAAATCACATCCAAAATAACATTATTTGTGGGAACTGAGTGGAACAGTTGGTTAGATTTCTTTCTAACTTTGGGATTTCATGTTTAATCAATCCCAGAATGATGAATTGTAAAATTCTTCTGCCTGCTGGATTGCAGCTTTCTATGTAAAAAAAATAATTCGGGGAATTTACACCCCTATTCCTGATGTATTTGAATCCTCATCACAGAAATAGGCACAGTTCAGCACAAAATAGCAATTTGTTTGTATTGCCGGCTGTATTATCATCAGTAGGCTGGTATAAAAAATGAAAATATGAATGATGCAGAAGTGGATGCCCACCTGAAGTTGGAATCAAAGTATTGTTTGAGAGAGGAGTAGGGGGAGCCTTACGCTGTGTCTTACTCATGCTGTACACGAGATTGGACATCTTTTGTTTACCTTGAAACATTAGCAGAAATACGTACTAAAAAAACACGGTATACCTCTGACACAGTTAAGGTGCAATGATACAATAAGTATTTACATTTTGGAGTTCTTACCTGTGATGCACAATATAGGTGATAATGGATGCAAAGAGGCACAGCAAAAGGACTGCAGTGCACGCATATACCACAGGGTGCAAGAACTCCCCTTGGTATTGATTAAAGGAAAGCACTGTCTTCAAATCCTGTAAAACAATTCAGAGGAAAATATTAGGTTTCAAGACAAAGTGAGCTCATTTGAATTCATCAAGCTTTTGAATGTATCTTAATCAATAGTTATATCTGCTAAGAATCCAAAAATCACTTCCAGTGGGCAAAAATAATTTGGAAAGAACATAAATGTTTTGTCAGTAGTTTTTACTAATTACACTTACACTAGATAAGCACAGATTTATTTCCTTCTTACACATAAGAGGATCACAGTAATGCTGTATTTTCTTTGTGGTTATTTAGTTATTAACGATGCAAAGCTGGATATTTGCTCAGAGATGAGGGTCTGGATGGTTATTTTGGTGCTTGACTCTTCACAGCTAATCATTATTACAAGTGGCTTAACACTGTTTAGTAAAAACAGTTCAATGTTTTGATATTCCTTAGTAGGATAAATTCCAGTGTCAATAATGAAATATAGCTCATTTTACCTTGTCCCCACCAAACTCTATTAAAATGCTTTCACATTCTGCATCTCTTTGCTTCCTTATTGTGTTGCAATCAAGGTTCATCACATCATCTCCAACTCTGACTCATTCCGCCTAAGCCCTTAATTCTGTAGAATTCCTTAGCTCCGTCAGTCTTCCTGCTGTCCAACTATCCAGAGGCTTTTAGAATTCAAACTTGGTACAGCATTACCAAATCATTACTTATTGATTAAGTTCATCCTCTGTCCTTTCTTGGATCACCACCAAGATATTTCCTTTTAAGAATATTTCTGATTAGGTTTGCAACATTGACCCCATTGCTCCCAATCAAGCCTCAACTCCCATTCCCCCTTAACTATATTGTACTGGAATTTCACAATATTTTACTGTTGTCGTCTTTTTCATCAATCTCCCAGTTTTCACAATTTCACAATCTGTTAATGGTACATCAGCTGTCTCTTGATTCATATAATCATGTTTTAAGTTCTTCCTAATATATTTGTTTCCTGACGTGTTCTCTTCTATTACACAGCTTTTATATCCAAGTTTGCACTTAGAGGCAAGCCTGCCTCTGGAGGCGACTCGTAATGAAAAACAGCTGTTTTTTCCAGCACTAAATTAGGGAGAAGTCTATTCTGAGTCACATCTCCCATGGCTTTTGCATACAGGCGATCCTTTCCCATATTAAAAAGAGATGTGCCATAGAGATTATCGCAAATAATGTTTCACCCTCAAGCAAACATCTGACATCATCGCATAAGTAACACGATGGAGTCAGATGCCCTTGAGCTTGTGCAAAAACATTCAAAACTTATTTTTGCAGAAGTGAGAAAGGAGCAAAGTTGCTGACATTTGGACGCATTTCCCGGCCTCCGATACGGTTATTTTGGCAGCTGACATTGTAAAAATAGATTTCCAGTGTTTTTGCACATGCATGAAGGAGCTTATTGCCATGCGCAAGATGTCATTTTGCCATATGTGCCCACCGAGAGGCAAAGTTGAAGAAAGACATGAAATGTGGCAACACCTCCTGTTTGACACTACATTTCAAGTCCTGCTGCATTTCAGTTCTGATAAGTGGTCATAAATGAAATAATAACCTATTTTTCTCTTTCAGTGAATTAATTTGCGGTAGAATTCCAGTGTTTTATTTTTATTTCTTTTGAACGGTTGATTAAATACAGTACAGAACTGACTTTAGTAATGCTTTGTAATTCTCATTCTTAAACCTAATCTGGAATAGCAGATCATGCTCCTTTGCAGGTGCAATTAAAAGTGGTAAGATAAATGACTTCCGTACTAATACACAATGCTGATTCCGAGGGATTTGAGCTTAGAGGGGATGAAAAGAGCATAATAATTAAATGATTGTAACATCAAAGATATTTGACTTGAATTGGAACCAATTTTTAGCATTTTTGAAACATGATGAGCATATTTCATTTATTATATACAATAATGATATTTATAATAATTGTAATGAAGCAGTTCAGTCTTTCACACTGCATTTCCTGATTGAGTACTTCCATTTTTAGAAGCTTTGGACTACACTGAAAACATGCAACTTCCTCCATGTGTGGAAACTGGGCTAATTTCACATCTTAAGGCCTTGATACAACAACAAGATTACATTTGTATAGCGCCTTTCATGTCAGGAGGATGTCCCAAGGCGCTGGATAACCGATAGAAGGAAGCGACTGATTTCTGAATGCTGAGCTATCATTAAAAGAAACTGACCTTATAGGTGGTAGACCGATTTCTTACAAATTTCTCACATTGTATTAACTTACAATCATTCATTTGATACCACTTAATCAATTTTCCTTTTTGACTTTCTTTTCATGTAAATATTTCACTTACAATGGCACATGCCGTAGTGCAGCTTACTGACTTATTGATTGAAGCAATTACCACTTCCTAATGTATTGTCAGGCCAAAGTGGAAAATGGGGCTTCTTTGAATTTAGAATTCCTATTATTCACAAGGAGCACAGTTGTGAGCAGATTATACATGAGTGAAAGATTTCAAGAAAGAATCTGATATTCTGTCTAGCGCCTTGGGACGTCCTCCCGACGTGAAAGGCGCTCTATAAATGGAATCTTGTTGTTGTTGTTGTTGATGATATGTTAACAGTGTATCCTATGGATTTGCTTTTAAACACATTCTGAACTTGTTAACAGTTAGGCTTCAGATAGTCCTCTCATTTATGTTCAATAGTCCAACATGAGGTCCTCACCTACAAAGCCTTCCATGGCCTCATCCCATGCTACCTCCACGACCTCCTAATCCCCTACCAACCCACCCGCTTCCTCCGCTCAGCCGGCTCTAGCCTACTCCACGCCCCCTGACCCACCCGCCCCACCATTGGTGGGAGAGCCTTCAGCCACTCTGCCCCCAACCTCTGGAATTCCATCCCCCGATCACTCCGTCTCGCCTCCTCCTTAGCCTCCTTCAAGTCCTGCCTCAAAACCCTGCTCTTTGACCATGCCATTGGTAAACCCCCTTCCCCTCCCCTCCCTTCTCCCTTCCTGACCCCAGTTCGGGTCTGAAATGCTGTAAACTGTCCAGCGCCTTGGGACGTCCTCCCGACGTGAAAGGAGCTATACAAATGTAACCTTGTTGATGTTGTTGTCTACTTAATGTAGGAGTTAATATGCTCAATGCATTGCTCTGCTCATAGATTTAGGTCTCAGTATATTCATAGTGGCATCTAATTGTCTGGTCACAAAATATGACAAGGTTAGCTTAGTTTGGTTGTGCAGCTGGTTAGAACATTTGCAAAGGCAAAGCATCTTGCCCACAAAATATTTTGCAAGTTGCATATCCTTGCATTTGATATAGTGCATTATTATTCACATAACGTCCCCACCATGTGAAAGACGCTATAACCTATGTAATTTTATTGTTATTATTTTGTTGTTATCACATCGTTCAGACATCTCAAAGTGCTTCACAAAATTTACTGTAAAGTGAATTGACTATATTTTGTGGGCAAAACGTGGCAGCCAATTATGCACAGCAGCGTCCCACAAACCGTCATGGATTGAATGACCCAATTCTTTTCGTTATTTCTTATTATTATCCCTGGAAAGCAACCCGTCAATCGACTAACAACCAGGTTCCTACTTACTGCTAGGTAAACAGAGGTGTGTGGAGGAAGGAAACTTGCCGAAGGTTTCACCCCGGCCCGGAATCTGTAAAGATCTATATATGACAGTCTAAATGCCAATAATATCAATGATATTAATGATCAAGCCACCACATTAAAAGAGAACATTTGTTCAATTAGAAGCAGGAAGTTACAGAACTCATTTCACACTATGGTCACAATCAAAGTGGTCATGAATGGCTTGAAGAAATAATTGCAGAGGCAAATTATTCATAGTTGCATTTCTGAATCCATTCAGCGGTCATTTGAAGTTCATTACTTGTGACACTTTCTGTAACAGTCCCCAACAGACTTATACAAAAATCATACATGTTGAATACTGAGTGTACTTTTCTAAATTAATATTTCAATGAAGTTAAAATTCTGTTTAATTTACTATATGAACCATGATTTTTTTGGAAGATTAAAACAACAAAATTAATTAGGATTATGCCTGGAACCTTGTGCAATATAAGCATTTCACTAAGCCACAATACCTATTCAGGAAGCTAAAATTAATTTGCTAAAATAATAACAAGAATCCTGAATGTTAATTTACAGAAATAATTACTCTTAAATCATAATAGTTATTTGAAATGTATAAAATAAATATTTGATTAAGGGATTGAGTAGCATAGGAAATGGATGCTGGAGTTTGATTATTAGATGGAAAATTATTGTGAAAAGTATGCATCTGCAATGAATATCTGTAAGGTCATATCAGTTAATATCATGAATAGATTTTTTTATTACAAATTTCAAAGTACAATTTTAATGCGATTCAATTTGTTGCCATATTAAAATGGGTTTAGCTTCTGTCCTGCTCTGACGATGTGATCTTTCACACACTTACCTCAAAAAATATGAATGGAAATGTACAAGTAAACTGTAATTATAATGACTTGACATAACATTTTGAGCTTTAAGACGTCTCAACCATGTGACAACACCCTATATCAAATGCTAGGATTATTGTAGTGCACCTGTAAGGATTTTGCCTAATTTTTATGGTGACTACAGGGGTATAGCCTAAACACTAAATAAGTATTGGATGTGCCTTGACTCAAAATAATGCAATGGCTACAAGCAGGAAAGCAAAATAGCTAACATGCAGTTCCATGCATCGAGAAACTACACTTGAATAGTCTTTGAAGAAGCATTGTATTTCAGCAAATAATATTTAAGAGTTAAATACAAACTATGTTTGACTAACTATGTACGGAATACAGAATTTGTAAATTTAGCAAATTGTCGGAACAGTCTACACTCTTTCAAATATCAACATTAATAACATGCTGTCATTAATTTAAGATTGGAGAAAGATGTTCCATATACCCAGTTTGACATGATTAGTGTATGCACACTTTAAGCTGAATAAATTGAATGTTCATCAGAGCAC